GCTGGTTGTGCTTTAACCTCATAGGGATCCAAGGGCGCCAAAGGGAGTCCATAGAAATTCGGATTCCCTGGGAAAGGAACTTGTACACTTTCAAAAAGTTCAGTGACATCTCTGAAAGATTTGTAGCAAAAACACATTATCTATATGCTAAATTATAGCAACATATTTTCTAGAGTAATTATTTCTTAAAGAATTTAACAAGTTTATAAATACCTGAGTAATAATTGGCCAATTCAGTTTGTGCCTAGAGTAAGAAATCAAATTAACTTATCTATGATTCTATTAGTCAATCTATCTTTTCAACTCATGTATAAAAATGTAAACTTACATACTTCCTTATTGGTTTGTTAAGAAACTTTTTCTAATGGGACTGCCACATTTTAATACTCACAGAAAGGACAAAGACCATGATAATAATAATGACTTGTTTTAAAAATCAGGTATTTATTTCATTTAACTTACAGAATTGTGGTTTCTCCCTTTAAAAAATTAGGATGCTAGGCTGTGTTCTGTGTACTGTGTTGGAATACACCTGTGATTTTTCACCGGGTGCGCTGCGAGAAATTTTAAAACATGCAGTACCTGACCGTTTAGTCAGGGGCACTGAGCTCTTCTCCCTTAGAATGTCAAAAAATTACAACACCCAACACAATAGCCGTCTCTTGTGAATTAATCAAAATTATGCCTATTTTTTTGCCAGATTGGCCAAAAATGTATTTTTTTGGTGTGCTGCAGAATTTTAATGATTAGTGTATGTGCGCCATAAGATGAAAAAGGTTAAAAACCACTGCCTTACGCAGACTTGTCTGGGGCTGGTGAATGAACATATTTTATACTCAGTTGAGAGATTTTTATCAGTACACTTAAAGGCAGCAGGGTGCATAATTAGGTATGCCTGCCATCTGCATAGCCCTCCAGGTGCAAGAGGCATTAGCTTTATTTAATATTACCACAACATTAATTTTACTCCATTAATTTATGTCATTTCTCCTTTATTTCAAACTCAGATTGCCAAAACTAAAGCATTGAAGGTGATGCCCAACTCTGGTTTTAGTGAAAGCCTTATAAACAAAATCGTCAACAATCTCATTAACTAAGAACACGTTTAAGAACAGACATTGATCAGCTCAGATTCACCTTTTCAAAGAGTCTATAAACAAAACCTTTCTGATTTTGGTATAATAAAGTTTTTCCAAAGAGAGAGTAGATCACGTGGTCATCATTTTAAGAGGCATTGACAAGGCACTAGAAAATACTGCATCTTTTAATGAACAAAGCACGCCACTTCAGTTCCTTCAAGCCCAGGGAGACTCTGTGTGAGTCACTAGCAGCCTTGTAATGTGTGCCAGTCTCCCATCGGGACAAAGTCCTGATCCTTGTTGGGCAGCAGTATCTTCATAGAATTTAAGAACATGATCATTGCTCATAGTTACTTTATATTTATGCAAACATATTTATTTTTAACTTTTACTGTTATTTTTTTTAATCCTCACACGAAGATATTTTTTTTAACATTGATTTTAGGGAGAGAGAGGAAGTGGGGTGGGGGGAGAGAGAGAGACACTGATCAGTTGCCTCCTGTGCTTGGCTAGATGGGGGTGGGGGGCTGAATCCACAACCTTTGGTGTATAGGATAACGCTCCAACTGGGCACCTGGCCAGGCCATGATTTTTCCCAAATGTATTACTTTTTCACTTACAGTAGTGAGATACAACTCCTCTTTTAAGCACATTTAAGTTAAAAAATTATTTTAAGTAAAATATTTAATAATTAATAACAGTCTTATACAAGGATATGAGAAACACCAGGAATGATGTACACAAAGCAAATGAAACTTTGGCCCACTTTGACTTGCATCCCAACTTCAGAAGAAAAAGATATGATCACACGGAAGTGAAAATTGAAGGCAATTGAATAAAACTATTGAATTTATACTATTCTATGTCTTCCAAGACATAATAGGTACCACAACTATGACCATTTCTTGATGGCTAATCCTGTATATTGTATTAATGCTCTATATACAGTAGTGTAATTTCCAAAGCAAGGTAAAAGCACTTTATTTTATTGACTTTTAAGTTAATAAAATTTAGGGGAGTGGAACTTTGAATGCCAAATATTTCAAGGTAGACTCAAGTGAAAAAATCTTGATTTCCACTACATTGATAACAAAAGAGAAAGCATGTTTTCCCAGGGCAACTGTTTGTGTTTCTGAAAATATGCACATAAGGTGGAGGAGAATGGGAAGTTACGAAGATCAGAAAGTATTCTCAAACAATACAACTTTCTGAAAAAATGTCCAATGGTAAATGAACATGTAGAAGCTCTCTCCTTGAAGTTGCATGAAACACTCTTGATGATAGTACTTTTGGAAACTTCAGGACATATTTTCACTGAGAGAATTCTGAGATCATAATCATAGATTTTCCTCCTTCTTGACAGAATGCTTTTTAAAGGCCTACTATTGACCTCTCTTTACTTGACTGGTAAGTATAATTCTTAGACTTACAATTGTTTTCTAATTTACATAAAAAATGGATACTGTGGAATACCTTATTTTGAAGGGAAAAATGAAACTGCAATGTCAAAGTATATAAAAATCATTCCAAGAACTTTTGCTATGCTTAACTTTCATGCTCTTGCATTTAGAAATTTTCTTGCTGCTAACACTTTTTTCCTCTTGAGATAACTGAGACCAATACCGCCTTACAAAAAATCTCTCTTTAGAAAGGGGTAAAGTTAAACATTGATTCCTAGTAGACAAAGTTGAGGAACATCTTTGCACAAATCAAATGTGTTCCAGAATACTCGCTGCTGACATGAAACCACACACCAAGGCTGCTGAAAGCAGGTGATGATAGTTTTGACATTCCCACACTTAGACCAAAAAAAAAAGGCCTATTTACTCCTGTCTCCCTGCAGGCATCCTTTCGACTGCTCCATTCACTCTGACAAGAGATCTGAATAAAGGCTCTCTAAATCACTGCAAAGCATTCATTCTGAGACAATAAGCTAGCTGACCAGATTGGAACTGTACATTTCAGAGCAGGGAAGAGCTTCCTTTGCTGCTTCTAACCTATCAAAATATGCATTATCAAGATTCTTTTTTTAAAAGACTTTATTCATTAATTTTTAGAGGGGGAGGGAGAGAGAAAGAGAGGGAAACATCAATGTGTAGTTGCCTCTCACGTGCCCCTCACTGGGGATGGACCTGGCCTGCAACCCAGGCATGTTCCCTGACTGGGAATCGAACCAGCAACCCCTTGCTTTGCAGGTCGGCACTCAATTCACTGAACCACACCAGTCAGGGCTTCTTTATCAAGATTCTTAAAAACAAAACAAGAAACAAAACAAACCAAAATACTCCCCCAAAACTCTCCTTTGGCTTGTTTTATCCTTCACAACTTTTAATCTTTTTATGCTTCCAACTCAATCTTTGTTCTCATATGACTGGCTATATACCCCACTGCTACTCCTGCTGTTATGTATCAGTCAGTGTTTAAGTTAAACACATAATCATCTTTTAGGAGGGGTCAAAAAGAACACCAGAAATGTGTGGTATTCTCTATTGTGATACAATTGCACACACAATTCTATGGAACCAATTGTGGTCAATCTCGTACTGAGTTGTACATGACATTAACACTGTAACGTTCATGTCTTCGATCCCGTTACTCGGGTCCTTTCTTCCTTCACTAGCTAGAACACTTTTATTTCCAGAAAAAAAATAATAGAGGAAGTATAAGCTTTTGTCACTTCTTTCCAAAGCTGATGAATTTATCTTTTCCTCTCAATCTTTTTCTTTCTCCTTTCCTCTCGTTCCTCCCTCCCTCTCTTCCTTTCATGTGCTTCAGTTTTGTTAATTAACAGACATTCAGGAGGGGAGCTTTCCCTGAAGTGGTTTTATATTCCTGTAGTAGCATTCCACTGCTCCTTTTTTGCATTTAGTATGCAGACTGTAGCTAGCTAACTTAATGCCATCAAATTAATCATGATCTACAATTTAATCATTCATATGTTTGACAAAAATGTATAGAGCCTCTATTAGCCAGACACAATGATAGCAGCCAAGGATTTAAAAATATTTAAAATACTGTATTACATGTAGTTTCCCAGGACTCCCATAACAAAATGTCACAGACTAGACAATTTATAACAAAAGAAACTTATTATTTCACAGTTCTGGAGGCCAGAAGTCTGAAATCAAGGTACAAACAGCCAAGCTCTGTCTGAAGACCTTAGAGAAAAATCCTTCCTTGTTTCTTCCAGCTGCTAGTGGCTCTAGCAGTTTTTTCTCCCCATGGATTTACATGGATTTTCACTGCAATGTAGTATGACCTCACCTTCACTAGTGTATCTGCAACAACCCTATTTCCAAATAAGGTCCCAGTCTGAGGGTACTGGTGGACATGAATTTGGGGGGATGTTATTCAGGCTAGTAGATACGCACCACACTCTTCTCCTTGGGATACTCCCTCATATTTACTCAAATTTTAATTTGGTTGGTTAACTTCCCTCCCTATACCATAGTGTTCTTCATAAAAATCTTTGCTAGTTAAAACTTACAAAAGAGGGTAGCCCAGCTCCAGTGGCCTACCAGGTATACCTTCATGATGGGGGACCAGCAAGTGATGACTAAGAAGCTAGGTGTGTCACTGGGATAATGAAATGAGTTTTGATACAGTATCTCAGTGTACAATGATTGGTTAAGGGGAGTTATCTCCCAAGTTGCCGCATGTGTAGTTTTGTCTATTCATTTTGTACAACTAAGAACTACAGAGTTTTTATTAAAAAAAAAAACTGGATACAACTTTTGAGATAAAACAACCTATCCTTTTACAGGTGAGATGACAAAAGGGAATGCCCATGTTCATGAGCTAATTAAGGATGGGCTCAGCAGAACCAAGGGTCCCCATCCATGCTCAGTGTTCAAATCAGACTTCTCAGGCTTCTGAATATAAATAACTTTATTATGACTTTTCCATCTGAGCACTTCAACTCTGACTACCCTAAAGAACAACTTATAATATCACTGCATTAACAGCATCTCTGAAAAACATACACAGAAAGGAAGGAGACCTCTCTTTTTACAACGCTGCTTGTCTTCTTCTGCTCCACGAGGAGTCTCTGGGTCTTTAGCATCAGTAAAACTCAAGATGTAATGTAGAGAATATTGAGCTTTTCATAATAATGTTGTCTGAAGCTCCTCTCATTGTAACTGTGGACACCGCATGTTCAGTTAGACATGACGAAAAACAATTTTAAATTGTAAGCTTTGAACAATGTAATAAAGCTTTTCCCCAGTAACAAGAACAAACAAAAAACATGCCTGCTTCTTTATTCGTGCTCCATGAAACTTCTTTATTCACTTCAATTCTGCATTCACACAAAAGTGCTGTAATAAAATATCTGTACACTACTTCTGTTACAAATATAGATAATATTTAAAGTGACTTTATATATTCTAATGTAGGAGTTTCACGCTCTAAAATGGGAATGAACACATGATAATTTCTCACCAGTTGTCTCAATAAACAGCTCCATCTGTTTCCCTTAGTCTTAAACTATTGTATTATAAGATGTTAATATAGAGCAATGAAATGAAGTTATGTTAATTCTGTTAATTTTTCTATCAATTTTCTAATGGCATACAACCAAAATAATTACTAACACATTGCTTTTTTCCCTGTCATTAAGATTAATCCTAACAGAAAGCCAACTGCGCAGCGCGCTGACACGGTTTAGCATTGCGTCAGTGAAAGCCAGCACTGAAGGTTCGGAGAGCTTTCGCTTTTCGCTCCTGCACAGTGAGCACAGCTGCTTTCCAGAGAGTGCCAGTGGGTGCAGGGGAGGCATCATCATTTTACCTATAGAGTCCTGGAAATACTTCTAACAGGTCACGAATGAAAATGAACACGGAGATGTGCATGAAATGTGTTCTTTACATACTTAAGGACATTGCTTTTATCTGCTCTTTACACCACACTAGAAACCCACTCAAGGAAGGAGATATTTATGTGTATATTAAAGGTGGGAGATGCAAAGTTTTTATAATTGTCAAAAAATTTAAACACTGAGTATTTTTAAAGATTTTTAATAAAATTTTTTTAAGTTAGTAATAATGAGAGGGGTAGATTGACAAAATATAAGGAGCTTTTACAAAGCTTGACATTTTCTTCTTTATTTTATATTTTCATTTTCACCCTAACTTACTCAAGCCATTTCTCTTAGGTTAGCTTTAGAATTCTTTTCTCTCCCTCTACTAACCAGTTCAGCACACAATAATTTTCACCCATGTTACCATGAAGTGTCAGGTATCTTCCTGGAGAAAGAACGATTTAACTAGGCAGACAGTCCTACCTTTGAGTGCACGTTCACAATGTACAAGGAGAGAGGGGACATGACGCTTAGCTAACAGTGAGAAAGTTGTTCCCCTGTGAGTGTCACACACCTAACTGGTGTTTTTCCCTACAGTTCTGAAGAGCAAGATGAACACAGTATGAGAAAAGCCTCCTGAAAGACCAGTCCCTTTCTCTTTACAGTGTGACATGCGAGTGAGCGGGGGTGAACTTCAGGAGAGAACCACCAGAGTGACAGTGCCTTTCGTCCGCTTGAGGATGGCGACGGCTTCTTCGTGGGTTACCCCTTCCAGGCTCTGCCCATTGACAGCGATGATCTGATCACCCCTTTTCAGACGCCCATCTTCGGAGGCTGCTCCCTGCAATGACCAAGTAGGCCCGTTTACTTCTCACAAAATGCTGCACAACAGAAAAAGATCTAAACCAGAATTCAAACTGCTCCGCATGTGCAAGCACATGGCTCTTGGGGCTCCACGGGTGCTCCACAGCCATTGGGCAATGATGAACACACACAAAGGAGGTCTTTCTCCTAAATGATTTCAGCAATGAAATTCCTATTTGAGAGAGAATTTAGCAGTCAACAGATTAGCTGAATGGTTTTTTGGCTGCTCAGCATAGCAGGTGGGAACCCAAATTAATGAAGAATATTGGGAATTTGCCTGGTAAAATGGTTTCATAGAATCTGGGATTTCCGATCCTGTAAAGAAGACCTACGAAAAGGAAACAAAGGATCAGGTGGGAACAAAAGCAGGTTTGCAGGACAAGGGCATGAGGTTTGCAGAAGCAAAAGCCCATATATATGTTGACAGGGGCGGGACAAGGCCCAAACCCTGCTAATTCTAACACAAATACTCTCTGTGATTTCATAAAGGCAGCTCCGACTTGTTGGCTCTTTACTTCCCAAGGGGGTAGATGGAGTCTTCATGTTCTTTGTGGGCCCTAATGATTAAGTTTAAACACAGACATTGCTGTTTAAAAAGGACCCTATCTTAAGGCACGCTGAGGGTAGGCAATTATGCAATTACATATAAAATTAAAACACAAAAAAGTTAATGAGGAATCCATAATGATGAAATTCTTAAAATATGTTCTAAGCAGCATGCCTTAAATAAACTGTTCCAAGGCTGAGGAAATGACTGCATGCCTCTTCTATTCATTGGCAAATGCTGTTTGTATTTTTGGACCTACTAGTGGCTTTTAAAAATCTCATAAATTAAGGCTATAGCTTGACTGCTGTAGATACAGCACTTTAAACTGGTTAAAAATAATATTTTTTCAAAGTGACAGAATGAAGCCTCCATTGGTGGGCACTTCATAGAACCACAGCACTAATCTCCAGCCCCTGTATCACATCTTTCCATAGGTTTGATGTATTTTACTCCTTTGGATTGTAAAATTTTGAGATTCTGGATTTCCTCCTGCAGGAAATTTTGTCCAATTTTGTAGTTCCTCAAAAATGCCTTAAAATATATTAATAATAATTATATGGGTTTAAATTATTTTAATAGCTTCACCAATGTTGCAGTAACTTCATTCTTATCCTAAGCATTCTTAACACAGAACAGGTTACTATATAATTACAACTATATACTAATGGGTTTCCTTTTTTTCAATTAAATTCCTTAACTGCAAGTGCTGGTTTCATGTAGGTGATGGAGCTTCTGGATACTCTTCAAATTATTTTAGTTACTATTTCTCCACTTTACTCAATGACATTAACTGTAAAATAAATGTTCAATTAGTTAATCTGCATATCCATTTTGTGTACTTTTCTGTTCCTGTTTTATACTTCACAATAGTAAAAGAGAACAACACACACAGTAAAAGAAATGCCAGCACTTTATAGCACACATATTTAAAATGTCCTATTTTCAAAAGACATGCAATCATATGCCACTTATTTTTAAAAATATAAAATCAGTCATTACTGTCTAAAGTTCATTAATATTTTTATGCATATTGTCAAGAATTCCCATGTAATTTCAATTTGAGCCTATTTTCCTTTAAACATAACTAAGCCTCAAATTGGACAAAAATATTTAATGACCTGTTCCTGTAGGGAGCTCCAGAAGAAAATGACCAACTGTTAACCATTTGGTGTTACCTCAGGCCATAAACTAATAGGCCAGCTGCTGACCACTATTAACGATTGTTTAGAAGAGAAGGGGTGGTTAAAATCTGCAATCTTACCTTCGCAAACACTGTTTTAACATAAATGGGTAAGTCTCCATGAGGGCTGCCATACCCTCCTACTATACTGAAGCCCAAGCCATCTGGTCCACGGTCTAGTGTAATAGACTTACACTGAGGAGGTCTATAGCAAAAGAAAGAAAAAAAAAACAGTTTTTGGATTTTAAAAAATATATATATTCTTGTGGACCAGCAAGTTAAGGGTTATCTAACACCAACCTAGAACGAGTACCAATGTCCGTGTTACTGATGAGTGTATTACGGGTGTTTTGGCATGCTTAAATTCTCAGTCATTGCTCAGTATTTTATATTTACATACTCTAAGGAAATTCTACTCAACATCCTAATTCTATTACTCATTTAGGGTTTTCTTAAACTAACATATTCACAGCAAGTGCTCATAACAGGGAGAATCTTGTTCTTTTCCCAATTTATTCAAAGTGAGAGGTTTACGGTCCAGAGGACCATCATGGAATAACCCACAAACATCAGCACTCCCATACTCAGAGAGGAAAACCAATTACGAAAAATGTAAAAGCTGCACCAAATTATTTAAGAATTCTAATCCACTTCTCTCTTCTCTTCTATGTTCTAATTCTTTTGTACTCAAGCATTAGATACTTGTGATTTTTTTAAATCAAAAAAATGATTCAACGAGTAGGAAATGTTGGATAGATCTAACTTGCTCCATGTCGCACAGGGCAGTGATAGTGAGACTAAAAAGTGCTCCCCAAAAACTCAGAGCTGAAAGTGTAGGAAGGGCAGTGACATGTCTATCTGTCTTTGATAAACTAAAACCATACCACAATTATTTAATAGCTTAGAAACACTTGGTTCTCATATTTCACACCTCATCCCTTACTATTTCACCTTTATGTGAGCAGTAGGGACGTACAAACCATAATATATGAGCTCACCCCAAATCGTCCTGAAATATACCACTTGACGTCAACCCAGAGAAAGAAAGGCTGGAGCTGGGGGGCTCCTGCTGGTGACCTGTGACCACGCTCACGTCTCCTCCGGCAACCACCTGAGTGCAGAAGAAGCACAGAGAGAAAAACATGTGTTCATGTGGCTGGGTAATTTTCCTTCAAAAAAGAGCACTTGGATTAAAACATGTATTTTATTGTCCATTTTATCATTTCTGTTAACATAATATACAGCCAAAGAGAAAGAAATTTCACAAGGTTGGGAGACCTCTTCAACTGGCAATGAAAATATTCTCCTAGTTCAATTTATCAAGTTCCCTGATGGGTTTCAAACACAGCCTCACATGCCATTAATTTCTAAAGATCTTCAGAATACAAGCCACTCACACCACTTAAATTCTACAATTGATCATTTGCTGCTGAGCCCTGGTATCTTTTTCCCTTTCAAGTGTGAAACGATAAATGCACTGGGATAAATGTGACAGAACGTGTTTCTTACTTACTCTCTTGGAACTCTCAATGTAATCATTTATGTTCCAGGGAAATAGTAAATGAAATCATAGCAGGAGAGTTAAGAGTTTTTACTGGCTTAACATCAAAGCTCCTGTGTTTTCGAGCTACCTGTATTCTGAATAGTGCTTGGGAGAAAAATCTTACCTGCATTTCAATGGAGCCAGGGGTACTTTTCAGTAAGTTAACTGCTTGGGTGTGAGTCATGCCCTCAGTGGATGTGCCACCAATAGTGACAATCCTATCCCCCACCTGCAAGGGGGAAAAAGACACAGCCATGTGCTAAAGCAGCTACGTGGAGAGGGACACTGAGGCATGAACAATCATTTCCTTTTCTACTGTGCACATCACATATGTAGCGCTATCAGCAATGAAAATCGACCCAAGGAAACCACTAATCCCCATGAAGCTGCAATCATAAAAAGAAGATACGCATAATGACTAAGTTCTATAGTCTCTGGCGGGGGGGAGGGGGGTGATCACTCTTCATTTCTCCTGGGTAAGACACTGCTTCCTATTAAAAGGAAAAGATATCTGATGTCATTTGGAAACCAGATTTTCTCTGGAAGTTACTCTCATGCACATTATATGTGACTCTAAGGGGCGTTCAAACCGAGATCCAAAGGCCGAGTTGGCCCATGGCCTCTTCTGGTGAACAGAGTTTGCTATCCTCATTTGGATGCATTTATGAGGCAGAACTCAGGAGTTGTAACAGAGAATCCTGCATCCAAAAAAGCCTAGAACAGTCACCACTTGGTCTATCACAGAGAAGTTTTCAGATCCCTGTGCTGTCTAACAAGCATTGTAAGGTCAGTCACATATTTAGATATCAGAGGAGACTGAACCATTCCCAATTTAAAGACTACTTAAACTAAGTGAAATAATCCAGTCAGAGAAAGACAAATACCACATGATTTCACTTATATGTGGAATTTAATGAACAACTGAACTAACTAACAAACAAACAGAGACAAACTCATAGATGGAGAGCAGGATGACAGCTATTGATAGCGGGGAAGGGAAGGGAGAGGAGGAATCTAGCAAAAAGGTCAAAGGATTATGAACAACAGACTGAAGGGGGGAGGAGGGTATAAATGGGTTAAATGGTAATAGAAAAATACGATAAAAATTTTAAAAAATAAAAAGGTAGCCATGTTTCAAGACCATTTTAACACATGAGGCCACACAGATTTTATTTTGTAGAAAATTAGTTAGTTGCCAGTTAGCATAAATTCCATCATGGTGTTCTACATTTGACTAATCCCTTGACTTTGAAACAAGTTTTATATAGTTTTACAATTTATGTCACATTTACAGGGTGGGAAGCAAAAGGAGTTTTACAGTTGTAGGTATATCAGTTTATTCTTGTATTATTATTTATGAATCAGTGTATTATTTATTTGTATTATAACTATAAATCGATTTCTATCCACACCTATATGTTGAACTTCTGCAAAATTGATAGGGCAATGAAACATAAAAAATCATTTTCAACTTCATAAAGTTAAATCAGCATTTAAACAAATAAAAATGTGTAAGAAAATTTCCACTTCATACTGTTGTTCTGAAGCACTTTGTTTTCTTTTAACTTTTATCAGTTTCAAACAAGTAAAACAAAAAAAGGTACAACAGTAAATCTTCCCACTTCATTTGCTTGAAAATTTGCATACAATAGCAAATTCTCTCTTCTAAAAATTTTCTTCACCTTTTACTCAAAGCAAAGCTGAGGTGTGCTGCGAGTGGATTATCTGATTTAAAAGCAGATAAAAACATTTAAAACCATCTGCAACCTGTGGTCAGATTCAAAAGGTTTATCAAAGTTTGCCAAATGTGCTGGGACTACAAGAGCAATTAGATAAACTTACTCTGAGTTTCTGGGTCTGAGCTGCCACTCCATTCGGGTGCATCATGGCGATAAATATAGGAACATCGCCAAGTGGGCTGCCCACTCCTCCAGCAATGCTGATTCCCAACGAATCAGAAGGCCCCTGCCATGGAAGAGAGAGTTTGGCCACTGTGATATTTTTAATTGACTTTTGGTTTCTTTGGCACAATATTCTATCGTTAACTCTGATCCTCTAGGTGTGAGGGTGGAAAATGATGCTCAAAAAAATTGCATTATTTTATTTGACACAGGTCCTTAGTGTAATTTAGGAAAATAAGCATCTGTAGAAGAAACCATACATGTTAAGTGAAAATCATATTGTGGGGACTTATGAAGAGCAGGTAAGCTGATAAAATGAAAAAGGCACAATTTTGGAAATCGGAGGGACTTGTATTCAAAGCCAGGAAGCTGCAGTTACATAACACTGGAACCTGGAACTTGTCCTCTCCTTCTAGTGAACCACCAGGTCTTCCCTGACCGAGTGGAGATGACAGCGCCTCTCACAGAGCACTGCAGTGAGCTCCAAATGAGATGGTGGCAGCACAGAGTATCTACATGAGAGTTCAGCATGTAGTAATGGCTCAGTGAGTTGTGGCTGCTTTTATTGTCTCTCTTGTACACAGCTGTCAGGGGAATCTGCTTCAGGAAGACAGGACATATCTGCCAAAGGCAAAGGCTGACTTATTGGTATGAGGTCAGGCAGACTTTGTGTGGGGCTGAGCTGATGCCAGTCTTGACAATACAGAACATGCCAACAGTGACTTTTTAAAAAATGTATTTATTTTTAGAGAGGGAAGGGAGGGAGAAAGAGAGAGAGAGAGAAACATCAATGTGCGGTTGCTGGGGGTCATGGCCTGCAACCCAGGCATGTACCCTGACTGGGAATCGAACTTGCGACACTTTGGTTCGCAGCCCGAGCTCAATCCACTGAGCTATGCCAGCCAGGGCCCAACAGTGACTTTTTAAACAAGGTACTATGATGAGAAAATTCAGCAAAGACTGCATTGTGCTATTCTAACTGTGTTTCATAAATAAATTTTCAGATGGGACTATGAAAAAGTAAGATAGCTTAGAGAAAAACATATACGCAGATGCCTCTAATTTCAACACAATATTCATTTTCCCAAGTCCCCGAGTTACCTTTTTTATTTCAACTGTTCTTAATCCCTGTATTTCGGATGCTACTATAAAGATGAAAAAGATAAAATATGGTTATTAAAGCATTTTTTATTTTCATTGAAATTTTAGTGCATGTCTGCAGCTGGATGGGACTAGATGGCATACACAAAATTTTTTGAAAAGGTTCTCACAGTTGTTGGTACACATGATTACATCTGTCCCACAGAAACACTCTATTTCTCCAGTTGGAAAAACACACGCACCATCCCATGCCTTCCTTCTTATTTTAAGCAAGATTATATAACTGTATAATCCACTTCGAGTGAGACGAGGACAGTATGTGTTCTGGACAGAAAGACACATGTACACAGCTGAGGGGAATAAAGCCATGGGTGCACTGAAAGCACTCATGGACGTAAGTGCCTGAATTTCTAGAATATTAGTCATATTGCAAACAGAGAATGCCATATGGTTAGTTTCTTCAATTTGAACAACTTTCAACGAATGCTTCAAGCCAAAAAACTCTCTGCATCATGATTTCATGTAATTAAAACACAGGAGGATCATATTAATTTTCTCAATCAAACTTTTTGCAATTCTCATGGAAAAAGAAGGCTTCACTTAATGGCCTCTTCTGATTTACTGGTGTTACACTAAACTAAGAAAGGAAATAAAAATCAAACACACCAACAGGCTGAGGGATTACAATTCACAGGAGCCTGATTCTAACATCCGGTGTATCTCACCGGGCAAAGCAGCAATGGGAGAAGCAGCCACAGGCACAGCTTCCTGCTGTTCAGAATTTTTGCCGGCACACATCTCTCTGCCTGTGTTAGTATGTGGAATGATTTGGGGGAAGAGAGCTCAGGGGTAATTTAAAACAGGGAAGAAAATCTGTGTTGACAGCCAAAATTCAAACCAGTAAATCATGTTTAAATGGCAGGCCCATCTTACGTGCATTCTTTTTCGAGCTCCTTTCTAGCGACTCAGATGCACTGGACCCAGAGGGCGGGAAAGTGAAGGATGACAGGCTGCATTCGCTCATCTACGAAGACAAAACAGTGACCTTAGAGAGTTTTGGAAGTGATGATACCCCTTAAATGCCACTTATTTCAGAATTCAATTATTTTAATGCATCGAGAGAGAAATACCTGTTAAGTAATACTGGCATTTGATAATTTGATAGGCATTTAAACAGCTTCTAGTGATTTTTTTTAAAGGAAGAATTTGCATAGTGATCTAAAATTGAAGTGGAAAGGATGGATGAAATTGATTCCAACCTACCTAAAGTTTTGGTGTATTTTCATAATCTCATTCGAGGTAATCCTCTTTAAATGTCAACTGATGTTGTACATGGATGGGGACTTACAAACAGTAGCACTGGGACCAGTCACAGGATACCAATGGCAACCATCAAGGGGCCCATATGGGGTTTTTAAGGACAGGTCGATGAAAATGGGCTGCTGTCATCAGAAGACAAGACCAAGGAGGGCTTGCCAAGAGACTTGAACCATGTTAACACTATACTTTTATACATGTGGAAGCATCTATAGTATACTGCTTGGTAAATGTTTGTTATAAAACATTTTAAAATATATTATCTTGGTAGACTTTCATAAATTAATTGGTATGAGATTATGGAAAAAGAATCATGTTAGAAAAGGAATTAAGTTCCTTCCAATTCTTACAAACTACTCAAGAGCTACACCTTGCTTACCTGCCCGCTTTCAGCTCTTGCTTTTCCCTGTCGCAAACTCTGCACCCCACTCTGCCAGGCTACCAGAGAGCCAGGCCTGTGTACATGACCCTGAACAGACCCACAGTCAAAACTGTTCTTGAGTTCCTTTTGGCATGTGGACTGCATTCCCCTGATGAATCCCCCAGCTACCCACCTGGCTGCTCTGAGAGGGCCTCCTCTCTGAATGGAATGGTCCAGCTTTGATTCTTCCTACTTCCAAGGTCACTGTACCTAGGGAACACTGGGGGAGCAGTTGTTTTATGAAAATGTTTAAATAAAATGCCATTGTCCTCTTTCGGAGCACATTTTACCCTTCAAAACTGAGTTTTTAAAAGGCTTACTCCTTTTGGAATTTCCATAGGCAAGAATACCCCCAATGTTTTGTAGAAAGAGGCTTTTTAAAACAAAACTAGTCAAAATAGTAACAACATGCAGCGACAGCAACATCAAGTGTCTGTCTTACCACCTCTTAATTTACATGGGTACTCTTTCTGACAGGTAACAAGAAAATGAAAATTGGGCAATTATCTCAGGAAGCATACTGATTTAGATCAGCTACGTGAACTACATAACTCAGGTTTGAAAAAACAAAACAGAAACAATAAAACAACATGTTTTGCTCTCAATAGCAGACACGCAGACACACACGTAAACTCTCTTGTTACAATGTACCCAAATAAACAATACCTAAATTAGCCATTCTGCTAGCAACACAAAACAAGGAATGAGGATGCTACATAGTCTCATGTGGAAGTAGCACAAGGAGGTGTGTAAGATGTTGGGCTTCTGCAGTCAGACACACTGTTTTAAATCAGACTATGTGATTCACTAGCTGGGTGACCTTAATAGATGACTAGCTTTGTAAGTCTTTAGTCTTCATTTTTAATATGGAGACCATTACAGGCTATTGTGATAAGATAATTCCAAATATAATGCTTATGACAGTGCCCAGCACAAAGCAGTACTTCCATAACTACTGGGCACTGATATTATTATGCTCCTGCTGACAGGGGCTACAAGAGCTGTTTTACTGTCAAACATGTTGATCATGAATCAAATTTTGAAAGGTCAAAACTGGACATGCAATATCCCTAAGTTGTTCTGGTTTCTTTGGGGTGGGGGGTAGAAACTTAATCAAATCCTTCCTGAACCTAGTATATTTCCAGCTTACATAACTGTGAAGATCAACAAATTCTATACATTAATTATTTAATGTGTAGATTTATAACTCATCTACTTCAACACAGTTCTTATAAACTTCAAGGGTATCCATTACAAAAATTTTTCAAGTCAATTTTTCTATTATAAAAGCAATTCTTCCTAAATAGAATGTTTTGAAAACAAAATGAAGAAGGAAAACCAAGGATTCCATGGTTTCAATCATCACTTTGTAATTATTGTTAAAGGGCTTATAAGACTTTATTTTACATAAATGTTTCTATATTGCAAATACAATTTTGTTTCACATTCTCTGCTGCTATGTTTTTTCATATTAATATAATTTTCCTGAACATGATTTTAAACAGATACATTTGCCATGCATCTTTGCTACATTTACCAAAGTCTGTATAGTTACGTCAAGCTCCAATTTTTCTATTACAGATAACATTGCAGTGAGCTTCATGTGCAGCATGAAGACTTTGTGTATTGAGGATTATTTATCATGGAAATATAGTTTCTTACCTAGTATATCTTTCTTGAGAGAACATTTTAAATAAAGAGGAGTCACTGCTTTTTTTACTGTGATATCTCCAAGTCAAAGTCCCCTGTTTTATATTATGGCACACAATTATTTTTGACATTGGAATTTTACCTTTAGCAAAGCAGCAACAGCTTCCTGGGTAGCATTACGAACATCTTCTCCATTCACCATTAATATCTGGTCTCCCTGCATCAGTCTTCCATCAGCATCTGCAATTCCTCCTTTGACAATGTCTGACACAAATACTCCGCTGTCATTTCTACAAACATAATTTGAACTTGATTTTGACTTTCAACATTATTACTTTTTCTCAACTGTAATACAGTATTTATTTAATAAAAAGCTGACTTTTTAAACTAAAATATTTACTCTATTTTTATGATTTCACAAGCTTTATTGTTTTCAAAGCAACACTGGGACAGTATTATTAGAATTAATTTTTGTGGTAAATAATAGCTTACATCTACACTATGAGTTCCTCAAAAAATTAAAAAATGGAACTGCCTTATGACCCAGTGATTCCACTTCTCAGAACTTATCCGAAGACACCAGAAACACTAATTTCAAAGAATATGTGTACTTCTATGTTCACTGCAGCATTATTTACAATAGCCAATTTTTGGAAGCAGCTCAAGTGTCTATTAGAAGATGACTGGACAAAACAGCTGTAGTACATTTACACAATGGAATACTATTTGATTGTAAAAAAGAAGAAAGTTTTACCATTCAGGACAGCATGGATAGACTTGGAGAATATTATGCTAAGTGAAAGAAGCCAGTCAAACAAAGATAAATACCATATGATTTCACTCATATGTGGGATCTAATGAATAAACTGAACTAACCAGCAAAACAGAGACAAATTCAGACATAGAAAGCAGGCTGACAGATGTCAGTTGCAGGGTAGGTCTGGATGGGAGACTGGAAGAATTGAGCAAAAAAAAGAAATGAATGAAAGAGAAAAAACTCATGGACACGGACAGCAGTGTGATGACTCCTGGGGACCAAATGGTACATGAGCTTGAAAAAATATAGCTTATGTCTTATAACATTTTTAGATTAAACATATCTTTCAAGCATATTTATTTAACAATTATATACTGTGAGCAGAAGTGGTTTTTATTATACTTATTGTATGGATCACATGGCTACCAAGTGGCAAAAATGAGATATAGGAGTCAGTCCTTGGGAGCTAAATCTATTGCTATTTCTACACCACAATGAAGCCTTATATGCATATTGACCTGTGCCTATCAAAATGTGTTGCTATTACCATCAACATCATTAATGTTATTGAAAATGAACAGCAAATGTGTATCTCAAGCTAAAACCATTTACTGCCCAGAACTTAAGTACCTGCCTTTGCTGTGCTATCTTTTATTTTAAATCATTACAAATCTAACTTCCAATCAAGAGAGATTTATGCATAATGAACAAATACTAATCTTGTTCTAATCTTTCATTCAAAAACTATAAATAAACCAACAACTTCTTGCTGAGACACAAAGGTAACTGTAATTGGCAATGTTTAATGAAAGGTGAATTGCATCACTTGTTTTTGCCAAGGTGGCGACCTCAGGCCATTTCACCATCTGATCGTGTGCTTCCCCAACTTTATTCTTTTTTAAGATTTTATTTTACTCATTTTTAGAGAGAGGAGAAGGGGGGGGAAAAGAGAGGGAGAGAAACATCAATGTGTGGTTTCTTCTCACGCACCCCACACTGGGGACCTGGCCCAAACCTAGGCATGTGCCCCAGCTGGGAATCTAACTGGTGACCCTTTGACTCCCAGGCAGACACTCAGTCCACTGAGCCACATCAGCCAGGGCTGCTTCCCCATCTTTAGGATAAAGGTTTAGAACTTATTGTACTATATATTTGTTAGTATTTCCTATATATATATACATATTTAAATAAGCTTGGTACTGAATTTACGTATATTCACCAAACTGCCACCCTGCCTCTATCTTTACAGTGTTCCCTTTCGATGGCATGCTCTGTTCAAGCTGATCCTCCTCCCGGAATGTCCTCCACCCCCTTCCATAAACCATCATTTATCACTTTTAGCTTCAGCCTAGGCACCTCTTTTTAAAGGAGTTTTCCTAATCTACTTCCCTTAAATAGGATTATTTGTCCATTTCTCCTCTGCTTCTGTGGATCCCCACATACATTTCTGTCACTAATCAACAGGTTTCTTTGTTGCAAGAATATATTTAATTCTTGCCAAGCTGTGAGTTTTCAGAGGTCGGGAACCATGTTTTAGTCGTACTTAACTCTGCTCCCCAGAACCTAACATATTTCCTGGCACACAGCAGGTACTCAGAAGTAACAAATGACTTTTTTTCTGCTGCCTTCAAAAGCCCTCAAAATACTGACTGAAAAAGTTCAAAACCAATGTCTTTTGATGTTTCACACTGAGTGGGCTGACAATAGCTACTTACAGAACACTAGCTGTTGATAAAAATTCTACTATAGCTAGGACTCTTTAAAAGCCCTTAAACTCAATCATTTCCAATAGGTCACTGGACTTGCCCTTTTCAGTCTTACCTTTTACCAACAATGCTTAACCCCAGGCCTTTCCCGGGTTTCTTCTGTAGCTCAACAGTGAGGGTGTCACACACGTCCTCCTCTTTGTATGGGGCCTCGTCTCTGTAGAGTGTCAGGCGTACTCTTTGTGGTGTCTGTCTCAGGACATTTATCGCTTCATCGTGTGTGGCCTTTCTCAAGTCAATTCCATTCACCTGTATGGAAATGGGACACAGGACCAGGTGGGTTAAGGAAGGGGAAGAAAGAAGGCAGAAGGGTGTGAGGGAGGGAGGAAAAGAGAAACAAACACAGTAGGAGCCCCCTGCCCAGACCAGCCGTTTCTTTGCTAGCTGTAAAGGCCAACACAACATTTGTACCTCTAAAATCTGATCGCCGGCCCAGAGTCTTCCATCTTTACATGCTGCTCCTTCTTCATAAACTTCATGGATAATAATGGCACCCTAAGGACCCAGACAAATCATACATGTACTACTTTATTCCATTTCCCATAGGAATGATGAGCAGAAATGAAGCCAAAACACACTGCACTTTTACAGACAGTGATAAGGGTTATACATTCACTGGATTCATATGAGACACATCAAAATTCAAAGAAAAATATAACAATATAATTTTTGCTAAAAAGGTTCACAGGAGCTTATACTTCTAATGATAGGGAGGCTTAAAAATTATAAAATATATAAATCACACACATATATTATGGATACATATCATCTTTTGTATCCCATATGAAATGACAAAGCATATTTGACATTTAGAAAATTTGCCTACAAATTATCCACAGACTCCTCTCAATATGGGTCTAACCCAACCATATCAAGTCAGTAAAAAGAAATTAAAATACAGCAAGGACTAGTGAACTCATAGAAATATTCTGAAACTTAAGGCTGCAATCACGAGTTGTACAACAGAATCTTCTGTTTGTTTTCTTTTTTTAAACTGAATTTATTGAGGTGACACTGGTTAATAAAATTATACAGGTTTCAGGTGTACATTTCTATCATACATCATCTGTACACTGTATTGTGTGTTCACTACCCCAAGTCAACAGAAAATGATTGAGTCACAATTGGCTTACTCAAAATAAAAATACAAGTACCTATCCAGTTAAATATTTGCTCTGCAAATTAAAATAACAAGAATGGCACATTTTTGTAAGACGTTCTCTGTCATTTAACAGACTGAGAGGAAGCCCCCGGAGGATGACCTCGGGTGTGCCCTCACCAGCAGTGTGTCGGACCCCCCGACGATGCTCAGGCCCAGCCCCGTCCGCCCTTTGGAGATCTCAATCATCGTCTCGCAGCCTGGGATGATGGGGCAGGTGGCAGGGTCAGAAGCAAAGACTGCTGGTGTCGATGACCTGCTTGTACCTAAGAACAAGTTAGAATGAAACAAAACACAAATGAAATTGATTTGAAGGCACAGACAGTAAACCCGCCACCTTTGGGAGATGGTGCAGAAAAATGTGCCCAAGACTGGGACAAGACTTCAAACTCACCTTAATCTTCTAGTGACTAAACTATCAAAACAAATATGATTAAATTCTCATTGTTAATTTAGAGTGGCAGGCACAAAATTACCTGTTAAATTATTTCTTGCACTATTTCTGTATTTTTAAAGTTGCTAGAGATAGTATGTATAAAGGAATGAGAACAGAAGAGTTGAACTAAACCTCTAGTTTCACCGATATTCTACATTTCACCTGAGCCAAATAAACTTCTTATGAAATCATGATTTGTAAAGCTCAGAAGTGAGATGTGTGGCAGGCCCCACAACACAGTCAGGGAAGACCACAAAACGCACAGAATATCAACAATTTTGTCATGGTGCCTGCCTCTCAGGGCTTCTCTGTTTCTGTTCTCCACTTCTTGTTATTGTAGAGCATCTCTTATCATGTACTCAAATCTGAGCATTATGTAGCTGCACTTAATAGCTGAGTTTATAATCAAGTGAGATCACTTGCAGTATCTTTCCTATGTCTTACATGATGTCTTATAAATGCATATAATACATATTGGTACATATATGCTCAGAATTGAAGCAATCAGAATAGAGTATGAAAAACTGAGGCTAATGTAAGTTCACATCTCATTTTATTATAGTCTTTATATCTTATGATTTATGATATGCCAAAGAGCATAAAGCGAACAGCACATTTTAAGCAAGCTGGGACAGTTGGTAAAGTAGCTTTAGACCAGATGTTCTCTTTTAGGAAATCAGAGACAGACTAGTTTCCTGCTCCTGAAGTGGTAAAAGTAGGTGTAAGATATTTTCTTTTATGCTACATTTTTGTTTAGCTTTTCATATTTTGATAGACAATGCTTTTTGGGGATGAATATAAAATTAAAAATGAGAAAATTTCCATGAAAAATGTTTAACAATTCAGTGAACTATCCATTCTTTTGAAATAAATACTTTAATCAGATATGTGTTACTTTAGACTGTTTGTCCAACTATATTACAAATGTTTTAAACTGCTGTTTCCTTTTTTTTTAAGATTGATTTATTTATTTTTTAAGAGAGGGAAGGGAGGGAGAAAGAGAAAGAGAGAGAGAAACATCAATGTGTGGTTGCTGGGGGTCATGGCCTGCAACCCAGGTATGTACCCTGACTGGGAATGGAACCTGCGACACTTTGGTTCACAGCCCACGCTCAATCCACTGAGCTACGCCAGCCAGGGCCATAAACTGCTGTTTCCTTAAACAACCTGTCAGAATAACTGAATGTTACCAAAAGATATGTTTTCCCCAACTTCAGAAAATGTTAATGTGTTTAAGTACTTTTCTTCAATGCTGCAAAGCTTGAAATTTATTAAATACTAGTGCAATTTTTCTTAAAAAATAACTGGAAGTAATAATTTGTGTCTCAACATACTAGAGTGGCATTGAAGTGATAATGAAAGAGTGTTGTCCCATGGACCACATACAACCCTTTCATTTGACAAGACCTACTGTTACCTCCCAATAACGGGACTCAGATCGACCACAAACACACACTACAAGGTCTAGCATTTTTAAGAGTTTCTTGTAGTACGAGGCACCAGCTGATTCCACTGCTGAAGTGGTATCATTGTATCCATTTTTTACTATATCCATTTAGAAACTGAGGCATAGAGAAGCTAAATTACTTGCTCAGTGTAAAAAAAGAAATGTGCAAAATGCTTTTAAATCATCAGTCGGATACCTGGAATCAAGGTACCGAGTCCTCTGACTGTGGCCTTTTAAACACTGAGCTCCAGGCAGCAGCTGGCTCCCAGGGGAAGACCTGCTGCCAGTTCTCAGTGCGTGGCACACGCAGGACTCACACGGCCAGTCCTTACCTCGGACAGGCTCTGGTTCCGGGGAGCCAGCTCGAGGGACCATTGCAGACTGGGGACTGTTCTTTTTTTCTTCATTGGTTGTACCAGCTGCTGAAGCAAGAGCCTGGGAATCTGGATTCTCAGAACGAATGGTAAGTTTCACTGTTGTCTTTGCTGTTTTCAAAAGGCTAATAAACTGGCAGGGGGTGGGTGTGGAGGGGAAACAATATTCAAAGGCAAATTAGTACACTTATGCAAATAAGCCACTATTATAGTTGGAATCTAAAACTGTACAATTGAGAGAGAAGTCAGAGGCAAATCCTTTCTTTGTCAAGACTTGAGGGGTCAAGCTAGAATGATCATACTTTCTAGTTTCTCTACTTGCCTCATACTGATTAAGGCCACAGTTAACTTCTATTTGCAAGTCTAGTTCTCACTCATCTTCCTTATATAAGTATACAGATTTCAAGTTTTTATATTTTCAATTAGTTTCATCCATTTCTTTGGAGCACTAAAGCTTAGAATATACATGGGGTATTTTACCCACATCCTGATTCTACAGAGAATCTGAAGTAGCTTACACAAAAACTTTTAATAAAATAGAAACCCTTATGTTAAAAGTAGAGTAAGGAAAACTATGCAACAGAAGAATCAAGCCAAACAGAAAGTTAGAATATAGACATCTGAGTTAAAGGATCAATGCATACAATTATTAAAACAGAATGAAAAAAAAAATCAATTTAAGCTTCTTGCTGGCCAATGTAGAAATGGAGACATTTGCACAACAAATCTTGAGAGAGACATAGTGTTTTCCCTGGCACTTCTGTATCAGAGGCCTTGAGTGAGGTTCCTAAGGACTATGAACACTTTTGAGGAGGAAGAATCTCAGGCACAAATAACTGTTAACCCCAATTAGAATTATACATTTTTGTGAGAACTAACTTCTACTGGCTTTACTTCACTTAGTGACTGAGTGCTAAACTCTGTTTATCAAGCAATATACACAGTGGCTAGTCAGTTATGGGAACAAACATTCATAAAAATATTCCTTTGGTCTTAAAACTAAGTTGACCTTTGCTTAGAAGTTTATACTTTCCTAAGGGAAAATGGAAATGATAGGAAATGGTATTTATATAAATGTCCACTGAACACCAGATTTTTACCAGATAACAGAAAATAGCTCAACATTGCCTTGACTGGAAAATAGAAAATAAAAATTGAAGAACTTCCAAATAATCTCCTCTCTTCCATAGGGTGTCTGTGTGATACAGCTACACAGCTCCAACTCCCTGGGACCAGCTATGCACACGTGCGCGCGTGCATACACACACACACACACACACACACACACACACACACACGTCAGCCATGACCAAGAGCAGCTTCACAGCACTGTTTGCTTTTTTTTTTTTTAAAGAAAAAGTACCTTTTCAACAGGATAGCCAACAACAACTTCATCATCTATAGCCAAGATTTGGTCTCCAACTTGGAGCCGTCCATCCTAAATGGACACATGGAAGATTTGAGAGATTTTGCAGAAGTAACTTCCTCCTCCACCATGGTTGGACATGAGAAAGTTGAAGCCTCACCTTGGCTGCTACCCCATGCTCTGTTAAGCTCTTTATGATGACCCCGCTGAGCGTGTCCTCCTCACTGATAGCAATGCCCAAACCCCCTTGATCCTAGAGAAATAAAAACAAGACCAGGCAGAAAATTTGAAACACTAATTTTATCCAAATGGAAATGGCCCTAAGTTCTGAATGTCATCTTCTTTCCAGGGACTAAGAAAGAAATTTAAACTGTTCTAATGACCTCTATTAGAAATCTCTTTTTTTCTTATACAAACTTTCACATTTTTTAAATAGGAATAAATAATCCTCCATCAAATATTTAAATAGATGGTGGAACAAAAGTAGGTTTATTGTTGTTCATATGGAAAATAACACAATAATAATATAAGAGTAAACCGTGTTTTGCATACTCATAATTGTAAACCTACTTTTGCCCCACTCTGCATTTTCATTCCTCCTATATGCCTACTGTCTATAGTATCTTTAGCATATATATCCAGCAATATATCTCTAGTACCTTTAGCAAAATATCCTGCAAACAAAAAAGCATTCAATAATTCAATGAACATATAATGTTTGAGAATTTAATTGGGCGTAACTCACTAAGTCAATCAAAACCAAAGTATCCCCTGCTTTCTCTTTCTGGCCCAAGCTTAGAAAAACTACCAAGATGGGCTCCTCCTCCCCTCTGCACGTCTCTTTCTTTAGCGGCTAGACTGCAATGACTGCTGTATGCTCTGTCCTTTCTGAGGCTCAGTAGGTTTCTCCAGGGATTTGTGTTTTGATCGGGTGCAGAATGAGAACATTCTCAACCCTGAGCCCAAATATGTGCACTGGAAACCTGGCAAAGCTAGGCAGCAGCATCTACTGTGCATTTTCCACATTTGCTCTTATCAAAACCAAAAGTTCAATAATACTAGCTTTTACCTTTCTTTACTATTTATGTTCATAAAATTAAATAGGGTTTTGAACATTTTTGTTCTGGTTTGAGCTGGGATCCTCTTCTACTACAGTCTCCATCTAGGGAAATACGAAGCAACAAGATAAAGGGAGCCTCTGCATATTTCCTCTGGAAAGTTGACATAGCAGCCAAAGCTCGCCCTTGGGCATTTCGGGTCACAACCAAGACACCCAGGGGAGGCTTCACTGACATTGTAAAGAGTACCAAGGCTGGCTTTTCTGAGGCAGACTATTATTGCCTGAAGACTTTCAGACTGTCACTGTGCATCTCTCAGCCACTGCTCTCTTCCCAGGCAGTGAGTCATGTGTATGAAACCAAGCTGCACTTTAAGGGTGAACAGAGCTTGGTTCTAATTTACTTCCTGCCTAGCTGTAGAAATTTGGACCCGCCACTTAAATCTCTAAACCTCAATTTTCTTTTCTAAAGACAAGCCAAAAAAAGGAATAGTAATACTTGCCCAATAGCAAGGTGGCTGTGAGGATCAAATGTAGTAAGAAAGGGCTTGAAAAGTTGATGCATTATACAAGTGTTGTTATTATACATACATTTCTCCTGCTAATAACACTACAGGATATACTCAAATTTACTTCAGATAAATTCTTTAAACATGCCAGTATTTTCAAACCCTGAAATCTGATCTAGTAGTCAAAGAATCAGGCTTAATAAATAGGAAGGTCAAGGTTCTACTACACTGACATAATCCCAATGCCAATGCTAAATATTAATAATTCAGTTAACCTCTATTTGGGAATTTCCACACTAAAGGTCTTTCTAATTATTACAAAAATACATTTGTTTGAATAAGTAACACTCTGTATCTACAATGATTGTATGTATTCAAGTCAGATCTGATTCTATTATTGTCTATTCACTTAAGTGTATTCAGTGGGCATCAGCTGGTTGTTTACCTAATGCTCATTCTCATCTTACTGCCTTAAACAAACTCACAGGTTTTCAGTAGAATATCCAGTCCCCCTTCCCCTGCTGCCTCAAACAACATATATATACGCCCCTCCCTCCTTTGCCTATGTGTTTAGTGGTGGTGTTCAAACATGTTCACAAACCCTTGGATATTCTTCCCTTCAAGAAGGGATTCCTGAGTGTGAGCTGGACTTGGCAACTTAATGCAATAAATACAGTAAAGCAGAAATGATAATGTGCCACTTCACAATGAAGTCAAAAAGGGCCTAAGAACCTCCTCTTGCTCCTTCTCTTGGATCACTCACTCAGAGAAAAGCCGCTGCCATATCATGAGGACACTCCAGCAGTCCCGCGCAGAGGAAATACGGACTCTTGCCAATAGCTGTCAGAGTAACAATCGTGACTGCATATGGACCCTCCAGCCCCAGTCAAGCCTTCAGGTGACTTGCAGCCCTTGCTGGGAGTTTGCTGGCAACTGTACAAGACAGTCTGAACCAGATAACCCAGCTAAACTGCTCTCAAATTCCTGACCCGCAGAAACTGTGAGAATAATAAATGTCTATTGTTTTAAGTAGCTAGTTCTGAGGTAATTTGTTATGCAGCAATAAATAGCTCCAAGGATGGGGTTTAAGTCAACTGCACAATGTTATTTCACAGCAACAGTCTCAGCTCAGGAGAAGGTATGTGATCTGAACTGGTTCAGTTAGGATGAATCTCGGGACTTTAGGTTAGAATTTTGGGATACTCTCTCCCTCAACCCCTAATTATATGTGAAAGAAGTAGCAGCTGAGCCCAACTATGGTTCACAACCATTCTAGAACTATGAGGAAGACCCGCCTTGGGATCTAGCTGACCCACCTTGGGATCTAGCTGACACGGCTATAGGGGGAGAGCAAAGGACTGGTTCTGATGACCCTGCTGCGCCACAAGATCAACACCCCGGAGCCCGTAAATGTCCTTCTTTAGGAGTGAGGAGTATGTTTTTTGTTATTTGCAACAGGCAGTTACAAAAGGAACAATACACTACACATTTACATGTATAAATATGCCCCAATCCCACTTAGAATATTACGAAACAAGTATGTACACATCTCTAGACAATTTATTGATATCAAGGCAGGAGGACATATAAGTAAGGAAGACAAGGTGAGAGTGTGCAATTTCTCTTCTAGCTGCTCCACTTTCCACCCTGCTTCTGCCACAGCACATTTAGTCCTTAATAAAAAAAAAGATCTGAGAAACATTGTTTTGAGCTAGTTATAAAAACACCACCATAAAGGGAATATGAAACAAATTAAGGAAATATATAAAGGAACAGTTGTATAATTAAAGAGCTAAAAATGAGTAAACAGGAATTAAAAGTCAAACTAAACTAAACATGCTACTCCATTATCAGGAGAACTACTCTGAAGTTGGAAGATATCCTAAATTCAGAAGAAGAAAAACTTTTAATTGTATTTGAAGACTTTCACCATATAAAATTGAATAGATATGAAACATATCTCTGGCAGTCATGTAAGTCTGTTACTTGCTTTTATGCATATGTACTTTCCTACAGCAAAGTGAGCTAAAGATAAATCTTTAACCAAAGATATTTGTCTCTTAAATTGAACTTTCCGCTGAGTGTTCATTTCTCTTTCTGGGTGTTCATTTATGAACACATATACATTATGAACTTTTTGTTTATACTTCTAGTTTCCCACTTAAAAAAGAATTAAAAGAAAAAAGAAGATAATCGACCTGTCAAGAGAGTTTCTAAGAAGTCAAAACGGAACTCAGAATGACCTGTTACATTAGCTCCCATTTTGAACAGTTACAAGAACTGCTCTCTCCTTCTCGACTCTCCTGCCTTGACGTCTTTCCCCTGTACACACACTCTGTGTAAGCGGCCGTCATTCTTCCCTCACGAATGCTTAGTATGAACTAGGGTACACCATACTATGTAAGGTAATGGAAGAGGGAGTTTAAGAGTTACTTCTCTCAATATGCAATTTAGATGTGTAGAAAATATACCCACATGAAAGTTCAGCATAAGAGAGACACTGTTGGGCCATGCATGGTTAAATGACAAATAAATGAAGACATCAATAATAAGCATTATATAGGCCAGAATATTGAAGAACTATTTCAAAATAAACAGAAGTAAGATCATGCTAGGTCTTGAGTCATGTGGGATTTATTTAAACTAAACTAAAAAAAAAAAAAGGCAGAAGGACATTCCAATGTAAGCAAAGACAAGAAGGGATGAATTCTTAAAATAATCTCCTCGGGCTCTTGATTCAAGTTAGCTGCAATGAAGAAAAGGATCTTATAAAGGAACTGTGAAAGGCAATGCAACCCTGAAATCAGCAGTGGGAAGAGGAAGGTGCTAATTAGCAGTGGAATGAGGGATTCTTGAATGTGTAGACTTCTTGGTAGAAAAGAAAGAAGCTTCAATGACTTTTCTTCTTTTCCCTCCGCCTACAATATGAGTGGCCCATTAAGAAAGACTTCTCTTAAATGTATATGCAGGGTTATAAAAACAAAAAACAAAAACCCCAGCAAAGTCACAGTATTTTTTTTCTCCTAAATGCTTAACAAGGTCTGACCATGAGCCAGGCATTATGCCAACCACTTTATAAAGAACTCATTTAATACTTACAATTATTTACAGCAAAGATCATACTATCATATCCAATTTACAGGTGAAAAAACTGAAGAAAATGTAGATCACACAATGTGTCAAGTATACAAGGTCTATCCAGAAAGTACCCAGCCATGTACTATGAAAAAGAGACATTTACTGAAGAAGATACAAGATACAAGAAACACTGTACACAGGACAATGATGTCTTAGTCCCCTTCAAAGTAGGCACCTTGGGACCTCACACAGTTCTCCCCATCATCATCATCTACCCCACCATATTTTCCTGAATCTCATCAAAGCTCTGAAATCTCTTCCCATTCAAAGGTGATTTTAGTTTGGGAAAAGCCAGAAGTCACAGGGCACCAAATCTGGGCTGTAGAGGGGCTGAGTCACCTGGATGATTTGATGTTTTGCCAAAGAACGCTGCATGAGATGTAATGCATGAGCAGCCACGTTGTTGTGATGAAGCTGTTGATCACCAGATGCCCATAGCTGCAGCCTTCTGAATCATCGGACTTAGTATCCAGGGAGCAATATTCAAGCTTAACACAAAATCTGATGCAGATTTGTTTCTCTACTTGCTCAGTCATGTGAATGTGACAACCACTCAGTACACATGCTCACTCAATGGCATCTACTGCCCCCACTGCCTAAGACAATGAAGTAGTCACTGTTCATGCAGGCACCCTCCAGTCCACTCTCCTTGGCTGCCAGGTTACATCTATGTTGCACAAACTGTTTTCATTATATTAACAATGGCTGGACTTTTTCTGGACAGCCCTTATATACCTAATGAAGAACAGATACAACTGTGACAGACTGCCGCTAAATCTCAGGTGTTGTGGCATCATGCAATTTATGTGAATATCCTCCTATCTCTCATCCCATCTCCTTCCTTCCTCTTACCCCTCAGCACTTCACTGCTCTTTCTGCTCCTACTCTCATGCATCCTGTCCACCTGCAGGCTAGCATGAGCCTACAGCACCTGAAAGCATTTATAGGTTTCTATTCAGCAAACCACTTCTTGAAAACCATCATTTGAACCTAAGGTTTAGATCTTTTCAATAGCAAATAACCTCATTGGTATCTATCAGTGAAAGTTCTAGTAATGTGAGCTTTCAGTTTTATGAAGGAAAAGGACTATAACTTCTCTTTCTTTATTCTTTACTTTTCCCCACTGCAAATCCTTGGTAAATAAATCAAAAGAGGGACCATGAAATTTCAGATCTTGGGCTACCATAAAGGAGGAAAAGTGGGGTCCCTGCTAAAGTATCAGTTAGCAGAGTGGTTCTGACATGTTAGCATTCACTGGAATACTGAAACACGGAGTGGGGGGCCCACCCCAGAGTTACCCATTCAGTAGGTCTGAGTGGCCTCAAACAACTGCATTTCTAAGAAGATCCCAGGTCATACTGATGCAGGTGGTCCGGAGACCACACTTTTGAGAACCAGTGGGTCAGAACAGCGGTGTGAGGGGACTTGCATAATTTCATTCTAATTCAAAGCAGATTTACCTTGGGAAGCTCCAGGTGTTGCACATTTTTAAATGAACTGAGGTCCACAGCTGCCTCAGAAGTTGCAACACTTGATTCAGCCTGACAGAGAGAAAGAAATGGCAAAAACAGTAAGTAAGTGTTACTCATTCTTGTTTGTTTAAATACAGGGGCCACTTATTCACAATTATTTCATATATTGCAATTCATTATTACTATTTTAACATTTTATTACATTTATGAACAGTATAGTCTCTTCAAAATACTAATGAGGTGTGATTAGACAGCAATTATTTTAGATCACAGAGACACAATATGGTTTTCAAACTGCCTGGATTGACTCTATAATGCAATCTACTAGCAATCCAGCCACCAAACAGTGAAACTTACTGACACACAGAACACCAGCAGATGTTTTTTGTTTTTTTACTGTGTTAGTTATGAAGTGATTTTAGAAGCTATTAAATGTTTTCCCTGAAAATTACTAAAATACTCCACTTCATTAAGGAATATATTTGGTACAATCCATATGAAAATAAAATTTTCTCCTTTACAATCATAAAAAGCCACTTCACTCAGTTTACCATTACGGGCAATTACTCAGTTCCCCAGGATGAGACAACAGGTTACACATCTATCTGATATACAGACAAAGCCTCATGTTTATATGTTTATTTAGGGAACAGTGTTTCCTTTCCTATACCTTCTCCCACTGATAATCATCATGGCTCTTCTAATTTTCAACTTTTCCTCTTTCTATTATATCCTTCTAGTCATCTGAAACATGCCTCCAAAGCTTAACAAATAAGAACAGAACTTCCACCAAAAAACTCTGCATTTTTTGTCACCCTCTAGCCACTGCCTTTTTTTCTAACTTCTTACTCATATTTTGCTTTCTCAGGAATCACTAATAATTTCCTAACTGCCAAGTCCAATGGACTTTCTTTATTCATCTTCTTATTGGGCCTGTTTGCAGTATCAAAGTTGTAGGACATCCTCTTCTTGAAATGTGTTCTCATCAGCTGCCATGCAACATGTCTGTCTGGTTCTTCATCATCTCTGACCACTCTGTGTGAGCCTTCTTCCTTATGCTGATAACACATAATCCTGTCCTTGGCCCTCTTCTCTCTAAATGTTCTCTGTAGGTAAGAACCTTGCCCTTCATGCCAAATCTGTCTAAGATAATCCATCTCTAAGCACTAGGTCAAATGTATACTATACTTCAATCTTAAGCTGACTCAAATACATGAGTTCTAGTTTTATGAATATTTGTTCCTCCTTTAATTTTTAAAAAAACTTTAGTAAATGTCAGCCATCCCTCAAGTCACCAAGTCAGACATCTGGAAGCCTTGTACATCTTATCTGTTTCATTCACCAGTCTGTCCCCTGTCCAAAATATAGGACCTATACAAGGTCATATATATATATATATATCCCAATAAATAAACAAACATATATATACCCAATAAATATATATATGTATTTATCCAGTAAATATTTGTTGGATAAATAAATTCTCAACCATTCATCTTTCCCCAATGAGTACATTTAGCTGTGGATGAAGAATCTAGCGAGGTCTTACTCATGATGTATATGATGTAACCATTCCTTTTTTTTTTTTTTTTAACATTAGCTCAGGACCTTGTTATCCACTCTGATAATTTTCTTACTCCCTTTAACTTAACTTTTCTTTCCTGCAACCTCTGATTCTTCTCTGCACCACTTCCAAAGAAGTTTTAAAAAATACAGTTCTCATTCTTTGAGTACCTAACAACATGGCCTCAAAGACAAAGTCTTCATCACAGTCCCATAATCTGACCCTCCCTCCCTCTCTTCTCAGTGACCCTTCCTTACCAGCTCCTATTCCCCACCTCTTACTGTTCAGTATGTCCTTCAGCGTTAAGTGGTCTGCATTTGCCAGAGCTTCTACACCATTGCTCAATCCATGCCATCTACTTGCAATGTTTTTGCCCCCAAGTCTTCTTCCTACCTACCTACAAGTAACCTCCTCTCTTAAGTCTTATTCTCACTTTGTCTCCAGGGGTGGAACTGACACCTTGTCTTCTACCTTCATTATCCTTAATGTAAACTCTACTACTAGCCTTCATGTAAGTGGTGAGCTTACTTACTCGAGTGCTTCTTGTACTGGGCTATAAACTTCAGCGGGGCTGAGGCTATGACTTATTTATCTTTGATAGCCTGTAAGGGTTCTATACTTGTTGAGTTAATAAGTGGTATATCAATTAAATCTTCCCAGAGAAGCAAACATGTGCTACATACCTCCGTATTTTGAAGATTCTCTGAGGTAGAAGACAAAGCTTCTACTGTATTTCCAGGACATACAGCCATCTGACTCACTGCATCTTTATTTCTAAGAGAAAATACAATGACCTGTCATATCACAATGATTCACATTATTTTCAATCTTTTACTTTGAGATTCAAAAGGATTACTAGAGAAAATTCTATCATTTCAAAGACCTGGAACTGTAACACTAACACATTTATATATGCTTTATTTTCATTCAAAAGAACTCAGAATTGAAAGGCTAACACAATGTATTTAGTAAATCAGAAAAAGAAAATGCTCACCTGATAAAAATTATTTTTACTTTAAAAGGGGCACATTTAATGATTGATGAAGCATTCTGATGACTTCTTCCATATAAAATTTGACCATTGATCTATGGGAAATAAATATCATTAATTGAACTTGTAATTTTAATTTTGGAAATGGTTATCGTCCTAGCTAGCTCATGAAAAGTATATTTATTTCTTACTTTAAATATTATATATATTTTTATGTTTATATATACACTTGTATAATCTCTTTCTCAGAACATGAACTGACTTTGAAAAAGCTCATATTAAAAGCCAACATTAACCTGGCTGGCATAGCTCAGTGGATTGAGCACGGGCTGGGAACCAAAGTGTCTCAGGTTCGATTCCCAGCCAGGGTACGTGCCTGGGTTGCAGGCCATAACCCCCAGGAACCACACATTGATGTTTCTCTTTCTCTCTATCTCCCTCCCTTCTCTCTCTAAAAATAAGTAAATAAAATCTTTAAAAGCCAACATTAAAATGATGTCATACAGTCTGATCTCCCTAAACTAAAGAGGCAGTAGTTGGACTGAGAGTACTGTAGGAGAGCAGAGAGTAAATTTCTTGGCGGGCATTGGGCTTCAGCATGTTCTGTATAAAGCAAGGGCTCTGTGGAAGCACTTGTGACCTGCACAGAGCATCCCAAGAGGTCCCCTACTGTTATAGTTTCTACTTAGTCCCAAAACTCAAGCCCTGGGCACAGGCCACTGCGAGAAAGAGTGCTCACAGATCCAGGATTTGGGCAGCACATTGTGTCTGTGAAGCACAGTACAGAGTACTGAGGCAATATAAAAATATGTGGATCCCAACCTACAGGAAGCAAGGACAAACAAAACAGGCAAATCAATGCTAAACACTATAAAGTATGATCCACAAATTTATTTTGTGTGGAGGGCTAAGTTACTGTTTTATTTATTTAGCCTTAACCTTGACCCCAATGCACCCAACATCCATCACTCTACCATTAGGAATTCAACTTACAGAATGTCTAATGGGTTAGTCTCATTACTGAGGAATGATTGGTCATTTGGCTTTTCAAAAGCTCCTAATAAATGCAGCACACACAAAAAGGTTTGTTTAAGTGTAATCTTTATTACTGTCTTGAGGCAAAAATTGTTTCTGGTGCTACACAGTCATGACCTTTAAATGTAAGTTAATGGGAACATGGACTTTCCTTAGCAGAGATTTGGTTTAGTGTGAAATTTGCTGTAATGCATCTATTTTATTAGGCAAGCAATAGTTTTCTACATCACCATATGAGGCCCAGGTGAATTTTCTAGAAACTGCTGATTCCACTGCACCGATTCCACAAAAGTAAGTTCAGCATTTTCCACAAGAAATTACCTCTAGAAGCTCATCTGCAATCTGTAATCGACCATCTTTCCCAGCTGCTCCATTTGGATCAATCCCCACTATAAAGACACTCATTCTGGATCGGTCTTTGTTCCCAGCAAGACTGAGACCCAAACCACTACGACCTTTCTCCAGTTCAATCATATGTAGCTCGCCTGTGAGAGTTCCATAACGTTCTCTGATATTTTCTACACACAACAACAACAATAACACAACATTATAGGTGTTGAGAGTTAATTCACAGTCAAATACTTTACTACAGAAGGTTACTTAGAATAGCCTCAAAAGGGCATCATTTGTACCGGAATAATGCTTGGTAGTTAAGAAAAGCTAAATATGGCCACCAGGACTCAAGACTGGTTTCTTGGAATACCCACACTTTGAGGCATTTTTTCCCACTCAGGGTGCAGAGAGTACAGTATCTGATCAGTTGGTTTACTGGGGTGAACAGGTCCAAGAGTGATTCATATTAACAAACTCAGACTATGATTAAAATAGAAATTTAACATTTGCAGAGAAGAAAACATCCAGAATATTTATCTTGGTCAACGGAAGCCTTTCTCCCATAGGAAAACCTACAATGCATGTCATATCATGTTGAGCAATTGCTTGGCCCACATTTCCAGAGAAAAGGGAATGAAATTTGTTATTGTACAGAGTCATGAGGCCAGGACTCATCAATGTACCTGCCCCAGCTTTCGGACATACATCCTAAATAGATGAGACCAATCCTATTTCCCATTCCCCAAATTCCAAATGTAGGTGCCCCGTGTCATGAGCCCAGATGAAGAATCAGCCAGCAGCAACACTAATTGCCAGGTATGTGACAGAGCTGTCTTCAAGGCCCAGCCCAACTGAGCCTTGGTAGAGCCCAGTCTACCATAGCACCTTGGGCAGATTAATAATAAACTGCTTTCTCAAGCCATTAAGTTCTGGGGTAGCTGGTGATATGACAATAGGTAACAAACATTCCATTTAATGTTTTCCTCAGAGTATATTCTGGCCACTTTGGTGGACTAGCAATATATGCTAATTTCACTGGAAATAGACTGTGAACTATCAATTTCACAAATCATCTTCAGTAAATGTTACTATATGGCTGATACCATGTATTCTATATTGATTCTTAACTGGATCAATTTCATAAACTGCTGTTTCCTGAATCCTTCTAGAATTTAGCAACACAACTTTTACATTCTGTACTTCTGAATAGCATATGCCACGGATTTCTTAAGGGAAATAATTACTATTTTTTTAAATTTTAATCGTTGTTCAAGTAAAGTTTTGTTCTTTACTCCCATTGCAGCCCACCCACCTGTCCCTCTCCACCTCCCTCCCATTTCCACCACCCCCCGTTTTTGTCCATGTGTCCTTCATACTTGTTCCTGTAAACCCTTCCCCTTTTCCCCTGAAATCCCCCTGAAATTCCCTCCCTTCTCCCCTCTGGTCACTGTCAGCCTGTTCTCTATTTCAGTGTCTTTGGTTATATTTTGCTTGTTTGTTTGTTTTGTTGTTTAGGTTCCTGTTAAAGGTGAGATCATATGGTATTTGTCTTTCACCACCTGGCTTATTTCGCTTAGCGTAATGCTTTCCAGTTCCATCCATGCTGTTGCAAAGGGTAGGAGCTCCTTTTTTCTTTCCACTGCATAGAATTCCATTGTGTAAATGTACCATAGTTTTTTGATCCATTCATTTACTGATGGGCACCTAGGTTGCTTCCAGAACTTGGCTATTGTAAATTTTGTTGCTATGAACATTAGGGTACATAGGTTCTTTCAGATTGGTGTTTCAGGACTCTTAGGATATAATCCCAACAATGGAATTGCTGGGTCAAAAGACAGATCCATTTCTAGTTTTCTGAGAAAATTCCATACTGTTTTCCATAGGAAATAATTATATATTTAAAACAAAACTTTTTAAAGCACTAACACATTTATAACTCGACTGAATTTTTATTATTTCCCTGTAAAATGTTTTCTTTCCTCAGAAAACAGAGACACCTCAATCATCCTAAAAATAGCTGCTGCCTTTGAATGTTTCCTGTGCATCAGGAGTTGTGCTCAGCACTCTTGAGACATTTAATCTAATTTACAGTGAGCAACTGGAGATAAAACTGCACTTTAAAAAGAGGAATAAACCATGAAGCTAAAACACAGAGGTGGTTAAACAATTTGTCAAATGCCCCAAGTTTTTTATCTCAACAATTGTACTACATTACCACCCTAGTAGAGAAAGCAGCAAATTTCAAGGCATAGTATCAACGACAATCGAAAGAATCTGAGGCCTAGAGAGGGGCGATGACTTGTTGAAGACCACAAGGTCGTTGGCCCAGTAACAGCCTCTGAGAGAGCGCCCTGTCCTTTCTAATTCTCATATAAATGGCCAAGTGAGCTTTAACAGAAATGTGGACTTGAATAAAAGGAGGAATATGACTTCATGCCTTAGGAACTCGTGCTATATTCAAGAAAAACAAACTTATTTTTTTATCCACTCAAAACTGCAGTATTTATAACTAAAGCTGAAACATCCCTTTTCATTTAGGGCATAAGCCTTGAGAACCACAGAGCTCTTTTAATACCTCTTACAATTAAATGCATTACAAAACAGCAACTTACTCCAGCTATACCCAAACTCATCCTCTTTGTCCACTTCTGAGACTTTGCTCACAGATGATGGGGCTTGGTCACTGCTCATTTCTGCAAATGCTGAAGGAGGGGGTGGAGGTACACTGCACAATGGAGCCTTTTCTGGCTCTGTTTCAGACTGACTGGGTGCCTGTGGGAACAGGAGGAATGCAGTGGTTATGTGCAGCTTAAGGAGAAAAAAGTTAAGGAAAATAAGAGAATAATGTCAAAAACAAAAAAAAAAACTCGCTTTGAAATATCTGACACATAAACAGTGGGAAATATAAATACACATATAAATAAAATGGTAGACAGGATTCAGGTACAGTTTACAAAAACAAAGTGGGATGTTCACAGAACAATTCATTACATTATTATTTGGTATTTTAAGGTGATGAACTATTCAATTTTAAGGCTTAAATAACTTAAGATAAAAAATTATACAAACTTCCCTTTTGGAAAATTTCATTCACAATTTATTATGAATGTCCAGGGCTCTGGGCAAGATTTGGGAGGGGTCTAGAAAAGGTTTCCAAGAAACTAGAAAAAAATAAAGACAGTAATCAAACAACCAAAGATGTTCAAAGCTTGATAGTGAGACTGTACATAAACAATTTTTTATTGCTACCTGAATCCTCTCTCCAAATGACTGTGTGAACAAATCCACGAAAATGAACATCACACATGCATGTTCATCTCCCAGGGAGCTAGCTTGTTAGCAGAGAGCACACAGACTTGGATCTGAGGGGCTCATCTTAAGGGACAACACCATTGTTCCCTTGCCAAGGTAGCTTGCAAGGTGAAGGAGAAACATGGGAGACTATTTTATATAAACCCAAAGTATGGTATACTTGCTGTCATAGGTCCTAATCCAAAACAGGGCTTGGCTTCATCAAGTTATAGAGCAACATACTGAATATTAGAATTTAAAAGGATCTTAGGTCACTGAGTTCACTTTGCAGATTAATAAGCCAAGACTGTGAAAAGTCAAAGATTTTGTTCAAAATCACACAATGGTACGTTCTTTTTGTTTAATTCTTAACCCAATCTAATGTACTTTCCATTACACCAGGTTGTCTCCTCCAATTTCCGTAGTAAGACCGCACCTGGTCCAAGAGTCAGACATACCCAGCTGATGTTCTGACCCTGGCACGACAGTGTCCCTGGAGCCTATGTTCTCCTACCTTCTTTATTCCCCTTTCATCCTATGTAAAAATCCCTCTAATACACCTCTAATACACTTTATTTGATATGTGTATATTTGGGAAAAAATGTGAATTAAAAACAAAAAACCTCTTACAGAACACACTAAAGGATAGGCAAGCACAAATACTTGGGGATCATTAAGTGGTGTCAAGAATCAGAATACCACAAAATATACCAACTACTAAAACTATATGGCACTGAGTGTAATCTTTCTTCGATGATTCAGAAAGCACTTCGGGATTGTAAATTAGCCTACAATGACCATAATAAACATGATTTACTATTTTCCTGGCAAAGCACAGGAAAGATGAATGATAGAGACTTACGGGACAACAGATTTTCAAGTTACAGAATGTTTTGTATTAAAATGTCCAGCTTACACACCACTGGTCAGACAGACAGGAATTACTAGTACAAACTACACCCTTGTCATCTTTTAAAATGCTGGGCCATAAAACTCTCAAATTAACAATGTACAAATGAGAAATGAAGAAACAAAACTCATTTGACATACTAAGGTTCATTAAACATACTAGGTTGGGAAGTATGTAATTTAAAATTTTCTGGTTAAAATAAATACTTTTCTGTAACAACAAAAAATGTTAATAAGCAGGAATTAAGCCCATTTCACTTTTAAAAATTAGAACAAAATCTAATGTAAACTCATAATTTTAATAAATTTATGGGTACAAATTTTTAGATATTGCTTGCTATGTAATTTTTCTGAGCAAGTATTTTCCTTAACAAACAAATAAAACCTATGGTGTACAAACTGTTCAGGACCTTAGACTGTGAGCAAACTAAAATGGTTCCCTAACATAGCCAACGAATTGTAAAACAAATACAAGTTTAAATACATTTACTGAAGGCAAAGGTGTTCTATTTTACTGCCCCTAAGACATTCATTCTGAGATTAAATAATTGGCTTGTTGCTAGCACTTCTTAAAATTTTTTAATAAAAATACAACTCTTTAACCAAGATCATTCAGTGTTCACTGGCAACAATGTAAATTAAGTGCACCTGAAATCACGCCATGCCATGTATGCACATGGTATGATGTACACACACAGCACACTGTAACACACCACTTACTCATGGAAACTTCTCATTCAGACAAACCTTAAATGGTGTGGGAGCAAAAGGGTTAGTTGGGGAACAACGGAGGATAACTCTACTTGAATTCTGTAATTCCTATAGTAACAGAAAATATATTCCTTTAGATACATTATCTTTGGTTTTCTTTGTTACAAAGAAAGAAAATAACAAAGAATTTCATAACATGAAATTCCAATGAATATTCATAAAATGCTTCCTGAAAGAAATTGTTTACAGCTTTCTTCCTTTTCATGATTAAATTATAGCATATTAGTTCTCGTAAGTTTTTGTGTGAGTGTCAGACTTATAATTTCAGCAGAATGTGAGAACACCCAAGCACAGTTTCACATGTGCAGCAGCGGTTCCCGGGCTCCTGACTCAGGTACCCACGTGGACACAGTACATGAATATTCATGGGACTCTTGTAAACACATGACTTTCTGTGTTGTGATTAACTCACAGTGGGGATTTTAGGGCAACTTTGCATAAATCTATTCAAGACTTCAACCATTACAAGGCTTTTAAAAAGTTATATGTGACAGTATTTCATATATTTGGCAACTAGCAAAAACTTAAATATCAGAACATTTAACTCACACCAAAACACAGAAAAGGCACTGCACTCACAATTTTCCCTTACCCTTCGGAAGGACCATCTAATTTCAGCTACAAAAATGAATATGCTCTGGCAAGAAAATGTGCTTAAGAAAGGATTTACATGCCCACTCCAAACACACTGTTTTTTTTTTTTTTCCTGCCCCAATTTTGTAAACAGTGAACTGGGACAAGGCACAATAGTAACAAAGAACAAAACATTTGCAAAAGGCAATGGCAAGACAATGGGCATTATCCAACCTTGTCAGCGTTGAACTGCAGAGAGTCAGCAAATGGGTTAGTGCTGCTGAAGCTGAACTTAGGGTAAAGGTTGTGCGGCAAGGAAGGCAAGGGGGGTTTCTAAAAAGAAACATAACAGGCGCTAAGCGCAAAGAAATGTATTTCAGACAACTCAGTTTTAAGAACAAAGTACTTACTGATTTCAGTAACTGCAGAAAACTAGATCCTGTCATATTGTCAGATCTACTATTAACAACACCATCAGTCTAAAAAAATGTTTACCTCTAGTGACCTGAATCTGCATTTCTGTCTAAAGCTGGCCACCATCCCCACAGGAAATGCATCTGACAGATGGGTTCCTGAATTCTTTTATTCTCACTAAGCGTCTTCACTGCCAGACAGATGCATGTGTATTTGTCTACTTTATATACTAATATATATTCTATGCAGATCAATAAACATGTTTTAAACTAAAATCAAAAGTTTTAAAAATGTACATTTAAAAACAAGTATTATGCTTTTTTTGATAAAACAAAGAATGGTTTATCTGTTTCAGAATGCAAATTAAACACTTGTCTGCTAATTCACCGGTAATCTTCATTAGCCTTTTATTTTGTTTCCTGGTAAGGTAATTTTCATACTTCGACTAGGTATTAAGATTGCTTAAAGTTAATACTGTTTTAGTTAAAAAAAGATATCAATAATTTTTAAAAAGTGAATCACTGTACAGTGATGTTTCTATTTCTGCCCACTATTTAAAGTAGAAATATTATATATACATATATTTAAAATTCCCTATAAAAGTTCCCAATTCTTATATATTGGGGAATTTATGGGGCTTTGCAGGACACTTGAAGCCCTGCCCCAGAGTGTCTCTCATAGGTGCTGGGGCTCGCCTGTGTGTGGCACATGGAGTTAGGACTGCTGGGTTTGAATGTACTTATTAAAGGCAGGATGACTGCCAGACAGAATTTAACATTTTCATAGTTTAAGGGAAAGAAAAGCAATTTCCTTACCACAATAAATTCTCCTTCTCTTCATACCCGCTATCTTTTCCTTTTATTGACTACATCTTTCAAGGGAAAATGCAGACATTTAAAATTCATTTTGGCTCCAATTAAATGTTTGTGTTACTTCTCTCTATAAAAAAGCTCTACTGGCAAGCATCGAGAGTCGGGAGACTGTCACGTGACACCACCCTGCCTGGGAGAGCACTCAGCGAAGGCTACCCTCACTCAGTATGCCTGCACTGAAGTTCACGCCACATTACCCTTTCAATCTGCTCTTCTGCAATGTTTTTCCTACAGAGAGAAGACAGAAAAAAGAAATGGGCACAATGACATTTCTGTTCATCTCAACGTTTGCTCTGCTTTTCAGTTTAAAATGTCAACTCCTGCTTTACAAAAAAAAAGATCACAAATGCCAAGGAATGTGACCATATAGTATGATGGAAGAAATGACTAGGCAGAGATTAAAAACATATCCTAGGCAAAAAAAAGAAAAAGTCAATGCTACGGATGGTAGAGATTATTTCTAATCTTCATATGAAGAAGTTTTTGGTTTTACATTTCCTTTATAATTCTGGAGAATAATATAAAATAAAACCATAATGTCGAGAAATAGAATATTTAAAGAGAGCTCTAGTTTTTTTGCTTGCCTGCCTTCCTCCCTTCCTATTTTTTCTTTTAATTTGCAGCTCTTATAGGATTAGAATTTGGCCCCGAGAACAGAATGTAAAAGTACAGAATGAACACAGCAAGGGAAGTGGTAGATCACTATTATTAAAGAAAGATTTATAGAAACAGACTATGTTTCTTATTAAAAAATCAATGATGAAACTTCTGTTTATAGCTCCAAGGGCTGATAAAAATAGAAATGTTATTAAATAAGAAGCAGCACAGGGAAGACAAAAACATTCTCTGGCCCATATTAATAGGGCCCGCCCTTTCCTACAACAATGTAGTAGGACTGAGTTCTGGAAAGTGTCACACTGGTGGAATTATCAGGGCTAGCTCTGGGAAGTTCAGGATCTTGAACAGCCTAAGAGCCTATGTATGAGATTTTCTTAAAGCTTTATTATATCCATAAACAAAACATTTACCATTAAGAAACTTAGTTATTTGTGATTTTTTCCTTTAGATTATAGTAGATTCAATTTATTTTCATAGGAAAGTAAGTCATTGAATACAAAATATATCTCATTTTAAATGCAAAATTAATTATAATTTCCTAAAGCAAAATGCATATGTAGAGAAGGAAAAAAGCTTCCTGTACCCATCTTAGGTTTTCAGCTGGATCTCTGTAATAAGAGACAGATTAACAAGAGAAAAGTGTACATACTGATTTAACATAAGTTGCAAGTGACATGGAGCCTTCATAAGGAAATAAAGACCAGGAGAAATGGTTAAACCTGAGTGTTGTTACACTAGGCTGGATGAATAGTTGATAGTCGTGGAAAGTATCACAAAACAAAAGAATAAGAACTTAGTGGAGTGAACTGTGGGAAACTTAGCACAGTCTGTTCAATCAGTTCCCTCTCAGCATCCCTCCATCTTTTCTCCGGGGACAGGAAGGGCGCTCTCACAGGAGGACCTTACAACCTGCTTCAGTGTAGAAGGGGAGGTCAGAGTCATGCTAGCACCTGTCTTTTCCCAAATTCCTTTAGCTTAAATATTCAATACCCAACATGCCATACTTTGGGGTGGCATGTCCTGAAACCTTACTCGAGCAACATTTATCCTGGAATAATTGGTACAAAATCAGGCATCATTATAACTCAGATAATAAAATAGGAATATTTTCCAGGTGCAGGAAAAAAAAAACCTTCCCAGCTCATTAGAAAATGTGACTGGCACAGAAATAAATACTTGTAGTTTAAGTTTTTTTAGAAGTAGCATTGAGAATCCTATTCAGTAGTTTATTGTATCATCCTAAATGATATAAAAGTTTAAAATTAAAAATAAAACAAAAAAGAAATACATAAAACCCACCCACACAAAAAATAGCTTTAACTTAGACAGCCATTTACCAACACTATCATGCTGTGTCTATGTTTAACACAACAAATGGAAACAAATGTAGAAAGATTTATAGTTATTTAAACAAACTGAATAGCATTTGAAAAGAATGCAGTATGATGCAGCCCCACCATTTGGCAGATTTTCTCATCTGAATGAATAATTATTACCTAACAATAAACAACTGAATGATTAAAAACTGCAGATGTGAAGATAAATGCTTACATTACAAACAACTAAATTCATTTCTTACAGTAAACTCAGAGCAGAGCCACACACCTGTCTCAACAACAAAAGGAACGACCAATAGGATACATCTAGTCACTTTATTCAATGACACAAATTTTGACAGTTACTTTGATCTCATCTACAGAGCTGTTTGCTACTTTCCTACCATCATATTAAATTCTTAATTTTAAATTCTGAAAACTACTTTAAGTTCTTAATTTTAAAAGTTAAATGTATTTTATATAGTTACATATTTTAAATTTTAGATAATCCTTTTAACTCCCCTCACATATGCTGACCTTTTTCTTTAAAACACAATCGACTCTCAAAGCTAACACGCAGGTATCTCGAAGAGTCAGCAGGTCAGGAGTTCTCAGCTTCGATCTGGAAGTGAGCCTCTCTCTCAGCTTCAGGACACTCAGGAAACTCTGGCAGTGGTGTGCAAACCTTTCAGTGAACATGTGTGTTTCTGAAGAACTTTCTAAAGGCTATGCAGCCCAGATATATTTAAAAACTGCTGCATGTTAAAATATTTTCCTTTTTACTGAGGTATAAAGAAGGAATAGAAAAATAGTTTTAATTCTTGGCACAATTTTCATCTTTGGCAATATTAGGGTATATCAAACATACAAAGCCTCACTTAGTATCTTCTCCCTCCACAACATTCACTAAATGCCTTAGAGTTTTAGAAATAATTTTGAAGCCATTTTACCTGTGATGGCTGATGGTAAAATGGGTTAGTAGGTTTCTGTCCACCAGGGATGAAGCAGCAATGTAAAGCTATACAGTGATTGAAGCTGGGAAGCAGCAGTTATGAAATAACTCATATAGAGACATACAGCTTAAACAAAATCCATCATGTGTAAATGTAATGTTCAGTGGGACAGATAAATACATTAAGATCATTCACTGGTGATCATGAAATTTCATAAACTGAAAATTCTAAGGAAATCAATTTGTAAAGAAAATATCATCTCTCTGGCTTGTAAGGGACTCCACTGAAGGTCAGAGACTATTAACCTCAAAGACTATACCACATTTCTCTTAACAACTTACATACTTTATATCTATAATGAACATTAATAATTGTCCATCATTGGCCACCAATGAATCCTACTTCTGTGCATTTAAAATAAACTTCAAGTGTTTATTAAACATGGTAGAAGGGATTTCCAGGACAACCCAATTAAGAAAAACAGGCAAAACAAACTTTTAACAAGTCTCCTGAGATTCCAAGACTCAATATCTTTGCGTTTAGAGACAACTTGGCCCTTGATCCATTAGATTCCAAGTTGAACACTGTTTGGTTATGCCTACCTTGCCCTTTGTGTTTGCTTACCCTTGGTCTGTTTATAATGCTCTGTACCATAAAGACTACGGGGTTGCCTGCTTTCCGAATGGCTTCCACAGCTTGTTCGTGGCTTGCATCTCTGAGGTCCATGCCATCCACCTGCAATGGAAGGCCTCAGCTTAACATTTCAAGAAGCTATAGAACAACAGAACAGTTTGTGGATCTGGAGTTCTGAAGATCCTTGGAGGAGGCTCCTGGAAAATCAGTTTCAGAATCAAAAATAATTGAGACTGTATGTGAGGCTTTAGAAATTTTAATGTGGTCACCAGACTGTGGTCCCTTGTTTTGGACACTGATTTCTGTCTCCAGTAATCAACTGAAATAATAACCAATTAGAATGAAGGCTCTGCTTCTGCTTTCCTTACACTGCTTGGCTGCTCCTTTAATAAATGTGCATAATTAAATAAATAATGTAAGGGAACTGCCTAGTAGCACTGTCTTCATCATGAATGTCATAGAAATTTTTTTTTCCAATTCATTAAGAGTGCTTTGGCAAGTGGGTGGGTGATGGCACTGTGCATTCTTCTCTGGACAGGGAAGCTTGAGGATGAAAACAAAATTGTGACATTCAGACAGAATAGGTTATGGTAAGGTTAGTTTTGCAAAGAATCTTTGCAGCAGACATGACAGGAGCAGGAAGCCAAGAAATTGTGCTTACTTGTTAGTAATTCTTATATAAGTAGCTTGGAAATAAAAGTTATTTTGTAACCTTTTATTCAGCATGGCTTGCCTCCGTGATGATCAGCTGAGCTGATGCACTATGTGGATAGGAAGGAAAACAGTTTGAAAGGCCAAATGCTAATCCTGTCAGAAAACTGTAGGATACTATATCATTTTATCATTTTCAATTACTGCAATATGGTATATACAACAAAATAACAAAATTAGAAGGGGCCCAATTCTGGAAAACTATTAGATCTCTGCATAGAACATCATCATCTTTAAAAAAGTATATACATGAATATATACATGTAATTGAAAAACTCCCTCAGGCTGATACTTAGGGGATACTTAACATCTCTTTTTGTGCATTTTAAAAATGACTTCTAACTTTTGTAGAATAAAAGTTAGTATTCATGTGTACTATATATATCATTAGTGGGAAAATTTAACTGGACATTAAATATATTTGCTCACATCCAAAAAACTCTCTACTTAGAATAAAATCATTTGCAAGTCTCTACTCATCTAGTCTACATATGTTTTCAGAAACTCTTAGCAGAAATGTCATAGAATCCCCAGGATTACAGAGGCCTAAGGCTTCCTTATTTACAAGAAAATGCCCTTCACATAACAGCACTCAGCAAACCACTGCTAAACACCACACAGTACTTTACCACAAAAAAATCATTTTCAATTGGATAGGGATGTTTTAATATTCTTAATACATTTAAACAATATTTTGGTGAAAACTATGATCAATCCTTTTCATAAATAATTATAAGCATTCCTTCCTTTCTCTACTTATGTCAAAGGTACTTAATAGTGAAGGACCCATAAAATAAACTGCCTTGTGATCATCTAAAATGGAAATTTTAGGTAGAATTCTTTAAAAGGGGGCTAAGATTTCATCTGAAGAAAGGTAAGTATGCGGGAAGAGAAAAAAAGCCCACCATTCTTCCTTGTAAGTAGTTGGAGGAAAAATAAAACATACTCGGCTCTTGCTTTCTCCCAAGTCTCAATCTTCTTCCTTCTTCAGCACTCAGCAATCATCAATCAATCAATCACTCAATCCCCAAAATGCTAATTTTAAAATAATGGCTAAATTATAACCTTCTTCTAAACAATTAAGGCATTTTAATGTATAAGTTCTATGATATTAGAAAGTGAGAGACAATCACTTGTATAAAGTAAATATAACGGGGGCTTACTATGTGTAAGTCCCCATTATATTTAAAATTGTATAGTTTAACATTGCATTTATTTTTTGCAGAGTTGAACTTTGGAGAACCCAGCAAATTTCATAGTAATAAAGCAATGAGTTTCTATTTGGAAGCTGTCTATTTTAGTCTACTCTATAAATCCTGACAACTCAGAAAATCTGAATCAGGTATCTTTTTACTCTCTTAAGTACAGTAACACTATGCTTATCATGACCAAATAATTTATCACAGTGCTCTGAAGTGACCCGATTACTTGTCAAGTCTGTCCCACTTGACAGGCAGGCATGGCGCCTCCTTCCCTGTGGGACACCCGGAGCCCACTGGAGCACCTGGAACACAACAGTGGCTCCAGGGATACCTGTTAAGTAAACGAGTGAGTAACTCCTGAGGGAAGTCTACTGAAACCATTAAATTTTGCTTTGAATTAAGGAATTAGGTACAATTTGATCAAATGCTTTTCTCTCATACATAACCAAACGCACATGTGTACACACATGTGTGGCAAACACACAGCCTTGAGTGATGAATGGGCACAGCACTGAGAAGAAGGAAAATCCGAGTTTGGCCTGGGGCTGGGGGCATTTAAATGAAAAGTAATCAGGGCCTTAGCATACGAGATTTTTAAAAAAGCCTCATTTGGAAAAAATACCTCATTCAACTAAGTTTACAATGAAATGATAACTATATTTTTGAAATGAAATCTCAATTTCAACTTAATTATAATGGACATATTTTGCATGTGAATATATACTGTTAAAGAATTATTTCCCCAAGAAATCTGCTTTGCTCTTTTAATAAGAACTTAATTATTTTCTCTCAGGGCCAATGTTTTTGAAAATGGTTGGTAACACTCTCAAACTTCAAGATATATAATCTGTCAGCATATACTGAAGACAACAATTGTGGATGAAAAGAAACAAATAAGAAATGCTTTGCCCTGGCCAGGTGGCTAAGCTGATTGGAGGGTTGTGCCATACACTAAATGGTTGCAGGTTCGATTCCTGGTAGGGGAGCTTATGAGAGACAACTGATCCAAGTTTCTTTCTCACACTGATGTTTTCCCCCTCATCCCCTCCCTGTCCTCTCTCTCTAAAATCAGTGAGCATGTCCTCGGGTGAAGATTAAATACATTTTAAAAATAAGAAAAAGAAAAATCTAAATGCTTTAACCACAAACACATTTTACTCTAATGTTCAGTTGAGCAACCAATGTAAAGATGGTGATTCCCTTGGTAAAGAGGATGCAACAGGTAAAGAGTGTTAGCACAGAAAGCTCAGTGGAGGGTACCTCTACTATTCTATCTCCAGGTTTCAAGGTTCCATTTTTCCCAGCTGGACTATCTTCCAGAACATGCTTGATGAAAATGCCCCTCATCACTTCACCGTTGCTTAGACGACTCCCCATCCCTCGTCCACCAACAATGCTGATGCCCAAGGATTTGCTTGGTTCTCTCCAAAGCTCAACCCTGTAAAAAATAAACACAATGTTAAGTTCATAAGAAAACAGGGGAAAAGTTCATGACACTGGATTTGGCCATTTTTTTAAAAAAAGAAATGACACCACATTACAGACAACAAAAAGAATAGCATAACTGGACATCAACAAAGTTAAAAACTTTTGTTCATCAGAGTATATTATCATTAGAGTAAAATGACAACCCAAAGAATAAGAGAAATTATTAGAAAGTTTCTGATAAGGGATTGAACACATAGAGAACCTCTAAAACTCAACAACAAAAAAATGAAAAACATGATTAAAACTGGACAAAGAACTTGAATAAAAATTTCTCCAAAGAATACATATACAAATGGCCCATAAGCACATGTAAAGATGCTTAACACCACTAATAGGGAAATGCAAATCAAAACTACAATACAATGAGATACCACCTCACACCCATTAAGATGGCTACTGTAAAAAAAAACACACACACACAAAAAAACAAAAAAGAAAAGTGTTGGCAAGGAGAAATCAGAGACACTGTGAAGGAATTTAAACCCTTGAGCATGCACTGTTGGCAGCAATGTATAATATTTTATCTACTACTGGAAAACAGTATGGAAGTTCCTCAAAAAATTTAAAATAAAATTAGTATATGATCCAGCAATTCCATTTCTGGATATAGACCCAAAAGAATTCAAAGCATGGTCATGAATATATATTTGTACAACCATATTCATAGAAACATCATTGAAAATAACCAAATGGTAGAAGCAACCCAAGTGTCCATCTACAGGTGAATGAATAAGAAAAATAGCATATACAAATAATGGAATATTATTCAGACTTAAAAAGAAAGGAAATTCTGACACACTCTACAACATAGATTAACCATGAGAACACTATGCTAACTGAAATAAGCCAACTATTGAGATAAAGCACAAACTCTATAATGATTTCACTTATTTGATGTACCTAGAATAGTCACATTCACCAAGACATAAGTAGAAGGGTGGCTGCTAGAAGTTGGGAAGAGGAGGAAATGAGGAGTTATTAAATGAGTCAAGTTTCAATTTTACAAAATGAAAGAGGTTCTAGAGACGATGGTGGTAATGGCTACACAGTAATTTGAACGTACTTAATGCCACTGATCTGCACACTTATACAAGATTCAAATTGTTCAAAATTATAATAAATATTCTAAAACTCAATGGAATGTCTTTATATATTGACTTTTCAAATCTTACTTGCTCAATTTACTAAAGTTTGACCAGCAGTAAAACAAGGTCATTTTAAATACTTCCCAATTATGTGTCTTACACATTCTGATAAATACTCATGCATTTCTGAAGCTCATTTGTCATATGAAGTAAATACTGGACTTATATACTCCAGGCTGGGCACGGGCCAATATTAAAAATACCATTTTTTAAGACCTCTACTATTGTAGATATCAAGTAATCAAGAAATGCAGCTACCCCTGAAAAGACAGTTCTAAGCTTAGCAACCCAATCAAGAGAAAGAACATTCCTGCACTCACTACATTAGAAGCTGACCTATGTCCAAGTCTTCCTTGCCAGTGCAGATCTGGTAACTAACAGTCAGTGGCTGCCAAGATCCTACATGATCTGATCCCACTACCATTTCCATAATAGCGTCTCTCACGGCTCTCCCCTTTCCTCTGTCTATTCCAAACTCACCATCTTCTTGCTATTTCCTAAATTCAACAGACATGCACTCCTGCCTTGGGGCCTTGGCACTTGCTACTTCTGTCTTGCATTCACTTCCCCTAAACACATAAATACATGAACTCATTTACCATAAATCCAAATATCTTAGAAGAGCTAAGGATGGACTGAAAGTACACATCTTGTGAAAAGGTTGGGATATAAGGATAAGCTGATTGGCGGTGAGGGTTTTGGCCAAGATGAGGGAGCAGCTCAGGGAACTGGAGGAAAACAGATATCAAGCAGAGAACCTGGAGATAGTGAGACTGCAACCTGCTCCTTGCTGCAGAGAGACAATGTTGGACATTAAACAGGAGAAGAAAGCATGGTGCCAACATGCCCTCAACCTTGACATTCAAGGGGCTCACAGAGGAGAGGAAAAGTTGGAGTGAGGCTCCAGGGCAAGGAGGGAGACCCCAATAAAAAGAGGCTGAGGATAAACTAGCACCCCAGGTGGAGTGAGAGGTGGCTACTGGTCAGACTGAGTCAGATGATGAGACACTTCTTTGATCCACAGTTTTTTTCTTTATTAGAAATCTACAATCCCAGAGACCCTACCTGTTTAGTTTAAAAACATGTCACCGTGATCCTTATCTTATAAAATTTGTATGAATAGTTTAAACTCCTTAAAATCCCATTCCTCACATTCTTTCACTCTAGGAATTCTGTGAAAGACAAAAAACAACAAACTTCCTTGTCTCTAAAGCAGTTCCTACAGTAAAATGGCAAAGTAAGTAAGTCAGTAAAGTTAGTCACTGTATTAATATTTAAGATGCCAGAATACATGGGTGGGACTCCTCAATTCTTCTTCCAAGAAATAAAAAGTTAAAAGACAAAAAAGAAAAAAAGGAAGTAGCTCCTAAGGTGTTTTGTGGTTGGTGTAAATTAAAAAGCGGGTCTTACAATCTCTTGATTAAAAATAATAGCAGTAGCAAACACTTATTAAGGGCTGATCACATGCTGAGCATTATTATCTAAGTTTCACACATTTCATTTAATTCTCACATCATCTTTATGGGGTGGACATGCCTATTAGTCCCATCTTATGAAGAAGGGGAGAAGCACAGAGGGGTTAAACAACCTTTGGATAATAGCACAAAATGCTTACAAAGGGTTTGGCACAGACAGCAGTGTTTCCAAGTAACACCCCCTAGAAAAAACACTGTAACTGAAAAAACTGAAGAAGATAACCAAAGGTGCACTGCCAGAATGAAAACAGTGCTGAGGAACCAGGTTCATTATTCATGGAACGGAGCATGGCAAACATTCCGTGGAAAGAAGAAGACTCATAAAAGAAAAACTTGATAGATTGTGTATGGAGTTAGTTTTACATAAAAATGGCAGCCTTTCGTGTAGACTTATACAGAGATTTAAATAGAATGAAATTCAGAAAAGCAAAAGTGAAACAGAATTCTGAGGCCAGGCTGTCTAAGCTCAAACTAAGTCCCTGGGTTCAAGTCCTGCTCTTTTGCTACTTGACAACTGAGTGACCCTCTGCAATCTCCTTAGTCTCTCCCTTGCTTTCCTCATCTGTGAAATGGAGTCAATAAGAATCTCTACATCAGACTGTTGCTGTAATTACTAAATTAATGAAAACACATAAAGTGCAAAACAAAACTTTGACACACAGTAAACAACTAGTAAGTCTACTATCACTCTTATTATGATTACTGAAGCAATGTGATTAAGCAGCACATCAAACTTAATCCATATCACAAATGGGCAAATACGAGCTCTGCCACCTCAATCCTGTTATACCTACATGTTGTTTGTTAGAACACGGCACCATTTTCTGCCCATCAGACTGACAAAACCCTTTTTTTTAAAAAAATAACCATATGATGAAGTAATAAGGGTATAAGGAAAAGGGAACTCTCACATATTGGAAAAAGAAGAAAAACTGATACAGCCATCTTATAAAACAAGTTGACAACTTCTAAGAAAGTAAATAATACATTTAAATCTATGAACCAGCAATTCCACTTTTGGGTATATACCTAGGTAAATTCTCATAGATAACTATAAGGTTTCCTATAGAATTATTATAATAGTGAATAACTCTCAACTATTCAAAACTCAATTTGAGAATAAAATGTGGTATATTTATATATTTAAGTGCACTACAACAACTAAATTGAATTAATAGATCTTTAGGAATCATAACATATCTTTAAAATACTGGGTTGAGAAAAAAGTAAGCAAGCTGGAAAATGACATATAAAACAGTATGGCACCAATATTTTAAATCAAAACCACGTGCAAAATAAGACTAACATAACTTATTTGCAATTTTAAACTTTACACTTCGCTAAAAAGTATTCTCTATTTCCACACAAAGCACAATTTTTTGAATGCATGAATAAATGTTATTCCAATGATATAAAGAATATTCATAACATTTGCTCCTCATTTACCAAAAGGTGTGGTTATTTTGGTAAGTTTCCTCATAATATTCTGTGAACATAATAATCAATGAAATTTTCTCCCAAAGTACTTTAGTGCTTCTTTACAGAAGTATCATTTTTAAAACTTATGAAAACTCAAGACATCTTCTTTCTAAATGTAGTTACGACCTTTAGAGACATCTCCTAGGCAAATATGAAGGTTAAAATTTAGGATAAAATTAGAAAATATTCCTGTCTAGAAGTTACATTCATTCTTTCTCATAAGAAAATTTCATAATGATTTCAGTGTCCAACACCTTCTCTTTGCTTAGTTGTCAGTGATGATGATGATGGTGGTGGTGGTGGTGGTGGTGGTGGTGGAGATGTTTGACAAGGCCAGCCACTGACTGAGTGCTCACTGTACCAGGCACTATGCTAAGAATTTTAAATGAATTATCACAGTAAATTCTCCCCACCCTCCTAATTTAAAAGATTCCATTATTAATCCCATTTTATAGATGAAGGAACTGAGGCCTAGCAGAAATTCAACAACTCATCTTAGTGTCAAAGTCAGAATTCAAACACAGCTCTTACTGACTCCAAACATTTTGCACAGTGCCTTCCAAACACGGTTTTTCCTCCCATAATATTGTTAAATCTGCTGCCCTATCTTCTGCTTTCCCTGTGATTACTGTCCTCCAACAAAGCTCAAGTTCATCACTATGGTCACCAGCTACAAAATAATTTCATCTGGCAATTGTGCTTCCACCCTCAAATGAGAAACTTAACACCTTACACTATATATATATATATTTTTTGCCACAGACCTAGCATTTATATTCTGTTCTCAATATGGATAATGTAGAGACTGTGATTTCTTTAAGCAGGCTAAGCAGCTTTTTAAAAATTCAAATGAAGTAAGCCAGGAGGTGAAAGACAAATACCATATGATCTCACCTATAAGTGGAACCTAATCAACAAAACAAACAAGTAAGCAAAATATAACTAGAGACACTGAAATAAAGAATAAACTGACAGTAATCGGAGAGGAGGGGAAAGGGGAATAACAGGGGAAAAAAGGGGGAGGGTCATCAAGGAACATCTATAAAGGACATATGGACAAATAGAAAGGGGGGTAGGATTGAGGGTGGGAGGTGGGGGTGGGTGGGGTGGGGCTGTGTGGTGGGGGAAAAGGGAGATGCCTGTACTTGAACACCAGTAAAAAAATAATTCATATCAAGAAGCTGTTTTGGATGGCTGGAAATGCTTATAGGGTTTTTTTGTGTGTGAAAGCAATGTACATTTTCTATACTTTAAACATGAATCAACCCAGAAAATGTTTCAATGTGATGACTGCTGCTTCGTATTCTTCTGTAAGCAAGAAAAATCATGAAACTGTATGTCTCTGAAGACTATAAATTACTCTCCTTGAGCATTTTACTTATTCATTGTTGTAAAATATATATTAAGTTTTTACTCAGTACAAGGCACAACTATGATGGTCATCTTTAGATCTGCTCAGAGGGAGCGTCCAGTGATTATTTACATTTTACACTTAAGGAAAAATACCTTATTATTTTTATTTAATTACATTGTGCATCTCTGTATGTCACCTACCCAAGTACAGTACAATTTGCCTTTCTTCAAAGGCAAGATTTATGTCTTATATTTCCCTGTTACCATAAAATCATCTGCTTCTCATCTGGGTCCATAATAAGAACTCAATACATTTCAACAGAAGTGAATTTGATTTTATTTAGTATGAACACAAAAACCTGCCTTAGTGATGTACAGTGATACATGTGAACATATTTAGGACAGACATCTTGTCCATTACATATGAAATCAGTTATAGACAAACACGGGTTTGAACAGCAACAGCCCACAGTGACAAGACGCTACTAACACACGATCGTATGGCACACATGTTCCGAATATATCGTTTCTACAAATGGTAGAGAAATTTTAAATTAACATTTGATGGTATACCTAAGACTAAACTCTACAGAAAATAACCCTTCTAACCACCAATGTATAATTTTATGTACTCCCTAATACATGCCAAACTCTCACATACATGTTAGTTTTAACCCTGTGTGATCTATATTATCTTCTGAACCTCTCTACACATAAAGAAGCACAGGTGTATTAAACGACCTGCCCAATGTCACAGTATAAAGCTGTAATCCAGCACTTGAAACCACACCTTCCTATTTTTAAACACTGAGTAGGCTGAAGACAGAAACAGTGCTTACCGCCGGGGCTGATTCCAATTGCTGTACGCTGCATTCTGAAGTTCACTTTCTTCTCCCTCTCCTTCTTCTCGCTCTGGCAATTCTGGAATGTCTCTGTGAAAGAGTTACACATTGAGTACACCCAAATCCTAGTAACCCCATGCAAGGCTGTCATATATGTCCTTGATTGATCTGGCTAAAAAGGCAGAACTGCTTTATAGTTTCACCACATTTAGCCATGTGGTATGTAATAGTTTACATTAAGGGGAAAATAAAAAATTTATCAAACAAAATAAAAAACTTACATTAGAACCAATCTACCCTCCCTAACTTAGTCTGAAGACACAGCTGAACACTAGGTGTCTTGTCTAGTCTCTTTCCTGGTGAAACATGGGAAAATAAATGAAAAGAGAAGGGGACAGATACAGAATTTTAAAGAAAAACTATTTGACAGGCATTTTTTTAAATATACCTACCATGTGCAGGAAGATAGAAGCACCATATGAGTTATAAGCTCCCACAGCCCTGGCTGATGACCCCTGACCTAAAGAACTTCTGATTAAGCCAGGAGTTTAGCATCAATGCTTCCTAAGAATGGACCAATTCATTCCCTTCACCTTTTGAAGAAAGATGAAAATGCTTGTGGTCCACCCCCAGCCTATCCAGGGGGGTCAGACATAGACCACTCCATACAGGAAGCAGTTTACAATGCACCCATGTTCAAGGTCACTTTTCAATTTTGGTAGGAGTCCAGATTTTGCAAAATGCCAGGCATATAACAAAATGTGTCCAGTCAAGTACCATAAGGGCCACAGAAAATAGTTAAATCAATTATGGTGTCTTATGTTGTTAGAAGAAATTGAATTTCTAGAGAAATTTTCATATATTCAATTAAAAGCAGAGGCTAAAAAAATCTTGATTCAAAAATGATTTTCAGCTGATTTTTACAGAAATTGAAGACTCAAAAGAAAAGTATATTCTCAAATTTTATCCATTCTCCATTGGAAGGGATACCAAATTCTGTCAAATGACATAATCTTTAGATTCTGAGGTCAGAAGTAGTTAATCCAATAATTCATCTGCATTTGAATGTGCTTCACAACATTTTTGGCAAGTAGATGTCCAGGCTCTTACATGAATTTCCCATCTTTTTCTTTGACCTGATTGTTAGTTTTGTTTTGTTTTGTTTTGTTTCAACTATTAAAAGGAAGTCTGTCTGCCTATACGTCCTGCCCATTGGTTGTGTGTTGGAATTCCCCTCCCGTGCAAATGGAGGAACTAGGCTGTGCGTGATGCTGGGGTTCTGAGAGTCTAAGACAGACAGTGGGACAGGACTATGGGGAATGGAGTCACAAAAGAGGGGATTTTAAAAGTGATGCTAAGACACTGACTGAAAGTGAGACGTCTGAGTGAAGCTATTATCCAGATGATACACGGCAGAGAGATGAAAACTAGGACTGACCCTCTGGAACATAACTGGAAAGAGTATTACAGAAGCAGCAGGTGTGGAAGGCAGACAAGAAGAACTTAGAAAGAGTTGCTAAAATATTCAGTGACAGCCATGGGTTGGGTGGAGGTCCTCACCCCTGGACTCTCACCTATGAGGCTAGTCAGAAACACTCAGAGTCTCACAGGCTCATGCTTCTTTAGCTGCAAGAAGACTAGCATCCTGAATCCTCTGATACAAAGAACTCATTCTCTTCAAATGATTCTGCAGTCTGGAATCCTTTCCCTATCTGAGATATGCTCCTATTCATGTGTTGATTATTCTTTATGCATCCTAGGTATGGTTTGCAGGGCTCACGTGTCCTGTGTTCTAAAGAAGAGAATGGACTGATTCTCTTCCTCTTGCACTCACTCAGCCAGGAATGTTTTTGAATACCAGTAACATTTCTGTCAACTATAAAAATCCCCTTTACATGTGCATTTAGGTGCCAGACATTGGCACAAGGTAACACAGTCAAGTAGCACTAACCTTTTAATTGAGCTCATTTTACTATGAAACCTCAGCTCTTAACCTACGTGCTATGCTGCCCATATTTTTATCCTGGGCTTGGGCAACTCTTTCTTTGGATCCAATGGTTCAAAACATGGAGCCCGACTGTTTACATTCCAATCTTGGCTCTGCCACTTATTAACTATGAAACTTGGGCAAGGTAGTTAGCCTCTCTCTGGTGCAGACTCCTCCTCCATAAAATGCAGACTGTTTTGTTTTGAGCGCCCTTATATTAATAGCAAATACACTTTCTCTGCAGTGAAGCAGCCAGTCACAACACTGCACCACCTAGGCCATTCCCTGGTCTGCTGAAGGAGGCACAGTGCTGCAAGGGCCTCTCTCTCCCTAATACATTTTGAGTATATTTAAGTCCTTGGTGCTTAAAAGAATATGATGTTACTTTGGGATATTCTTTAATTAAACCATTCGAAATGATATTTCTGAAGGATAGTGGAATAACTGCTTTTAGCATTCTGACAGAAAGCATCAGGGAGCTCTAATCAATTCATGCCATTAACCCTGAGAAAGACATTCTAGAAGAGAGTGTGGCTGAGCTTTGTACAGACAGGGTAGGGTGAATACTCCTCTTCCCATAAAATTCATGAGGCCTCAAGGCCGTGACGTTCCTTCCCTGTATTAAACACACACCTTCCCTTCCCTAACACTTTCTGTATCACTGCACTCATGTGCAGTTTGTAGAGGGAACAGTGATGTCATACTGTGATCCTGCAGAGTCACTGGGGACCAAAGTGTTCAGGGATGTTCTAACGTTCTCTGAGGAACAGTAGAACACTTCTGAGAAGATCCCAGAGTATTTACAAAGCCACTTCTGCTCTGCTGCATGCCTAAAGGGAAAGCTGGTACTCGGTTGCCAGTGCAACTAAAAACACACAAAAAACAGGCCCACAGCTGAGAGTGTAAAACGGTACATTTTACCTGGAAAAGCAATTTCACATTATTTTTCTCCCTGTCTTAAACTCAGCAGCAGCACCAAAACCTAGTTCCTGACTTTCCTAAGGGAAAAAAAGACAACTTTTTCCTGTTCTTACTACATTGTGTATCAAGAGCATTTAAAAGGTATACACTCTCTTCTTCCTAATGTGTGTATGTATATATGTGTGTATATGTGTGCACACATGTGTGCATGTGGGTGTGTGCGTAGGTGAGTATATGCATGTGCACATGTGTATATGTATGTGCATGTGTGTGCATGGACATGTGTGCACATGTATACATGTATGAGTATATAAAGACATTCAGGTGAACATTCTCTAAAATTAGAGTAAAAAGTAGCTATTAAAATATTTCTCAATCTGTATGTATGTTAAGAAAAGGAATAAATAAAAATGCTGAAGATGCTTCAAAATACTTACAAAGAGAAAAAACATTATAAAATACTAAACAAATTGTAGCTTCCAAGGAATTAATGAATAATACTCATACGTAGGGTGAATTCCTCCAAACTCAATATGTTAAAAGTGCTACCTATATTTAGTGGTATAATTAGAAGCAATTTTAGTGTTTTAATTGGAATTTTTATATTTTCCACACTATGTCATAATTGCTTAAGTATGGGGGGAGGATGAAAATATTTTTTTTATGTTGAAAGAAAGAAAGGTAGTTTCTTTCATTGCTGGTCCTCTTTACTGTGGACTCAAAACTCTCCTTTACATATAATGTTGTCTACATTATTCATTCATTGTAGTAGATTTACTGTTTCATTTACCTGCCAGTGTATGAAGAAAAAATATCCAGTGCCATTATTCCTCCATGTTGTTGTCCCAGGTTTATTCTAAAATCTTCCAAATGCTCTGCAGGCACATAAGTTATTCTGGAACAGAACATAATCCATGAAAACAAAGGGAAGCAAAGCTTTGGCTAACTCTTAGGGATAGCTTCCAAAATATACAAATAAATTATATTGTCCCTTCATCCCTACTGTTTCACACAACTCATTTAATCAGCTTACTCATCAGAGAATCCAAACTTCAACAGAAAAAGTGTCCTATAGTAAAAGTAACAGAAATTAAAATTTAAAGTGCTACCAATAAACTATGTGTTTAACCAATAATTACATGGGGGAAGAAAACAACATTATTAATATTTCCAAATGAGAAGGGTAAAACAACTTTTTGTACTTAGAAAGATGTATAAATTCTTAGGGAAAGAATTGTCAGTAGTAACATTGATTTCATCCAAAAAGCCTTGGTTTCCTTAGCAGGAACAAATTAGGCATACACTATTAAAACACTGAGTTTTTATTTTATGTAAATAATTTTAAAGTCTTCTACAATGCATACTTAATTATGGATATTAACAAGTATTATCAAAAAATAAATGTTAGTTCTATTAAGTTATGAACACTCCAAGCCTGAAGTTAAGCTGTTAAAGTTTATGGAAAGATACTGTTACTAATTTGTAGCAACTTCTTATAAGTTCATTTTGGTTTCAGAAAAAACCTATTGTTTAAACTTGAATGGTCACTTACAAATTCAACAAGTACTGGCTGAATGCCTCTAATGTGGGAGGTACTGAGTCAGATGCTGACTACTGCTATAATGTTTAGACAGTGACACTTGAAAATTCAAGTTCAGGGCTGCCCTATCAGGCTTTATAGTTGATACACTTGTTTCAGTGGGCTGTTCCAAGATACTCAAATTAATGAAAAGGCAAGCATTTGCAGCCAGTTCAGCATGTTTGCACAACTGGAAAAAGAAATACACAGAAAAATGCACAATGTAAAAATTATAAAGACTATTAAACCAGCTATCCATAACTTACCCATAAAGACAATAACTATTAAAACCTCAGCACTGAGGTGCAAGGATGAAAGGATTATCTTTTATGTTATAATAAAATAAGAATTACACCAATGTCATAATTTATTGAGTAAGGAAGGCATGTAATTTCAGTATACTGGTTATTCTATAAAAAACATTTACTCTATGAAGTCACTTAGATTTGGAATCAGAAGACACAGTTCTGTTACTCATCAGGAGTGTGACGGGAAGGTGAATCACCACCGCTCAATTGCAGAAAGGACACTGCTTTTTATGAGGATGTTGTAAACTGAGATGCATAATACCAGTGTTCTGACAGGACATCAGCTAGTCCTGTCACACCTGATCACCCTGGCAAAATCCGAGGACCCCTGGGAATCTCTTCATGACATTTTTACATAGAGGTTTAAAAAATGAAGCAGGAACCTAGATTTAGGACTAGGCTGGGTGAGAGAGTTGCATTCTAATTTGGACCTTAGTGTATTCATCGATAAAAACACCTTTTCCATGGTATTAAAATACAGGGTACAGCAGAAGTAACGCCTGCTTGAGTGTGGTTGGTAGGGTACGTGAATGTCTCGCATGAGATGGACAGCAATTTGAACATTTCACCTAAAATATCATATGGTGTGCTTAAGTGTGACATTGTTATGTTACAGAATTACATGCTTATGATTTTGTAATACAAGATTTTGTAATAAAAAGGGGCATTATGTGTGCTGGACCATGGATATTGAATAGTAAATTTATATTTATTCATTCAAAAATAATGAGTCAAAATATCTAACACGTGATACTGGAAAAAAAGACTAATTGTATTTTATACAAAAAATTAAGATAATCAAAAAACCCCAAGCCTGACAAGCCTGTTCAAGAAAACTGGCATTTCTGAAGATCCAATGTGGTTGAAGACATGTAAGTAAAACCTTAAGGGAAAAAAAAAAGCCAGGGGGAGGTGTGAGGGGAGGAAGCTAAAACATGACAGTGAAAATAATGATAATTAGTTCAAAGTATTTAATTTTTCAACTGGCTTGAGAAGGAAAAGATATTTCTATATCAAATAATGTTTAAAGGAATTTTCCTCTGTATTTGTTCAAAGGTGGTTTTCTTTTTAGCAAAGGGTGAGGGATGGGGAGCGTTACAAATATTTTCCTGATATTTTAGGTAACAGTGAGAAAGGTTACAGAAGGCAGAGCTTCCACAAATATTTAGCCCAACGTGCACAGCATCCCACAGTGCAGCAGCGCCCACGGAGCAGCCCCCACTCACGCCTGCTCACAGAGCCACGCAAAACCTCCATCTTACCGGGAAGAGCAGCACTACGTACGAACTGCACAAACACACTGAAACTGCTTGTTTGAGAGCTGTGTTAAAGAATTCTTAAATGTAAACTAATCTTTGGTTAGATGTGGAGTGGAAGAAAAAGTGTAATATCAGTGATGCTGAAATGTGATATGGCTCTTCATCCAGGGCCCACACCTACACACACAGACAGGACTGTTCCCTGACAAAGGAACTTAAACACTCAGGAGTTGAAAACTATGATTTTCAAATAGGTTCACAATCATTAGCACAATGTGAAAAATGTAACAATCTCACATCTTTGTTCCTATGTAAATGAAGAAAAAAAAGCCAAAATCTATACACTGAATCTATATCTGGATCTTTCCCTGCATCAGAATGTTACAAAAGTATGAAATGGTTTTCACAGACAAGTTGTAACACACAGCCATAATGAGCTTTTTGACTCACCGATACTCACACATAAAAGGGGGCTCGATCATCAGCAGGTGCTGTAGAAAATCTAGAATGTGAAGCATACGCCGTGGCATCTTTTTACAATGGTGTTAACAAATGTCACTGTCTTGTGCTGAATATGAGATGCACACATATGTAGTTAAAAGTGGGTGCTCCTGGTTGTTTTTCCCCCTTTCCACCTCCCTCCCTTCTACACCTCCCCCAGAAAAGCATCTGCTCTTTACTGGTGTCTATAGCAATGATTATTAACAAGCATGGAAAAATGTAACTGCAATCAATCTTTTATTCCTTGATCAGGAATTCATCCCACACTTTAGGTTAAGGCAGGTGAATTCTGATTCAGCTCAGTAATTATCTGGCAGATGTTACAAGCAGCTGCCGCTAAGCTCAAAACCCTTTCTATTATTACAGAAATATAAGAGCTCCTGGCAAGGTGGAGTGAGAAGTGAAACAGAATGCATTCTGGTGAGGCTTCACATCTGGTTTTCCACAGAAAATAATGAAACCTGGAACTTAAACTGGCTGTTCTTGAACTCTTGAAACTCAAATTATCTACACAGGCATGCACAAACGCACACTCACCAAGTTCCTAGCTCTCTATGGTAAAAGGCTAAAAAGAAATCCAGAGTGCATTGCCTGGACAAGCAGTGCTTTTCCTAAAACCAATCAGTTATGTAACTGATCCACTAAATCTTTTTTTTTTTAAGTCCCTCCAATACACATCTCTACCACTGCCCCAGATGAAGCTTGGTTCATAAACAGAAATAAAAGGAAGAAACACGGATGGAACCCAAATCCAGGCAATGACTACAAAGCCTAATTAGCCAGAGGCAATGCATGGCTCCATTCGGAGTAATGGGGGCCTTCTGGGAGGATTCCTCACGTGGCTTTCAAGGTAATTCTAAACTTTCAATTTCATGAAAGCAAGTGATCTGGAAGGCATGGAGCCAAAAACACTTTATGCAAAATGTGTGGAATACGCTGTTCAGCCCTGGCCAATTTAAATCACTATTTGTTTTATCATTTAACAAATGTTTTTTTCTGAAAAACATTATGATTCTAATTTCTCTCTACCATGCACCCAATGGGTCAAACCATCGGAATCACAGGAACAGTAGGACGCTTGAGAAGAAATCAAACTATTATGATGGTATGTTTGTGAGTGTGTGTATATATGCCTTGCATCTTCTGGCTTTCCCCAAAACTAAAATCATCTTTAAAAGAAAAGAGATTTCAGACCTTTGATAAGATTCAGGAAAATACTACAGGGCAGCTGATGGCAATGGGGAGAACTGTGTGAGGTCCCAAAGTGCCTACTTTGAAGAAGACTAAGGCATCATTGTTCTGTGTACAATGTTTCTTGTATCTTGTATCTTCTTCAGTAAATGTCTCTATTTTTCATATTACATGGCTGGGTACCTCCTGGACAGACCTCATATATCATTCATCATTTAAGCAAAAGAAATGGACATTGGACCACAAGGGATGAGAAAAGCATTCAAAGTTTCTCTTTTTTCTTAGTATAGAGGCACTGTTATTTTTAACGATGTTCACTTGTACTCACATTATTCTTAAAATAATTGAGGGACTGTCACAGGATCTGATAATCTGTTCCATCATACAATAAAAGTTAAAAGGCATGCAAAAATATAAAAGTCCCTTAGTAAAATTCTGCCTCAAAATAATACATTTTTATGAGAAGAATCTACTCTAAGCAGTAGAGATTTTCTACTTTTTATTGAAGACAGAATGAAAACCAGATTGCAGATATTATTTTTCTTACTTAAGCTCTTACAATATGTACTTTGCAAAAGAATAATACAGAATGCAGTCAATAAAGTAGCATTAATACAAAAAAGTCCACCAACCAGTAATCACTGCATCAGTTTAAGGTCAACGATCTTTCCCTGAGCTCTTACTATGTCATCCCTTACACAGTAAACACAAAGACTCAATGGTTAATGTTATAGGGAAAAGCCAAACTATTACATCGATGAGGTGAGACAATAAAGTCATGAACTAATTTTTATGTTGGCTCAAGAAATGCTTTGTGACTTAAAGATGAAACCACATATATAACATGCTTTAGGTACATTATGGGATTATGAGACAGTTGAGGCACTTCCCCCAAAAGACCCTACATGACCAACATTCAGACTATATCAACCTACTGATGAATCTCCTGGATCATGAGATTCAACAAAGGGAATTACTGCTCAGACTGGTGGTGTTCTATATGATTTTCACCATTACTGGCCCTTAAATGATTGGCTTAGTTCTAGGATCCACACGGGTCAAACAAGCAGTACACAATTCCTTACACTGAGAGCCAATCAAAACTTTTTTGTAAGATCCTAAGGGTGGACCCCTTCTGTTCTGTGAGAGATATCATTTATCTCACGCCTAAGGTTTTTGCAAGAATCATTGGAAAATTAAAATTAAAAAAAGAAAAGCAACATTGTTTGGATCACAACACTGGAGATCCACTCCAGTGGATGTACACAAGTTCCACAAATGGCCAGCCTTCCCTCCTCGCTTTGGGAGAGCTGCAGGATGGGGGACGGATGAGGGAACAATGTCTGAATTGTGCCACCCCCACTGACCTAGTTCTAGATCATCTCCTCCTTTGATTTTGAGATAATCTAGACCCCTTCTGGGTGACACTGAGGCTGCTGTATTTCTGGAGTGAGGACCCATGTCCTTGGCCATCTGGGCTGCTCTGGTCCTCCCTTTTGATCTCCCTGAGTGGTTCCATGGGATCTTAGGATTGCTGTGTCCTCCCACCTCCTACCAGAATGGAAAGACCTTTTTGTGGGAGTTTTCTCCTTTTCCTTTCTCTTCCTAGGAAGGGGCTTCAGCCTGGCGTTGAGGGACTCTCTGCCTCTATTCTGTTCACTCATGTTGCCGTTACTCTGCCAGCTGAGATGACAGGTCCAGCTCCTAGACCTTGCAAGATCTCTGAAACAGGTTTGCTAGACATGTCCCTTCCTGTCACCACATTCACAGTGCCTCTGGGTGTCACTGCTGCGGCCCCTGGTGCTGCACTCTGGCCAGACACTGCTGGTGCCCAGGTGAGGAAAGACAGTGTGTCCCTAAGCACAGAGTACTTGCATGAAGCATGTTTTCAGACTCCTTCCCCACCAGCAGAAGCAAGAGAGGTGGCCCCAGACACCTCAGAGACCACGGGAAGGCTCTTGATGCTGACTTGATCTTGGTCACCTTCTTCACGGAGCTCTGTGGCTGCTGGGCTCTTCCTGTCCTCTGCCTCCAACACAGGAACGTCCATCACTTCACAAGCAGGTACAGCGCTGGGTACTGCTGTAAGCCTCCCCTAGAGGGTCTCAGGGAGAACACCAGGTCCTCCCAGTGTGCAAACAGATCTTCTCTTGCATAGGACGAGGGGCATAATTGTAGATAAAAAGCGTGGCCTGTGGCAAGTTTCAAGTGGGGCTGTTTTTGTCATGACTGTATATGGACAACTGTGCAAACTTCAAAGGAAGCAGCCTGGCCAACTCCATGCTCTTCTCTGACTTCAGAAGTCATGTCAGTCATGTTGGCACCGACTGCGTGGCTGACAGCTGGTTGTGCCAGTGGCATGACATCGGGTATTGTGAGGTCGGGGCTGCTATATGTGATGCCCAGAGCAACCATTTGCACACTGTTGTGCCTATCAATAACTTCTCTGCTGATCTGGTTGAAGTTGCTCTCAAATAAGGAAATGTGCTTAAACACAGGCACTTCTCTTGTGCAGCTACCACTGCAGCTTCCCTGTGGGGCCAGGGAACACATCCAGCACGTGGCTGCTCTGGGTATTGCCCTCCGAGAGTGTCCTGTTGCTACTCATGTGTGCCTTTCATTAAAACCACTGTGTGTCCTCTTTGGAACCTCCCCCTTGGTCTGAACTGCAGCCCCTCATGGGTCACCTTTACGCTTTGTTGTCCACCTGCAGCCATGTCTTCATCTCCACAGCTACCCCCACAGGAAGGGGCAGCTACTCCATCTGGGGGCAGAGGGTACGAGGCACACATGCACAGTCCTAAAATATTTCCACATTGTTATCCTAAAGTGATTATCTAAAATTAAGAACTACTCAGGAACAAATTCTTAAGTGACTTATATTAAATAAATATGTAATTTTTGTATATCAAACAGAAGTATGTTCTGAGAAAAAAAAAAAAACTCTGATCAATGAAATGAAATTCCTGAATTTCCCAAGACAAAGCAGGGTCCAAATGATACTTACTTTATGTCGGGCCCAATGAGAGAATGTCTTCTCAACATGGCTCGTGCCTGGGCATTGGTTAAACTGATGGTAGATTCTTCATTAATAGACAAGATGCAGTCCCCAACAGCAATCCTGCCATCTCGACTAATGGCACCTCCGTGAATAATGCTTCTAACAATCATTCCCAAGCCATCTTTATTAGCACTTACTGTCATCCCTATGGTAATGGAGGAACAGAGATATGCATTAACTTTGCAACTTTCAAATTCATCTTATTTTGAAAGTCACATAATTCCTATGAATTAGGAGTAACTTTTCCTTCATCCTCACCCAAGTATATTTTATTATTGATTTTAGAGAGAGGGGAATGGAAGTGGGGCTGAGAGAGAGAGACAGAGAAAGAGACATGGATGTGAGAAACTTCAATCGGCTGCCTCCCATGCATAGGCATGTACCCTAACTGGGAATCGAACTCGCAACCTTTTGGTTTATGGGACAAAGTTCCTGCCTCTTGAGCAACTGGCCAGGCAGAGCTAACTTTTTCAGCCAATAATAAACAATCAAAGTGAAAGAAAATTTTCTAATAAAAATATTTTAAAGTAAATTTTAAAGCGTGAAATTATGTCTAGAAACAGATGCTCCCTGTTGAATACATTAAAGATTAAACAGGTCCACAGGGCAATGAATGCACCTTAGGCTATTCGATGTGTTACCCTTACATGGAAAGCACTGCCAGGGAGAATATTTTGACAATATCAAATGAATTTTATAATAGGAATTCATCCCACCCTGGCTGGTGTGGCTCAGTGGATTGAGTGCCCGCCTGCAAACCAAAAGGAGTTCACCTTGGACATGTATCAAAGAATAAAGGACAGGACCATGGATGGAAAATTAGTTCAATAAATTGAGAAACTGTGTACTACTACTTTATTCCCAAATCATATGTTCATTCAGTATATGCTTATTATGTGCTTACTATGTGCCAAGTATTATGCTGGTGGCTTGAGATATAAAGGCATAACACAGAATTACTAACCTCAAGAAGTGTGTATTAGTCTTACCCTCAGTGCCTATCATGGTGCCTGAATGTATAGTAGTCTATTGAACTAAACTGCTGTGAGCTTAATTCTACTCTATTCCCATTTTATCTTCAAATCTGAACCTGAAGTTCTACAATCTCCAGATTTGGATGTTTAATTGCCCTCCTGACATGTTCCCTAGATGACTAATAGGAAATACAACCTTAGTATGTATAAAGTCAAATTTCCAAGTCTCTATCTCCCCTATTTCTCCATTTGTCTTCCCCTTTTTGGTGCTGACACCACAATACTACTCTCCATTACTCAAGGCAGATATGTTGAAGACATTCTTGATTACTACCTCTTTCTCACCTCTTATATTTAATCCATCACCAAGTCCTGTTATTTCCATCTCCAAAACTTACCTTGAATCCATATGTCTTCCTCCATTTCCTTACTAAGCCTACACTGAGCTAGCACCTTCTCTTGCCTCCCCTCTCAAAACAGCCTCCAAACTGGTCTCCTGGCTTCCACAGCGTTCTTCTCACAGCAGGCAGGGGGATCATTCAAAAGAGACAAATGACATCACATCCCTCCCTTGCTAACAACCCTTTGATAACTCCCCTTTTTGCTAGTATACAGCATACCTACAATACCCGGCACAGTCTATAGGTCCCCTTCAACATGTACCCTTCCTTGTTCAATACAATGACCTCCTTGGCTCCCTGTGCTCCAGCCTGTGTTTCAGAACTCACCTAGCCTCTCCCCATTTCAGACTGACGGCCTCTTTCAGTCCCTCCTGCACAGCTAGCTCCTCACTCATTAATGTCTCTTCCTCAAAAAGGCATTCACAACAAACCTCCCCTGAATTAATGTTCCCTTCTTATCCTACCCTCACTCTATTTCTTCGAAAATATAAAAACTTTGTAAGTTAACACTTTACATAAAATAATGTTAAATCACAAAAAATCATGTGCTAAAAGTTCCTTTAATTAAACCAGATAAAGAGATATAAAGCTATAAAAGTACTTATAAAAACTTTTCAGAGGTCAGATTATAAAATCAGATGTACTCAAATCACAGCTCTGACAAGAGCCTTCCTACTGTTTTCAATGTAATTCACAACCTATGCCAGAATGATCTTCCTAAAACACAAATCCCACCACGTCACCCTTCTGCCCTGCGTCCCCACTGTGTATAGGACTTTGAGCCATGCCGGTGTTACAACAGAAGTCCTGTGTCCTGCACACAGCCCACCCAGCAGCTGCCTCCCACCTAGCCTTCCTTTAACTTCAATTCTCACTTTGCTCACCTTCACACCACACTTCATACCAAACAAAATTCAGTAATGCTTCACATTTCTCTTCCTTAGCTCTTGTCAATTCCAGCTTTTCCCAATTCTTCAATTACGTGGTAAAAATCTACTTCTCTTTCAACAACTAAATCAAATATCTTCTCCTCTTTGAAACCTGTGTAAATTTCACCACACACTCTGAGAGTAGGGATAAGCTATTTCCTCTTTTAACCTTCAATGTTCTATGTATGAGTGTCTATCATTATATGTAATGCTTTTAGGACTTAATGTATTAACTAGCTAATTTTCTTAAACTCATAGAACATGAGTTTATACACAGTGGCTAGAATACAGAGAAAAAAAGAATGTTTGTTGAGTAAATATACTAGAATAGAGTTTCTTATATGGGCTTTACAAAATCTGTTTTATGAGTTGGTCAAAAAAATGGGTTCTATGGCCAATGAAGTATGAGAAATGCTGCATTCCATAACCTCTTCTTAAAGGTCCACATACATATCTGAGTATTAAAGATAGTGATATAATATAAACAGAAAACTGTCTCCTTAAATTTATCACATTTTAAACTTTAAATTTGGAACCCACTTATAACTCCTATTTATAGCCTATAGAACTACTATTTTAAGTGACATGCTTTCAGAAATATTGACAGATGAAACATTTGACATGCTTTGATATATCTATGTCTCATAATTAGTGAATTATAGAAAGTTCTTTAGCTTACATTTTATATAATTTTATTAAATGTAATATATAAGAAATAGTATAACTAAGTAGAAATTCTCTGCTGTAATTTTCTATTCAGCTGCTATTAGGAGTACCCAGCCACCACCAAGTGGAATGAGGTATCACTGTAAAGGGTACTGGTTGATTACATCATGGAAGGAGCAGAATCTCTGGTGCAGAGCTAACCAGTCTTGGGTCACACTCTGCATTCATATCAACCATTCTAACACACTACTTATCGTCACAGATCATTAGGAACAGAGTTGAGTCACATGACTGCTTAACTAAAAAAAAAAAAAAAAGGAACAAATGTGTTCTGCCTCAATATAGCTTTAGTTATTATAATTAGTATTTTATTTTTATAGGAAGTCTGCTTTTCCCAACTCTGAAGACTTTATGATTAACTAGCTGGAACCTTTTATGGGTAAGAAAGGACAAAAATCCTGCCACCTGGAAAGGACTATTATAACTTGCATTTATATTTTGGTGGTGGCACACCTGGCTGTCTTTTTAGTCTTTCTTTCAGTGAATGAAAGAAATTAAATACAAACTGACTTATGCATAACTGGTAACATTCAAAGAAACTAATAATTTGCTTTTCCAAAGAATTGAGAACTCCAAATTGCTGACTTTTCATTTTCTAAGAATTCCTTTTCTGATTTTCTGTTTCATACACAAACAATTCGTATATCTTTTACTTGAATGTAAATGAGACTACTGAATACTTTTAAATAATTAGGAGAGTAAGGGATTTAAATGAGTCCGAACTAAACAAATCTGTTCATCATTTCAGGAAAAATAATGAGCACACCAAAAACTACAGGAATATTTATAACATCTATTTTCTTATATATAGCCCAAAATATCAAAGCCAGGTTCAATTTTTCCTCTTTGCAAGGGAATTTGTTTGGGAAGATCTGTGTGGAAAATAAGAAACTTACCTAGACTAGAATTGCCTTTTGCTATAATAATAGTCCTCTCAAAAGATTCTCTGGACATATTGTGAAGCATGACACACTCAGCAGCAGAGGCCAGAGAGTTCTGTTGATTTAAGAACTCAGAGCCCTGACGGAGAGAAAAAAATAAGTCACATGAAAAGGAAAACTAGACTTTGGAGTATGATTTCAACATATTCTCTAACTGACTGTGCCTTATTCAATAAGAATCTATAACAAAAACAAGTTCATAGGTTGCCTTCTGAACAATCTCTCTGGCCGGAGAGCACTATCTCCAAATGGGGAGATAGATTAGCCAGAGTGCTGCACTGTCCTCAACCTCATTGTCTGACACAAACCATATCTTTAAGACATTACCTTTCCAGCTGAATCAGGTAGCAGAGGAGAAGTAAGTTCTGTGCTTGATATAACTTCATTTGGGAGGTGAGATTCAGTCCACACTCTCAGGTTTTCACATTCATACTGTTGTTCAATAGCATTTGCAGGTGCATAATCATTTATGGTAAAGCTAGAAACAGGCCTCATGCTCAAGTCTCCTGAAGGTGGACTGTCATCCTGTCTTTGCAGGAGACTCTGGGTGTACAATTCTTCCAAGGACATGTGCAGGTCAAGTACTGGATCTGAAGAATTTTCAGTAACATCCTGATTATTAAAGAAAAAATAAAAAATTATGGCCAGAATTACATCAATGTATGATCCTTTCTTAATGAACACTATTTACTGGGAAAAAAAAAAACCTCAATGTAATTGTTCAGTACTTAAAAACATTAGCAAACATACAAATTCTTCACTTAGGTGATGTGCGTATACCTTTATTTTTATAAATGCTTTTCAATGTATTTCCTGCAATCATACATCTTATGTTCTGCTGAGTTATACTGCACAATATACAGTATATGAGATCATTTAGATACAAAAGTATGCTCTATTCACAAATAACATCACTTGTGTTCAATGTACATGGGAAAGCAAGTAATTTATATTTCCAAGTCTTATTTCCAATGAGCTTGAGTTCCTAAGTATCACAAGACCAAAAGCATACAGAGAATGACATTAATTGATTCAGATTAACGAGAACCTTCCAGAGAAAATTATTTTAACATTTATAGGTATTTAGGAAAAGAACAGAAAGCCACATTTCATATTATTGTAGGGAAAATTTTCACAATATTATGCAAGATATAACAGAAGAAATGCTAAGAATGGATATTATTCTAACCCATTAGAAGATGTATGTTCTAACCCAGGCTGTCTCATTAGCAATCTGTACATCACAGAATTTCTTTTTGCTTTATGTTAATTTCTAAAATTCCCTAAACTCTAAATTCTATAAATCTACTCATACATATACCCAGGTATCTACTTACAACATATATATTATATCACTTGTGCTTTGGGCAAACAGCTGCTCCACGAAATGCTGTTGTTGAATAGACATCAGTTTTCTCTTCAATTCTTTGATTGATATTTTTAAAGTATAAGAGTAGTGTGTGACTACATTATCATTAGAAAAGATTAAAGCCATTCAAATATATGCACACTATATTAAAGTATTCCTTTGTGGCTCCTACTTCTGGTCCTTTCCCCAGTGAAAGTAGTTGGCTTCAGTTGTGTGTTTATCAATTACATTTAAAAAATTCACTTGATATATGTAATTCCAAATGCACACACTCGCACATCCAAGCACATATACTTCATTTTTAAAACCTAAACTGAACCATACGCTACCCAGTAGGTTTTTAGTTGCTTTTCTGAAGTATCTTTAATAAGAGATTCCCATGTCAATGAATAAAATCCAACTTCAGTCTTTTTATGGTTATGAAACACTCCTAAGTATGAAAGACTGGAGTGCAGACTCTGGAGCCAGGCTGCCTCAGTTCAGGTGCTGACTCCATCATCAGTTAGTTCTTTGAGCTTTGACAAGTTACTTAAATATACTCCATGTCTTGGTTCCCTCGTCTATTAATTAGGGAAAATAACAGGACCTGGTTACAGGATGTTGGGAGGACAGAGAGAGTTAATACCACAAAATACTAAAAACATGCCTAATTTAACAGAAAATGACCCACAATTCTTAGCCATTGCTGATATTTTTATTCGACATCTTTGTGTACCTGTGGAAATTTATTCACGATGAAATTCTACAATTACAGCAGTTGTTCAAATGATACACACACTTAAAATGATATGCACACATATACTGCCAAATGGTCTACCAATTTTCTCTCACAAAAAGGGAACACTAGAGTACCTATTAAGTAATCTTGACAACTGTAAATTAGCTTGGCAATTTGAGTTGTAAGAAATACATGCATTCGTGTTTTAGGGTTTTAATACATGTGTCCCTGACAAGTAGTGAGGACATGCCATTTGTATGCCTCCTGTGAACACTCTCTTTGTATACGTTATCAAAGTTTCTATCTGATGGTAATATTGTGATCATTGATATATTTCAAATATAAGGTCATTGTGATGTATACTGGAAATATTTTCCTAGCTTGTTAACTCTCTTTTAAGTTTGCATCTGATCTATACATGCAGAAATTAAATTTTATATGTAATCAAGAATCATTTATGAAATTTTGTCAATTTTTTTGTGATTCTGGGTTTTATAAATTGTTCAGTAAGTCCTTTCTCTACACAAAGTAAATGAATGTTTCTAGTAACCCGTCTAGGGTGTGGTATGAGATACAGGGCTCTCTCTTCATGTGTTCTAAGTGGGTAATCAGTTGCTCCAACACAATTACACTCCTCTCCCCAAATAAAGTTTTCATCTTTCTAGATTTAACATATTGATGGGACAAAGAAATGAGAAAAGTGAGAACATCAAACAAGCAGATAACATCTTTAGAATCCTCAGGAAAAAAAGATAGGAAAGTATCATCCTCTGTACTCCTAGAGCCCAGACAATAACCGGCTAGCTCCAATATCCAACTTTGATCATTTTAGTCCTATTAAAAATAACAGTGTACTTACTAAAGAAAGTGGTTAGCTTCTGTATTATTAAATTAATTATGATAATTAGCAATAAGTCAGCTCTCCCACTCCAAAAAATAAAGATAACAATAAAAACTACTTTTCATTAGAAGGAGGTCAAGCTGCCCCTGTTGGGTGGGGTTTGCTGTAAATCCTGTAACAAATTTCCATGCATTATTCATGAAGGAGTTAACACAGACACAGAAAAGAAAGAGCTAATCAACACAGCAGACAACATAAGCCTACTTAAGAAACATTTCTGGTTGCTGAACAACCAACTGAGTTTTATTTTTAAAAGTCTTACAGTGATTGTTTGGGGGAGGGGAATATTAGGGAATTAAATGGTAATGAAAAAAATACAAAAAGATTAATTAAAAAAGATAAAAGCAGCTCTTTCCCCATATATGTCCAAAAATAACCATAATTTCTCACTGCAACCTAGTATCTAAATGAAACTGAGATACCAAAAATCTACCCCAATATGTTCTTCTACTTGATATAGCTTGTTCTCTGGAGAAAAAAAAGGGGGAAAGGTTAAATAAAAATGTCAAATTTAGTTGAAAATAGGTCTATTTCTTAAAGGTAATGAATAAGCTAAGGTTGTACTTGAGTACATCATTTACCCAGGTAATATATTTACATAGACTAGCTTAATACTTAAACTTGCACTGGACACAACCTGCTTTCCTTCAATAAGCAGTCAACCACAGAAGTCTTCTTATTACTTTTCAAAAATATACTACAAGCATAGCTATTGCAACTTACATTGTTCCCACACTCAGAATTTCTGAGTTAGGTTCCTTTATTGTTTATATTCTAACTTTACTAAGCAAAAAGGCAACAGCTTTTATACCTTTGAGAGCTTCCATTTTTATCATTAAGATTTTCACAATCACTCTCATCATTTGACTACAGTAATTTAATTAGTTTTTTAATATTAACCCTCCCCTAAAAAAACCCAGACATTTTAAACATGAATGTAAAACCAGTAACATTTTGTTACAAAATGACAGGTGAAGACTGGTGGATTTGTTATGGGAGAAACTCAGTTCTTGCCGACACAGTAAAGAATTACAGATCAGCAAGCCTATTAGCATGCAAGCAAAATTTATTAGTGCTAAGTTCTAATGGGTAAGCAAAAACAAGGGTGGCAAGAGGCCAGATGACCAGCACCCAGGTGGCCAGTGCCACTCCCTGACCCTGCTGGCCAAAGGCTAGCTGGCCAGAGGCCCTCCATGTAGCAAGAAAGGGCAAGAGAGAGGGTCCTTTGTTCTGAGGACTTATATAGCTGGCAGGATGGGGTGAGGGAGTTACTTATGGATTGATGGATAAAGGTGGTGCCAGCTTTTCCCAGGGGAGGCTTGACTGCCCAAACGTAGGTATGTGTGGCAGTCTGTTAGCCTGAATCCCTATTTTGCTCTAGACTCCATTTGTTCATTTTGCATAATGACTAGAGGCAGGCAGTTAACTAAAGTTGTTTTATGGGCTTTTTCTTTGCTCACTGTAGACCCCTTCCTTCCTCCTCCAGGCCTTGGAATAAATACATGGTCCCAAGGTTTTCTCTTTCCCACCTAGTGGAGATAACACACAAAGAATTTCAAGGGCTCCTCCCTGTCCCCTACACTATCACAATTTTGCTTGTTGCTCAGAATGCCTGGCAGTCTTACTGAATCAGGCTCAGGACTACTGAGTCAATGGGTGAGAGACATGTTCTTTTGCTTTTAGCCTCCTGTATTAAGTTCTTTTGTTAGATTGGAATGCTGAAGGCCCTGCCTTTATTTCCCCTCTGGCCACTCATTCCTAACTGCTACCGTAACAGATTATATATATCTGTATCTATTTATATATCTTTATCTATAAATCTCTCTCTCTATATATACCATAGACTCCATTAGCTGTGCTTGGTGTACAAGGTACAAAAAGGAGTTTCTCTCTTGACAAACATCAATTTCAACTTTCACTAGAATCAGCAGCATTTCCTACAGGTACCAGAGCTCAGAAATGAAGGACAAGCACCAAACTGGTGACTGGTCAACCCTGGAGCAAGTGCGAACCATGAGTGCACCAGGAAGGGTGGGGCCTGCAGGTGAGGATTAGGAGAAAGGGAGACTCATTACACAGCTATTAAGTCTTTATTGGGCATATTTTTAAGCCAAAATAGGAAAAAATAAATGAAAGCATCCTCTTCCCCAAGATATGTTGATCTTTTAAACAAAAGTTTATAAGCATTTAAGTCTGAAAATAATTATTTCTGCATTTGTTATGTCTTTGGAGGGGACAAGAAAAAGGGGATAAAAAAATTAATCATAAAGTTAAAACCTAAAACAGTAAGAAAGGAAAAAAAAATGGCTTTTTGCCTTTAAAATCCACCTTTCAATGGCCTGCCTCTATTAATCCAAATGCATGGAAGCAGCTATATTTTTAAGATTTTTTAGTAGTGGTTATTTCTCTTAAATCCTTAACTGATAATTAATCAAATTAAGCAAACTCCTTTAAAAAGAAAAACACAGCAAAACAGGCTCCTTGATGGAAATGTTTTGTACAGAGGAGCTCTGCATGGGGCTGCAGCCCTCTGGGGTCTGAGCTGAGGTCAGGGCCCAGGCTCTGCACTGAGTAAGCCCTCCCCGCTTCAGAGTGAGCTCCTGTTCTGGGCACCTAGTTCCTACAACTTCTAGCAAACCTGACCAAAGTGAAGGACCTCGCATCAATGTAAGGAGAAAGGTAAAACTACCTGGCACCACCAGACACAACTCTGGCTACAAGATTATTACATATTTAGTGAAGTCAAGAACTTGAGGAATCACTGAGATCTTCACCTTCTATTTCATCTTTTTCATATCAGTATAGAGGATTCTTAGTTTTACTTAAAGTCATCTGCTATACAATCTTATTTCATCAGTTAAAAAGTCCTAATGTGAGCTCACTTTTCTTTAAGAAAAATGGTCAATTCTAAATTCTAGAACAAAATTGCCATTCTGTCTTTTTAAAGTAAATTTCGTGAAAAGAAACAGAAAGATGAATGCATCATCTAACTTTTTATTTATTTACGCACAATTTTCTAGTAAATATCTAGATGCTAAAAGATGCTACAGAAAACAAAACCAAAACAGAGATTTACCACATTGTAGGAATAGTCCTACTTTCAAAGAAAACTAAAAGCACACAAGAGTTTTTACAATTTGATTTAAAACACCCTCATTAATGTGTTCTTTGTTGTTTTGTAGTTTAAATATTTCAGTTGATAAGCCAGCTTGCCAAAATTTGCTTCACAAAAAAGTAAACTCCTTGGGAATTAAGAAAAAGAAAAAGAAAGGAGGCAAACAGACTTCAGTAAGCCAATATGTTTTGTTGCATACAGCCAGCATTTGCCCTGTAAAATATATGCACTTCTCAGTATGCAGATTGCGTGATACCTTTAAGTAACAATTACAAAGTTAAACAATGCAATCTGTCCCACTGGCAAGAATTGTGCTATGCTGTGGATTAGGAGATTTCATTAGGAGATGAACTCAGCTTCCAGCCCCGAGGCAAGGAAAGACTGAACATAGTCCAAACAGGATGCAGTCAGAGAGACAGTCTCAGGTGTGGTAAGAGGAGCAGCTGCTCCATTCAAGATTATACCTTGTGAACCAATTCAAAAAGATTGCCCAGCATCATTTGCAAGAATAACAGGTGTACCTTGAACATAAAAGAAAATCCTTCAATATCTGGCCAAAAAACCCCAAAACTTGTTAATTCAGGAAAGGAGGAAATCTGTGCTAGACCTACTGTGAAAATTCTACTTTCCAACTCATTCAAATTTCCTTCCCAATGAATTTATGTGGAAAATACATATTTCATATATTTAAGAAAGAATTACTGGCCAGGCTTTTATCTTAATTTTTATTGTTACCTGTGGGATATTTCCAACATAGAAAAATAAAGAAAATATATCCACATATGATTTTTTTGCTCAGATTTATAGATATTAACATTTTGCCATATTTTCTTCAGTCTCTTCCAGTTAAAATAATACAATGTATTAAGCTACATTCCTATACTTCCTTTTTTTCTCTAAGAATAACTTATTTCCTGAGGTTGAAAAGTAACATTGCCACAGAGTTTTAGTTTTTTAAATGCATCCATATACTCATAAAAATACACTGTATTGCTTTGTATAGGAAAAATATAAACAATGCCAACACCTCAACAGAAAGATAAGCAACCCATTAAGAAACAGTCAAAAAATATGAAGAGGCCATTGATGAAGTGAAACCCAAATGGCCAATGTATTAAAAAGGTACTAGTAGTAATCAGGAATCCCAAATTAAAATCATAAGATACCATTTCACACCCAAAAGACTGACTAGGTTTTAAAATATTACTTATTAAACAGTTTATGGCATGTCACCAAGAAAATAGAGTTGGAGCATTTATGTCAACAATCTATTTCTAAAATGCAAATGTCACAGGTATGACAAAAAGTAACTAACATAATTCTTCATTCACATCCAGTGACTTAAATATACTTTGCTGTACAGTATGATTTTTTATGTATTCTTTGGCATCATTTTATATAAAACATATGACAGCATTAAGTTTAACTTAGCTAGTAAATATTAAATACAAAAATATTTTACTATCCAACTTTTCATGAAAGTCAGTTTTAAAACCAATAAGAAAATAATTGTAATTTTCCCAAAGTATACCAGCAAAAAAAATAAGATTTGAGAAATACATTTCATGGTTGTCTTTGTAACATGAAATCTTAATCAAAGCTTTGAACCATTGTGTCTATCACTCTGCATCCAGACCGTAGAGTTAAATAGCCCCCATGAGTCTAAGAGTTACCCAATCAACACTACCTAAAGGAAACTGCACTTTAATCTGATAATGAACCCATGATTTGAGAAACATAATGTCTCCGACATGTTACTCCTATAGCTCAACTTCCCCTAAACAATGATCTCTGGAAAACCACACACAACGTTCTCTCACAGATGAGATGACATTTCCTTCGTACCTTGGGGGGAGAAGATGGAAGGGAGGGACCATAGTTCAAGACATCACTACAAGCACTGCCATGAAGAGATAAAATAGAGGCTGGAGTAGAGTAGATACTGTCATTATCAGGAGAGTACTGAGACTCAAATGCAGACTCATTTGCTAGGTCAGCATCATTTGTGTCCACCTAGGAATAAAAGCAATAGCATCAGTTGAAAATTCTATTCTATTACATATATGACAAAGTCTTCACTTCAGACTTAACAGGCATACTTAAATCATTCCTTATCTATGCTGTTTTCCACATAACCTCTTTACCGCATAACAGACTGACTAATGCAATAGAAGAGGGATGCCCACCATCTGCAAGGGAAGTTGGCTTGAAGGTTATTTTATTCCATCAATAAAGGGCTAAAGGTAACCATTAATAAAGGACCTGGATCAATTCTAAGTTTGAACAGTTTCATAAATTAAGAAAAATATTTGCTTTTTTTCTATTTTACATTATTTTTAAATAATACCTGCCTAACCCCTAGAATTTTGTAATAAAATGAATGAGGTCATCACTTTTCCTATTTAACCAAAATAAACTTCTTCAATAGCACCACTAGGTAACAATCTATTTCTAAATCTCACTAAAAACATATTTTGTTTAAATGATCTTTAACTGGATTTAAAAACCACTCAAGTTACAGACTTGGAGCTTGATGGTGATCATCAGAAGCTAAAGAGAAAAATCTGTCATTTCATGCTGAAATCACACTAACACACAAGGTGCTCAGTTATGATCTAGGCATGGTAAAACTGTGTTATAAACTGCTACTGTTTGAAAACCCATGTAGAGTGTGGTAGAGAATTTTACTATGCCTTATCTAAAATCCTGTGACTATCTTCTGTAGAAAAGTAAATGAAAGAATCAAGACATGACAAGCTTGAAGTTGTTCGTATAATTCACTCACTGTTACACCTTAGAATGGGTAGAACTGACATAAGTATTCTCCAATATTACCAATATTTTGTTTTATTGACAAAATCCCATATGTTCTATTTCTTTGTGATTTCAACTTACACATTTAGCCAGGAAAAGTTATAAGCATTATATAACATTATACCAAGTCACATTCTTGTATAAACAGGACAAGAAAACAGATGGGCCATTTCAAAATGAATTTCTCTAATTATACAGAGTCCAGCACAAATAACACCCCTTTTTTATTACAAAATCATAAGCACGTAATTCTGTAACATGAAAATATCACACTCAAGCACACCATATGACATTTTAGGTGAAATATTGAAATTTCTGTCCATCTCATGCGAGATATTCATGTACCCTACCAACCATACTCAAGCGAGCCTTCCTTCCACCAGTCTCTGTGTATTTCAATACATGTTCAAATTCACTAGCGAGTAACTGTGTGGCGATTTATCTTTTATGTATGTACATTATGTACAACAATCTAAACAGAAAATATTTAACATCTGTTATCTACATAGATAATATTAACTAAGCCTCAGATCATGGATTATAAGAGAAAAATACTTGTTTTAAGTAACATTAAAGAAAAATATCTCAAAACAGTTTGCATACCTTTCATTGATGACTCAGAATCTTAAAAGAGATCCCAACAATCAATTCATCTAATTATTGTAGAGATAAAAACACAAGGATCCAGAGAAGTTGAATGAACAATGTAAAATTACATAGTTAGGGAGAAAACCAAGGACAAATACTACCATAAGATGCTGAACTCACAGAAAAGCGAGACTACTCTTCTTTTTGATTGGTAGTCATCTAAGGAGATTCAGGAAAGCCATGACAATTCTAGGGAAGAAATGATTTCTCAGGGCACTTTCAGACAATGATGTATCTGTGACCTGCAGTATTTCAAAAAGAATTTTCTATGGCTGGCTATTATTGAATACATTTAAGCCATAGTATTTAATGTAGTCCATAGAATTCTAAACTATCTAGTTTTGAAGTGTTAACATAATATTAACATAATGCCCATGAAGACCTATTACCTGGTCAAAAGGTAGATAAAATGCTGATTTCTGGCTACATACTGAAACAATTAAAAGGATGTCTACAGATATTCTGGTATACAATTAGAGCAAATAAGTGCTTCGATAAACTCTTAGTATGATGTAAAGATTAATTCTACTTGTTGACATAATGCCTTGCTGAATAAATTTTCCTCACCATTTCAACAGTTTTCACATATGATTGTTTTTATTCCCATTTTGAATTTTTAGAACCATTGGAGTTGATGAGAAAATGTTTAGTTTTCCAAAACATAATGAACAAAGAATATAGTAAGACTTTAGAATATTTTGAAAGGCAAAAACAATACATAAGAATTTTGAAAGAAAGCTTGATAAGTCATGGCCACTAACCAGAGCCAAGTCAGCCCTGAAGAGGGCTTTGTCAGCCAGCCCTTCCTCCTCACAGGAGTGTGGGGGGTAGAGAAAGGAATCCTCCTTAGCAGAAACATAACCTTCTTCTGGTGAGAGCTGCAGGGAGAATGAAACTTAGTGTTGGAGGATGAAATCATGAAAAAGAAAGGAAAGAGGGAGAGACAGGAGAAAAAGAAGAGAAGAAGAAAATATGGGAAAGTTTTCAAATGATACCATATGACTTCAACATAGAATGACAAGCATAAAATATGATAAATATTTATATTTAACAATTTTGTTAAGATACAATGAGGATACTTATTGCAATACCAACATCATCTGTTAGAGGAGAATCCCTTTCAACTGATTTTTTTTCATTCTTCTTATGTAAGATTATCAAAATTAACAATTTTTATAATAATCTCCTGTTCAACTTTTTACCTAGCAAATATTCTGGCTAAATAAGGCAACTTTTATGTATCAAAACATAAAAGAATTGCCAAAGAATCAAAATATTAAAAAGAATCAACTTGTGTCAGGCCTTACTAGGACATTACTTTAAGGAATGTAATTTTACTTGACAAGAAATGTTAGTGAACTCTACAATGAAGTCTCTCAATTTAGCATGGCCTTTAAAAAGCAAAAAGCAAAAACCAAAAAACTATATGCATGCCATCTACTTAAATTGCATCCTGAGCTATTATATTATAACCTTGATCACACTAACAGGAAACCTAACATTCCTGTTCCAGCCTCAAATGAAATAAGTTAGCATACTCAGGTAATTGTAATGCCTGTATCATTACCCTGCATCATCAATACATGCCGAAGTATTTTAGAAAAAAACTTTCTCTTCTTTTTTACATAAGCTTATAGTAAACCTCACCTTATATAAAAGACATTTATCACATTAATTCAATGCATATTGAATTTGAAATAGCAAATATTCTCATAAGAGAAATTTATTTTAGAACAAGCTAAGACAAGAAAAAGTCTGTTTCCACATAACTGGCATAGTTCTCCTAAGGGCAGTAAAAAACATGTAGAGTCATGTTCACCATTTTTCTTTGTCTAACAAAGACCAGAATCAAATGTATGGTTAATCTTAATACACAGGGTGGAACAAAAGTAGGTTTACAGTCATGGGTATGCAAAACACAAAAGTTTATTCTTACATTATTATTTATTAATTATTGATTATTTTCCATACAGAAGCTGTAAACCAATTTTTCCCCACCCTGTGTATGTAGAGTCCTATAATGACCTATCTTCATTCTTATATTCCCCTTTGTATGGATCTTCTGTTCTGATTTCTTTAATCCTGATTTGATTTCAGGTTAGTTAGATGAACCTATTTTCCTTCTTCCCTTCTCTCCCTCTTTCAGTTTTCATAAATATATTTTCATATGTTACCAATTCTTTGTGGAATAGAAAGTGAAGAACAAAACAAATTAATTAACATTTAAAACACTGGGGTCCAGCCCTGGCTGGTGTGGCTCAGTGGACTGAGCATAGGCCTGAGAACCAAAGGGCTGCCAGTTTGATACCCAGTCAGGGCACATGCCTGTGTTGTGGGCTGAGTCCCCAGTATGGGGGAGAGTGAGAGGTAACCACACACTGATGTTTCTCTACCTCTCTTTCTCCTTCCCTTCCCCTCTCTCTGAAAGTAAATAAATAAAACCTTAAATAAAATGCAGGGTCCAGCAGAAGTAATGCCTGCTTGAGTGGGGTTGATAGGGTAATAATGTGACTAATAATTTATAGTTTTAATTTGAACATTTCACCTAAAATGCCATATGTTATGAGTGTGATCTTGTTATGTTACAGAATTACATGCTTATGATTTTGTAATAAAAGATTTTTTAGTAAAACAGGGGCGTTATTTGTGCTGGACCCTGTATATTGACAAAGCTTACTGTTTGAACTCCTTTCACAAAGACAACAAATTTTTATTAGATGTTTATGCAAATATGTCCATGTGTTTGTGTTTCCTTAAGAGAGGGTATATTTGCCCTTTCACTTAAAACTATATTTATAAGCTAAAATAATCTCACAAAGACAATGTCTCCAATATTTCACTTCAATTCAGTCATATGTGCTATGTTGCAATCACTATACCTAGTGAACATATTGACATGTAGTCTGTCATTAGCTATTTTCACTGTTGCAGTAATTAATGACATGAGGGCTATAACCCCCAGGGGGAGAGTCAGAAGCTGATGAACCCATTTTGGAAAGTTCAATTTCTTGCTTTGCAGTAATTAGATTAAAAACAGTGTTGAAATCGACAGAATGTAGGACCTAAAGCCACTTTACAGAGAGTCTACTTTATCCCACACTAATTAAAGATTCCTAATCAATTAACAGTTGTTGATGCTATTAATTTCTCTAATATTCCACTTGGCACAGATATTTGATGGCACATTTCTTTGAAAATATTTCATTCTACATCATCATGACATTATTATCAACTAAAAAATGTCAAAAGTGAAGTACAAAACAATGTTGTAAATTTATTTCTGAACCTCCTGTTTTATTTCATCATTAAAAACAATCAAAATTAAATCTTTACTCTATTGGAGCCATAACCATGGTGATAAAAAGTACCAAAAAGTCATGATTCAATCATATGAACATATGAAACTAACAGTAAACCATTTTGTTTGCAAATATAAAAAGGAATCAGTAAAATCCAAATTCTTACTGGTAAAGGCTTGGAAACTCCTATTTTCACAATTCCTGATGGTGCACCCTTCAGTGCCTGCACAGCTTCTTCAAGACTGCTGTTTTCCAAGTTAACGTCGTTGACAAACATGAGTCGGTCTCCAGGAAGAAGTCGTCCATCCTTTTCAGCAATGCCACCAGGTACCAAAGAACGTATTACGATCACAGTGCTTGCTGGATCAACTGGATCCTGAGAGAAGGGAAAAGAAAAGAAAAGAGAAGGCAGCCCTATTTTACACTGAAAATATTTTTACAAGTTGCCCCTGATTCCCCGAGCTGTAATGGATGAGTAATTATTTCAGGTGTCTTTAAAAGAAATTTCATTAATACTTCTAATGAATTATCTGGGCTAAGGGTTACCTCTGTTTTATAGTTTAGGAAGAGTTCACCCTAAACAAGGAACCCTCACTTGTCACCATTCCTGCATCAACTTTTCAAATTACATATAACTTTGAGAGAATTTTAACTTTTGATAAATTGTCAAATTTCATAACTATCATCTGAGGCTAGACAGATGTCAGATACATGAATTACTAAAAATCAGCATTTGGTAAATAGGATATAACTGTTCTGGAACATCAGTAGATGTGAATAAACTGAACACGGCAAGGGACACCTTTTGAAATAAGGAAATATAAAAGGAGGCCATACAGAATTTGGTGATGCACTGTAACATATACAGCAACCTTAATATCAGCACCAGGCTCCAGAATCAGGACTGCGAACAACAGAACCCCCAGGAGTCATCAGAGACAGCGTCTGGCTCAGTATTAATTAATGAGGAACAACAGCTGCGTCCATCTGACCATCCAAAGCATCTCCTCAGCTACTCACAGCACAGAACAGGACAAGATGTAAGGATGAAGGTCCCATGTGAACAATTTAAGTTTGTTCATAAACTTACTCAAATAATAGAAATGCTAGAATTAATAATATAACTGATTATACATCTATTCTTCACTTCAGACAAAAGCAGTAAGTATGTGATACTTTTTTTATCATTAAAATATGAACCATTAGTGCATAGATTTACAAATAGTTTGGACATACTCCCAAATGTCAAAAATATTCCTACAATATTCCTAAAATGTACTCTGCATGTTCTTCAAATCCACAAGAAGTGAAATGTAAAAGAACTCAATGAATGCAATGTTAAAAAGAAATCCTTTATGATAACCAATGAATCATATAAATTATTATTTTGAAAGATTTACTAAAACCAAGATGTCTTTGATGATTGAAATATTATCTCCTTTTTCTCTACTACTAACAATATATCATTAGTACATATTATCTTCATTAAAATTTTTGTTAAAAGTAGGGTATATTTACCTGATAATCTAAAATGCTAAAACCAAGTCCTCTGCTCCCTTTCTCCAGCTCGATGTGCTGAATGTCAGCCTCCCACATGGCCAAAGGTCCTTGAACCTTCTGTGCATTCTGAACCACATCAGTCATCTCCAGCACAGGATCCTCTGTCTCGGAAGACCCGATGAACTCGCCTAGATCTATATGAGGCTGGTAACAGACGAGACAGCTCTTATTTCAGAGGCACTAGACTAGCAGATATACATAACACTACAAAAAAAAAAGGGAGATTCTCAGCCTCTTTCCAGAACAAAATACTCTCAAATAAGAGTAGCAGTAGCTTATCAGGAAACCTTTAGGGATTAAGGTCATAATTACTGAAAACTATTAGACTAGAAGTAATACCTAACATGTAATGGGAATTAAAAATGTATGGTTCAAAGACCTTATATACAAATATATAATGGTTACATCTCAGCACCATGACTGTGGGTGATCTTCACTTTTTTCATTAATGAAATGTAGGCTTTCTATTATATATTCAGATTAGTCTCATATCCACATTCCCAATACCTTTTCTGTTATTTCAATATCACATAAGTCCAGGCTATCCAATTCTGATTGGGTGGCAGGTGGCACAGTTCGACGACAGCACACCATGGTTACTTCTATAGGCAATTCCTTTAAAATATTCACCACATCTTGGTGATTTTCCCCAAGCAAAGTTATGCCATTCACCTGTGGAAAACGATAAGTCGTCCAAGAAATAACATTTCATAACGTCAACATTCTTTTAAAAACAAGTTTCCATTAAATAAATATAAATTTTACTATTACCATAGTTCTGCTGTGCTCAGAACTACAGTTATATTTGTAATAATACTATCAAAAGCAATTTACATGCAAGTAGTCTTATCGAACCTTCTAAGGCACTCTTGGATAAATCACTAGTTTCCATCCGCATTTAATCTGCCAGTGTAGCAGTTTGGAAAAGAAGAGTTAATAAAAACTTTCCCAAATGATGAAAAGAAAAAGAAATTATTTTAAAAACTGACATTTTATACTATTATTACATGAAAAAAAATCAAAATGGAAAATGGTGCAGAGTGTGCACTAGCACATTTTTTTAAGTGGGGCAAAAGAATACATTGAAACTTTCTTGTTTTTGCATTAAAAGTATCCAGAAGGTTGCTCAGAAACAAACGTAAGAGTAGTTACCTATTGAAGGCTGATGGAACTGAGTGAATTGGACAGGAAAGAGGCTTTTACTGTAAAGCTTTTCATTCTTTGTGATTTTGAAATATGTAAATGTATATTCTAAAAGTTGACAATATGTTTAAAAAAATTAAAGATTTTTTTGTAGTTTTCTGGACCTAAAACAGAAAAATAAACTCAGCATGAAACTAGGTCTGAAAATCAATGTAAAAATATGGATTTGAATTTTCTGCTTTGGGTGGAATTTTAATTGTAGATCTCTCTAAAGTACCTTTCGGAGGAGACATTTATAATAAGAACTTGCTTATTCACCACATGAAGCCTCCCGTAGCCTTGTAAGAATCTTAGCTGGGGCAGAAGAGGACAATGGCACAGCTCCTTACTTCCAACAGCTCATCTCCACTGAAAAGCTTCCCACTGTGTCCAACAGGACCTTCTGGTAGAACAGACCGGATAAAATGGTGTCCCACTGTTGCTTCCAGACTTATCCCCAACCCGCTGTTCTCACTGAACTTGCTCACATGGGCCACCTGAAAGAAAAATCATCACAATTATAATATTCTTTCATTTTTTAAATTCTCATGTATGCATTTTATGTTACTCAAAACAAGTCAACTTTCTCACAAAAGCTTCAGAAACCTTATTGGAAAGCTGCAAAATTTTGGAGCTTTGTCTTTGGAAGTGTACTAATATCTATCAGTTTCATGAACCAACAGAAACCAAAAGGAAGAGGCAAGAAGCAAAAACCCAAGGAAATTTGCCATGTCTACAGATAACAGCAGTCTAGAAAATGCAAACTTTGCATTTACTATGCCAGGGACTGTGCTAACCCCCTTACACAGTTTACCTCATTTACTTCTCGTAGATCCAATTTCTATCCTTGTTTCCCAGATTAGGAAGGTGAGGTTCAGAGAGGTTACCTTAACCACAGTCAGTGAACAGCTAGAAAAGAGCTGTGAACCTAAGCAGATTGAACCTATAGCCCACAGCCCTCGCTTACACTGTTTAGAGGGACAACACTTGTCTTCAAAATCAAATCAAAGCTTAAAACAGGGGAATGGCCTTCCTATTTCCTATGTTACACACAAAATAATGAAGAATGTTAGGAAATCACCCATTTTCATAAAGACTCCATTCATTGTAACATTAAGATTGGAAAACTGGAAGTATACTAAAGATGACCTACTTCATCCCCTGTATTTTACAGTTAAGGAAACTGGGGATAGAGAGACTGAGAAAAATGCTGCTTAATTACAAAAGATCTCTTTCACATCTTAGTGGTAATGTGTGCAGGGCTATTATCAGAAACTACCTCATCTGACTTTGAAATCGAACACTGGACAGAACCTTCTCACTCCTAAAAACCCGTTGCAGACAACTCTTCCTCTGAGCAGACCCCCAGGTGCCCAAGTAATGTCCATCAACCCTCCTCTCCACTGTACCACCGCTCCTATGATTAGGTTTGTGCTGTAAACTACAGACAACAATTTAAAGTTGGATCCCAGTCTAACTTACTTTTGTTGAGGGCCAATAAATAGTTTAGTTCTTTCGTACACCTCAGACGTACCCTTGACAGACAGGTAACACTGTGAGGGCCACCCAGAGGCAATGTGCATGAAGCCTATGAAAAGTTCCCAGTCTCTAACACTGCTAACAAAGCAGCAGGTCCAAGGGTTCCGTTCATTATTCAACCATTCCAGAAGTGCAGTCTCAGCTATGTGCCAGCCTACCCCGCAGGAGGAGTTCCTCAACTTTCTTTTCACGTTATGTTAACCACACTTAAGATGGACCTTCCTGTATTTTTCCCTGACTTGATTTAAAATGGCAGTAACAACTGTACTCATTTCTTAATTGTCTGTTAACTGTCTTGAGTGTTTAAAAAAAAGATCATTGTCATGAGGATTAAACGAAACATGAAGAACACTGCTTGGCACAAAGCTCAATAAAAGCTAGTTATGAATATTATATGAATCTATTTTCTTTTATCTCTTCTAATCTGAAGTTAAACATTATAAGCAATAAGAGAAATTCTACCTAACCTAGTACTACATTTTCCCTTTTGAAATCCCTGAAATTTGCTGTATACCTAAAGATTGATAATTTGTGGCACCTTTGTTAAATCTTTTTAGGATGCCAACAATTGCTATAATAGTTATGCAAACTATTTTAATAAACATAAAACACTCAATATGGCATAAGTTATATGAAAAAAAAGCATGTAGAAATAAACCTCTCAAGGAAAGTAAATTCATGAGTGTGATAGAGAGTAGGAAAAAGTCTTTACAATTTTATATACAAGTCATAATTTATTTTTCTTTAATCTTTAAATAACTGCTATTATTCTTTTATGATTCTTTCTATAAATCCCAAGTTTAAGAATCAGGACAAAAACCTCCCTGTATCTATATAAGGTATACTACAGTCAGAAATATTAAAACATTGATAAATTATGAATTCTAAAACTTCATCCCATTCATTTCAGTTCCTTGGCTACTATCCAACTTTCTTTCTCCAACCTGAATTTTTTAATACCTGAATCAGCACATTCAGCACTCCAAAACAGTCCGGTACAACTGCTACTTTTCAAAGACTCTCTTTGATTATGATTTTTATTGCTCTCATGAACTTCCTGCTAAATACAGTTATAAGTAAGGAAGTTAGGGAGGGTAAAGTAACCTACCACAATTTCATAATTAATTCCCATAATCCTTTGCCACTTTGCCAGCAGGGCGGCTTCCTGTTGTTGTGTGTCTTCTACTTCTTCTATCTCAGCTAACAGTAATGGATAACCTAAAATCGTCAAAACAATTAAGTTAGTGACAAACTACAACAATTATCCTCATTTTAACACTCTTTTTTAAAAACTTTAACATTCTATACCAGGGATCAGGACTTGTCTATTATACAAAGTCTAACTCATTGTCCAATATATGAGTTACTCTGTTTCTCTACATATTTTAATAATTTAATTTAGAACCCTAACATCTTTATGTTCCAACACTATTCTCTTTTAAGAGGCTATTTTTAAGTCTTTACTATATTTCCATTGAAGTATTCATTTACAATCTAACATTTACTTAAAAAAATGAGGGCCCCGGATGACTCAAGGTTTCACTGGGTGGTCCTTTGGTGACGCTAGTAAAACACATGCTGCCTTTCATGTTGGTTTACCTATTTCACTTTTATTTGGTTCTACAGAGTAAAGAAGGATCATGCTGCACCTTAGCAAAAAGAGGCAAGCAAAAGAAACGAACAAATAAGATATGCAACTCCATGTACAATGAGCAAATAAAATAAGGAAAAATAAAAAACTGAGAATGCACATTAAAATAAAAGCCCATAATTGGTTTGCACTAATTGGCAAAAGGAAAATAAAAAAATTTTTGAAAGAAAATCACTAAACAAAATTAACTTAAAATATTTAGCTAAAGTAAGAAGCTGGTTGAAAAGAATTTGCAAGTCATATTCAAAGAGTTCCATATTGCATCATATTTATTATTCATAAAGCCTATCTACTTTTTTCACCCTCACTTGAGGACATTTGTTTTTAAAGATTTTATTTAGTTTTAGAGAGAGGGGAATGGAGGGAGAAAGAGAAGGAGAGAAACACTGATGTATGAGAGAAACATAAATCAGTTGCCTCCTGCACACGGACTTGGCCTGCAACATAGGCATGTGCCCTGATGGGTAATTGAACCTGAAACCTTTTGGTTTGTGGTATGATGTGCAACACACTGAACCACACCCATCAGGTTATAAAGGTTGTCTTTTAAAAAATCTCCACAAGGCATACTCTAAATTAATATTTTAATATCCCTTTTAACATTCAAATTTCAAATTTAAAGAGTGTTCCAAAATTCAGATTTTTTAATTAACTGCCTCCTCTACAATGGAATAATGAGCTTTCACTCTAGGCCCATTTTGCAAATTTGTTATGCCTTAATTTAATAAAGTGATCTGGTTTCTCCTTGAGAAATTGAAAACAGTAAAATATATATGTATATACATTTTAATTTAGAAAGTAGCCCACCCAAATGAGTATTTTCTTTTTAAAAGTAAATTCAGTCCAGAGAAGGATAACTATGACACAGGGATAACAAAGGTTACATAGACCCTTTCAACCTGATAAGGGTTAGAAAAAGGAGGGTCAGCTTAGAGTCCTATCTCCTCCCAAACCCCTTTTCTCTGATTCTGCTGTCCTTACAAAGGTGGGCAGCAATTCAAGCAGGGTGGGATTCTGAATGCAAAAAGTGGGGAACCTATATGCTACTGATAAAAAATCTGAAATGTGTCTCCATACAATCACAACCTACAGTTAACGACTCTCCAATCTCCCCCTCTCCCAACTGCCCCAAGACAAGATTTAGGCATGTTTAAAAAATCCTAAAGTGCAGTCTTCTGATCTTACTGAAGGGTCAAATGACTCCTCGAATCTTGAGAAAGAAGAACAAAGCAGGAGGGATCACCATATCTGACACCAAACTATATTACTAGGCCACTGTAATCAAAATAGTCTGGTACTGGCATAAGAACAGACACATAGATCATTGGAACAAAACAGAGAGCCGAGACATAAAGCCAAGCCTCTATAGTCAATTAGTATGTGATGACAAAGGGGGCAGAAGCAGTAAATGAAGTAAAAATAGCCTCTTCAACAAATGGTGATGGGATATCAGGACATTTACAAACAAAAAATGAAGCTCAACCATCAATTTACACAATACACAAAAATAAACTCAAGATGGATAAAAGATTTCAATATAAGTCATGATACCATAAAAGTCCTACAGAACATAGGCAGGAAAATCTCAGATATTCCATACAGCAATATTTTCACTGATATGTCCCCCAGAGCAAGGGACATAAAGGAAAGAATAAACAAATGGGACTTCATCAAAATAAAAAGCTTCCGCATGGCTATAGAACACATCAACAAAATAAAAAGTGAATCAACTGCATGGGAAAAGATATTTGCCAATGATATCTCAGAAAAGGGTTGATCTCCGAAATATATAAAGAACTCACATGACTCTACTCCAGGAAGATAAAAAATCCAATTAAAAAACAGGCAAAGGACCTGAACAGACACTCCTCCTAGGAGGACATACAGAGGGCCCAGAGACATATGAAAGGATGCTCAGCATCATTAGCCATCAGAGAGATAAAAATTAAAACCACAATGAAATACTACCTCACACCAGTTAGAATGGCCATCATAACCAAATCAACAAGCAGTAAGTACTGGCGAGGATGTGGAGAAAAAGAACGCTAGTACATTGTTGGTGGGAATGCAGACTGGTGCAGCCACTGTGGAAAGCAGTATGGAATTTCCTCAAAAAACTAAAAATGGAACTGCCTTTTGACCTGGTGATACCCCTGCTGGGACCACACCCTAAGAATCCTGAAACACCAGTTCAAAACAACCTATGCGCCCCAATGTTCACAGCAGCACAATTTACAATAGCCAAGTGATAAAAGCAACCTAGGTGTCCATTAATAAATAAGTGGATCAAAAAACTATGGTACATTTACACAATGGAATACTACGCAGCAGAAAGAAAGAAGGAGCTCCTACCCTTTGCAACAGCATGGATGGAACTGGACAGCATTTTGCTAAATGAAATAAGCAGGGTGGTGAAACATAAATACCATATGGTCTCACCTATAAGTGGAAACTAATCAACAAAATAAGCAAACAAGCAAAATATAATCAGAGACATCATAATAAAGAACTGACAGTAACCAGAGGGGAAGGGGGATGACAGGGAAAAGAAGGGAAAAGGTCATCAAGGAACAGGTATAAAGGACCCATGAACAAAGCCAAAGGTGAGGATGATTAAGGGTGGGAGGTATGGGTGGGTGGGGCAGGGGAAAGTGGTAGTGGGAAAATGGAGACAACTGTACTTGAACAACAATAAAGTTTTACTAATTTTTTTTTAAAAAAGTAATTTGGGAGCCTTGATTCTGAGTCTAAAGCCTCTCCTGTCTAATCCTTCTACATATGCATATGCATATTCTCTAAAGAAAAGTAGATGGTCTGAGTCTCCACAACAATCTCCCATCCCCATCCCCACTTACTATCTTAGGCTTTGTGCTTTGAAATAATGTTATCCTTTCCCCCTACTCCTGATAATTCATGTCAACCTAAATAATTTCCTCACCTAACAGTGTAATAATGGTAGAATGTTATCAACATGTGTGAATCTTACACATTTCACTGCCAGGATATATTCGCAAATACTGCTTTAAAATAAAAATTTCAAGTAAAAAGCAAAGAATTTAATAATGAAGTAGTAGATATTTTAAAGAACTACAATGTTTCAATAAAACTGTTTCATGAATTGACTTCCAGCCAAGATGGAGGCATAGCTAGGTTTGCTTTACTTTCTCGCACAACAAAAAGAAGGACAACAACAAATTTAAAAACAATAACCAGAGCTGCCAGAAAATCGAACTGTCTGGAAGTCCAACAACCTAGGAGTTAAAGTAGAAACATTCACCCAGACTGGTAGGAGGGGTGGAGATGGGCAGCCGGGGCAGAGAGGACACCCCATATGGCAGACCTGGCTGGGCAAGGTGGCAGCTGGCAGACTGGGTACTCCCACATTCACATGCAGATAAGCCAGGAGGCACCACTGGGAAGTGAGACATACCAGGCAATCCAGGGTTCTAGTGTGGGAAAATAAAGCCTCAAAAACCTCTGGCTGTAAGAATCTGTGGGGGCTGTGGCAATGGGAGAAACTCCCAGTCTCACAGGAGAGTCCACTGGAGAGACCTATGGGGTCCTATAATGTACACAAGTCCACCCAACCAGCAATCAGCACCAGAAGGGCCTAATTTGCTTGTGGGTAGCGGGGACAGTGACTCAAAGCAGGGCAAGAGCTGAGCACTGTTCCCTCTCTGATCCCTCCCTCACATACAGTGCTACAATGCAACAAAGTGGGTTGCCCCACGCTGGTGAATACCTAAGAGTCTGCCCCTTATGATGTAATAGGTGCACTGAGACAAAGAAATATGGCCCAAATGAAAGAACAGATCAAATCTCCAGAGAAAAATACAATTAAGTGATGAAGAGAGCCAACCTATCAAATGCACAGTTCAAAACACTGGTAATCAGGATGCTCACAGAAATGACTAAGTATGGTTGCAAAAATAGAGGAAGAAGTGAAGGCTATATAAAGTGAAATAAAGAAAAATATACAGGGAATCAACAGTGAAAGGAAGGAAACCAGGACTTAAATCAAGAATTTGGAACAGAAGGAAGAAATAAACATTTAACCAGAACACAATGAAGAAACAAGAATTCAAAAAAATGAGGAGAGGCTTAGGAACCTCTGGGACAACTTTAAATGTTCCAGCATCTGAATCATAGCGGTGCCAGAAGGAGAACAACAACAACAAGAAATTGAAAACTTATTTCAAAAAATAATGGAGAACTTCCCCAATTTGGCAAAGGAAACAGACTTCCAGGAAGTCCCAAAGAAATTGGACCCAAGGAGGAATATACCAAAATACATCATAATTAAATTACCTAAGATTAAAGATAAGGAGAGAATCGTAAAAGTAGCAAGACAAAAGGAAACAGTTATCTGTAAAGGGGTTCCCATAAGACTATCAGCTGATTTCTTAAAAGAAACCTTGCTGGCAAGAAGGGACTGGCAAGTATTCAAAGTGATGAAAAGCAAGGACTTATATCCAAGATTACTCTAACCAGCAAAGCTATCATTTAGAATGGAAGGGCAGATAAGGTACTTCCCAGATAAGATAAAGTTAAAGGAGTTCCTGGTCACCAAGCCCTTGTTATTTGAAATGTTAAAGGGACTTATCTAAGAAAAAGATCAAAGTTATGAACAGTAAAATGACAATAAACATACAACTATTAACAACTGAACCTAAAAAAGAAAAACAAAAAACAAACTCAGAAAACAACCTGAACAAGAACAGATTCACAGAAATGGAGATCACCTAGAGGGTTATCAGTGAGGAAGCAGAGCGGGGAGAATGGGTGAAAAGGTACAGGGAATAAGAAGTGTAATTGGTAGGTACAAAATAGACAGGGGGGAGTTAAGAGTAGTACAGGAAATGGAGAAGTCAAAGAATTTACATGTATGACCCATGGACATGAACTAAGGGGGGGAATGCTCGTGGGAGAGAAGGTGCAAGGCAGAGGGGCATAAAGGGAAGAAAACAATGGGACAATTTTAGTAGCATAATCAATAAGATATACTTAAAAATAATAAAAAATAAAGTGATTATCCATAGAAAAAAATAAAATTATTTCCTGATGGGCAGGATTCAAATGAAGGGAGATCAGTCTTGGATTTTGTTCAGTGGGTTTAAGTTACCAACGTACCTAAAGCAACCTGACAGGTAAGGAAAGCACGCAGCACCCAGTCTAAAAAGATCACAGTGCTCTTATATAATTACATATTAAAGCAATGCTGCTCCAAAAAGTATTTAAACAGCTTGATGAACTCCGATTTATAGTGAAAGAAATCTCAGAAAGTTTTCTCTCTAAAATTCCTTTCCAAACCAACCTTGCAATATTAACATTTAGAACTTTTAAAATATTGAGAAGGAAAACCCTCCCAAAATTGGAGTTTCATTCCTATTAGCCTATGGTTTAAAGATTCCCTTGTGTTTATTTTAGAAATGCTATATAATTTTCTATTCGCTTCGTTCAGTAAGTACACACATGGTGGCCATACAAACCTGAGGGGATTGAACTAAAATCATGTATGTAACTGACTGATCTCTAAAGGGTCTTGGTCAAAAAATGTAGAAGAGACTGACCCAGCAACAAAGTATGCCAGCTTTACATGAACTATTTTAATCTGCTAGAGCGATTAATCGGATCTATAAGTAAGGGTGTACAGGCACATCTTTTTTTGATTTTTTTTTGTAATTTACAATAGGTCCGTAGAGGCTTAATCACATTTTTAAAAATCATTTCTGTATAAAAGTATATAAAGAACAAAATAACCTGGCTCCAGTTGTTTACCTGCTTTTTCAATTGGTAATATGCTGGTGTTTCTCCTCAAACATAAAGAAGGTTCATCTTTTTAATAATTTTCTTAAATAAAAGAATATTTTAGTACTTATATTTATAATATAACCATGCATCTGAATTTTTCAAACCCTACTGTATATATTTGAACCCCTATATGAGAAATTGTTTTTTCACAGGTACTCTCTAATAACCACATATTCTTAAAGGAAAATTCTCCTGTTAATGGGACAAAGAAGTAATGAATTTCTCCTGTGATGTGCCTCCCGGTACCCCAGTACTGTAATAAGTAGTTCATGGCATAAATACCTGGATGGTTAACAGTGTGAGAAATGACACAGCACCTTCAAACCAATAGCCTGACCTCTACCAATAAACCCTTACCCCAGTGAGCTCCATGGGGGTTTCAGTAATTTCCAGAGATACTCATGTATAAGCAGGCTATGAAAGACATTACTAAGTGGGAAATTAAAGTTGATTCCTTCGAGGAAAGGCTGAGGAGTTAAGCATACCATGGGGCTCATACACAGATAGTTTCCCCCTAACGAGAAAACGTGATGATGGCAGGCAAAGGTCTGTCAGGGGTAGAAAGGTAAATCCCTATGCATGTTTCCAACGCAGAAATGGTGCCAGAATAAATAGGATAAGAAGTAATCTGCTTTATTCAGAAGCCCATTCTATACCTAATCGACATATCGTTGTCCCAGTTAATCCTGACTGCATTAAATTTCCTTTTTACTGGGTTCACACTACGTAGTGAGAGCTAAAAAACAGTTTTTAAAATAATTAAGGAATTAGAAAAGAATTGAAATGATGTAAGGGCATAACTGGCAACCAGATGAACTTGGTATTACCTTTGCTTATGCCGGCATTAACAGGAGACAAAACAGCATCTTTGGTGCCATCCTCCCTGGACTCAAGCTCAGCCTCCTGCTTTGCTCCCCTCCTCATTAGTGTCAGGTGCACAGTTTGTCCTGTGTGTCGCAACACCTCCACTGCTTGTTGATTGGTAAAACCCTGAAGGTTTGTGCCATCCACCTGGTAAACACAAGGCAAGTTAAAGAATAAATGGATATTACCATTTATTATCATTTCACAAAGTATGTATTTAGTGCTTGTTAATGTAAACAGAACGTGGAGTGAGTATCCCTCTAACTGGGGGATAGGCTAACACCTGTTTGGAGACCAGTACTAGCTCTCATTCACTGGAATCACTCAGGAGGGTTTTGTTTATTTTGTTTAATGCAGATTACTGGGCCTCACTTCTAGAAATTATAAGCCAACAGTTCTAGGGGGGCCCAGTCTTCTTATACCTCTTAAAATATTTTTACATTCCTCAGGTGATGTTGATGCACAGTCAATTTTGGAAATCAGTATTATGCAGGACATAAAACTACAGGAGACAATGACAAAAGTGGTCAATGGAAGTGCTAATTATTTTCTAAAATCATATATATATGCTTTAAAAAAGAATGCGAGCAAAACTGCATTCCTTTTCATTTCTTTGCCTCTTCAAAAAAAATGTATGTGGTTTTCCCTTTTTCTAGTTCACAAATGACAAAACATTTAAGGATGCCTCTGTGAGCTTTCCAAACAGAAGATATAATCATATAACCCCACTTGCCTTTCACAAACATGCCTAGGGCAACGCTCCAAATCTCTCTCTGAATGGCTTTGAATGGCCTGGGTCACTATCCTCACTTCCCATCACCCCTTTCACCCTGAATGATGTGCTTATTACTCTGCCCAGCAGTCCCAAAGGGCTCATTTCCATTCCTCCAACCTCATGGCTCTCTTCAGCCATGCGATCTCTGCAAGTCCTGCTACCTCAGTGCAGACTCTCTGCCCAACCAAAGTGTCCTTCCACAGATGACTGGAGAAAGATGTGGTACATATATGCAATGGAATACTACTCGGCCATAAGAAAAGATGAAATACTACCATTTGTGACAACATGGATAGATCTTGAGAATGTCACGCTAAGGAAAGTAAGGTGGACATAAAAAGTTAAGAACCACATGATTTCACTCATATGTGGATTATAAAACTGACAGCAACAAATGAACAAACAAGAAAAAAAAACAAAAACTCACAGATGCAGATTACAACAGTATGTTGGTTACCACAGGGTAGGGGGTGAGATAGCAGTCAAAGAGTAAAGGGATCACACACACAGCAACAGAAGATGATTTGGCTTGGGATGGTGAACACACAATACAACATACAGATGATGTATCATAGAATTCTGCACTTGAAACTTATATAACTTATTAACCAATGTCACCCCAGTGAATTTAATTAAACAATAAAATAAATAGTGGCACACAAAATTCAGTGCTAAGTAATAAAATAAGTTTAATTCTAATTTGAATAGTATTACAGCAAAACAAACATTTCAAGCCTTAGTCCATAAAAGACAGAAAGATGCACATAACACAGTTGTTGGTAACAGTAAACAACTGTAAACAACTGTTCATTTATAAGGATTGTCTAAATATAGCATGATAGATCTACATGTGCTAATATGATTATAGCTCCCAGGTATAGTTCTAAGTAAAACAAAATATTTTTAAAAATGTATGAACAAAGATAATATGGCCCTACTTAAATACAGATACATGATACTTTCTGGAATTTTAAAACATAAACTATTAATAATGGTTTTTATGAGAAGGTTTATTTTTAAACTATGTTCAAATTTTATATTCTTTAAACCTCAAGGACAAAAGTTAATCCAAGCTAAATAAACATGTTATTTACTTTCAGGGTAGTGAAGGAGAAAAACACTTGCAAAAATCTATCTTGAGTTTCCATAAAAATTTCTAACATGCATAGAACTTAGGCTGGAAGTTTTTAACTACAAAAGATTTTTATTACTCAACTTTCAAAGTGAGTTTCATTAAGAAAAATCAAATGCATATGATTTTGTTTACTTAATAGCAATAAAATACAAATACGTAAAGCAAAAAGTACATTTTTCCTTTATTTTGAAAGCTTGATGACCTAAATTTAAAAATATATTTCTTACCCAAATTTCAGAGATGGCAGTAGCACAGAACAAATTGCTATAATGGAATAACCATAGACTTTTAAATCCAGACTTCAGTTCAAATTCCTCAGTATCTTCATCTGTAATATGGGAATAATGATACTTCCCAAAATTACAGTACATGGTACTTTGTACTGGGAAGATACTCATCAGCTTGCATTATTATTAAAAGGGTGAAGAAGTGATTAATAAGCCTGAAAATCCCAAGCCTTCATGGGAGCAGCATTTCTTCAATATAGTAAGTCCCATCCTACATATAAGACAAGGTCACCGAAGTCTAAACCAAAGCCCAGGCCAGTGCTGGTCCCTCATTACTGAAGGAAGAGAGTTAAGACATGGCTTCAGATCCAATGGTGCCATAGACAAGACTGCAGTGGAAATAGGTGCCATGGCAACAAGAGATATAAAATTAACAGGAACAATTACAGGGTGAAATACTAATTGGAGCAATTAAAAAAATCACAGCTCCTTAGCATCCTCAACTGGCTGTCTAAGCCCTCCTCAAACACAGCCTATACCTGTATGTATAAAAATTCACAGAATATCAAAGGCAACATTTGGCACCTTTCCATATTTACATACTTATTTAATAATATTTTAATCAATCATAACCCCTACTGCTTTTAGTCAGGATTATGTACATTAATCTAAAAAGAATGAGTATATATGTTTATATCTAATGACAAGTTTGGTCAACTTGAGATTCCTTTTATAAAGTAATGCTTACATACTATATATAAGTGGGGCAAAATGTACTCATTCACTCTATTCCCCTTCTCTGTAAGGTCTATAGTGAAACCCCAGGAGTCCACAGAGCAAAATTTGTGAAACAGGAATCCTATAACACAGAAGTTTTAATGCCATAAAAACACTTTCTCAAAATAAATAATAAGAAATGATTTCTTAATCTTCCCACCATCATCACAATTATAAAATGAAAACATAGTATAGCTCCAAATAGCTGTTACCAAAAAAAAAAAGATAGAAAACAAAACAAAATACTACAGTTGTGAAAACACAACCAGTGTGAAAAACTTTACTATCAGTATCTCGAAAGTCCACAAGATGGTGATATTTTGCACTAAATTAATGCATAATCAAAAGCATTTCATGACGTTTCCTAAGAGTTTCAGGTGCTTCTAAGAATGTTGCTAAAAATCAGAAATCAGAACATTAATGATGGTAAAGACAAGAAATTTTATTGAAAGCAAAATAACTTTTCACAAGAAAGGTGCTTCCATTTTTGGGTCAACAAATTCCTTTATCACTGCCTTTGCCTGAGCAAAATCATATTTGATGATCCACTTACATAAGAATGAAAATAACGACATAGTATAGAGAAGCATTGTGATTCTCTTTTCAAATGTGTGATCATCAGGCCCTTAATAAATATCTGCTTAATTAATTAAATTGCATTTATGTGCAAAGTATTATGCAAAATATTTAAAATAAATTACTCATTTGTTTTCCTAAATGACCCTTTTCCTAATAGGAAAGGGTCATTTCCTAATCCCAGTTTTGTAGGTGAAAGGAGTTTGCAAAACAAACATAAAGTTGTAATAGGATTCAGGGACTCCACTCCTAAGTATATACTCAAGAAATGAAAACATACATGTACACAAAAATGGTACATGATAGTTCACAGAGGTGTAGAAAGGTGGAAACAACCCAAATATCCATGAACTGATGAATGGATAAATGAAATGTGGTATATCCATACAATTGAATAGCACTCAGGTATAAAAAGAAATGAAGAATTTCTTCTTATATGCTACAACACGGATGAACCTTGAAAACATTATGCTAAGCAAAAGAAGTCAATAACATAAGATCACTTACTGTATGATTCCATTTATATGAAATGTCCAGAATAGGCAAATTTATACATAAAGTAGATAGTTAGTTGTCTAGGGTTGAGAGGATGGAGGAATTAGGGAGTAACTGCTAATGTGTATAAGGTTTCTTTTTAGGGTAATAAAAATGTTCTAAAATTGATTGTGATAATTAATACACACTGATAAACAAAACTACTGAATTATACATTTTAAATGGGTAAATTTTTATGTGAATTAAATCTCAATAAAGTAAATTTATAAAAACTTTTCTAATGGAGTACAATATACAGCTTAGTGGGAAAAATAGTAGCTATGTTTCCAATTTTTAATTCAGTATCAGATATGGATTTAGAGTCTTCATCTATTAACTCTCTCTCCCTCCCTGTCCTCCAAAATAAAATACTTAAAGAAGTTAATTTTCATTGTATGTTAAAATGGAGATACCATGAGGAAAATTCATTCCCAGGAGACAGCCAGTTTAGGTGGCAAGCACACTTTGAACTTTATAGTAGATTTCAAGAGGTGAACAGGTGTAGTTAAGAGCTTTATGGAATTAAGTTCAAGAACTCAGGGAGCTGCAATGTAGAAGCAAATGGCAGAGATAAAGGAAACCTCTACTTTTTCTGTTAAATATAACAAAAAGAAAACATGTAACATACAATTTACCCTCTTAACTATTTCGAAGTGTACAATTCAGAAGTGTTAACTATTTTCACAGTCATACCACAGGTCTTCAGATGTTTTTCTCTTGCTAGGTGAAACTCTACACCCATTAACAAGAGCTCCCTATTTCCCCTCCACCCAGCCCCTCACAAAACCATTTTACTTTGTGCTTCCAAGTTTGACTACTCTAGGTACTTCATATATGTGGAATCATACAGACTTGTCCTTTTTTGTGACTGTATTATTTCACTTAGCATAATGTCCTCAAGGTTTATCCATGTTATAGGATGAGACAGAATCTCCTTCTTTATATCACTAAATAATTTTCCATTGTATAATATCACATTTTGTTAATCCATTCATCCACTGGTGGACATGTGAGTCATAATGTCACCTTAGCAATTGGGAGTAATGCTGCTATGAACAAGGACTCCTCTATCTTAACATTCTACTTTCTCTCTGTTATTAGTATCCCAAGGAAATAAAAGAAACTTAAATATAAGCAAAACACATATTAAGATAAATTGGCATTCCCCAATATGTCTGCCAAAGAATATTAACATATGTTTGAGGATAGAAAGAACTCATGATTACAAAGGTTTAGGAAATACTAAATTAAAAGAGTTAAACAAGTTTCTCTGCTACAGAACTTCTCGGTCTTTGATTTTTCAATGTGCTCTGTGAATCCCTAAGATCGCTGGCAGTTTTCCTCAAGTTGTTAACCAGGAAGCCCCTGGTGCAGCACCTTTTGCATTTGTGTTCTAAGGAGAAGTTAGGTAGTCCCATTTCCACTGAACACTGGACTGAAGTCAGACTGTCTTGAACACTGCCTTGAATAGCCCATACACTCAAAACATGCTGATGTTACTACAATAACAATGATCTAAGTAAGAGAGGCTGGATCTTTTCTATATTCTTGTATATTCGTAGAGCTAAACATAGCCCTGGTCATGGAGTCAACAACAGCAGTGTCATTCTGCTAACAAAAAAATGAAAATGCATCCCAAATTCATATTCAAATAAACTAAAGATTACAACATGTGGTCTCTGAGGTGTCTACAACTAAAGTGTAACTATGATATTAATGTAAGTTAAGCGTAACTATAATATTAATGCTACAACCCAAAATCAGATGTACCAGAAATTATTCAATAATGAAGTCCCATCTTTTGAGCTGAAATCAGTACACAATGCTCTACCTCCACAAAATAAAACTGGTCATTGTAAGGAGAGCTTTAAATCATCAAAGCCAGCTAATGTACTGAGCTAAATGTAGTTCTCAAAACTGAGTAAATTAGGAGAATGCATTTTTCAACCATGAGAATTAACAAAGTAAAATTAAATGTGTTACTTACTGCTATGATTTGGTCTCCAATTTGGATTCTTCCATCATGTTCAACAGCACTGCTCTTTGTAATGCTCTTTACAAAGATTCCTGAAGGTTCTAAAATTGAAAATAGTTTTATTTTTACTATTTATAAAGATCACTCAAATAATAAATAACATCCATCATCCATTATCTAAATATAGAGTCCTAATTTTGAACAAATATAAATTAATAAGCCACACAAATAAAACCAGTAGTAGAAACTTAGGCTAGAGAATAAGACAATAATTTTGTTTATCTTAAATACAAAATCAGAATCATATGCATTCAATTATTCCTAGAAATGTTTCAATCTGTTTATCCATCAATATAAAAATACATGATGTTGAGAAAATATTTCATAAGATAATTATATTAGAGGCAATTGTTAAATTAAAAAAAAAATATTAATGTTTAAAACTACCTAATTTTTTATCTCCAATGTAACCAGCAATGGTAATTCCTAATCCTTGGACATTCTTAGTGAGTTCTACATCAAATGTCTCACTTTCTTCACTTTTCTGAGTGGAAGCATCAACCTAAAATAAAATTGACAAATAAATATACAGAAAAATAAATGTAAACAAATAAGATAAGCTCAAAAGGCTACAACCTTTATTTAGAAATAATAAACTGTAATTAGTTGTCAGAGAAGTCTGCTGGAGGATAATAACATAGATTACTCCTTCAATCTTGATGACATGGACTAACATCAAATTTGTACTAAAAAGGTATGTCAGCAGTAAAGCAGAACACACACCCTCACCAGAGAAATACATTATTGTTTGCGTGTACAAAACTTTAAAATTCAAACAGTTTCTTATTAACAAACTCCACTGCTACAGAAGGCTCATCTTCATTTTTAAAAGAGGTAGGAGTCTAAAAGAACTCATGCTTTGAATTCAGAACAAGTTCAAATCTAGCTTTGCCACTGAATTTTTCTAAGCAACACTTTGTTCAACTGCCTACCAAAAATAAAACAGCATGTCCAGCTAACATTTACTGAGAAGTTTCTTTTTAACAAGCAGCTGACATATCTTAATTTATTTACTCCTTAGAACAAGCCAATGAGGTAGGCACAATTACTGTCAATTTTTCTCTGGGGAAATTGAAGAACATAAATTTTTTCAATGACAATCAGTAAACGTTCTAGCAAAGGCAGAATTGAAATGCAGATGGGCCGGTTGCCGAAACCCAGTTCTTAATTGCTATGCCATACGTGAAACCCCTAGAGGACTGCAGAGGCCATCCTGTCTACTCAGGACATGTTGCTGCTATTACTATAGTAATAGTTGATTCTCACACCACGAATATGACAATCACTTCTTCAGACACATTTTTAACAGACTGATGATTTAAGAAATCAGCGAGATTCACCAGTGACCTATTTAAAATGGTCCCTGTATTCGTTTTGTAAATTCATACTTTAATTTAAAAGCTATCTATAAGGAAAGTATGCCTTTCTGCTGAGTTCCTTCCATCCTTCAATGAAAACTGAAGGCAGTGTTCTCTAACATGTATCACTGGTGTTAATTATGCATTGGCCTGAAGGGTAAGGGCCCCTGAATTAAGCACTAGTGGACTAGTGCAGTAAGGTCTCAGTGAGCTACGGTATTATATACTAGTGTAGTGTCAGCAGATTGCACGGAGAACCTAAGACTGTCACAACTGAATGAAGGCTAAGGGTTTGAGTGGACATGCTGGTAGGGGCTAGCTGGTAATGTTCTCTGATTTTCTTTAAGAAAATATGCTCTCTGAGTATATCTCACTGATAGCCCACCTAAATGAGATATAACTTTATGGTAAAGTTTCATTTAGTTTTTCTCACTGCACATAATTATCTGTGCAAACTTAGCAAAAAGTTTAAAGTTTAGATAATTACAAGAAAATGACAGGATGAAATCTGCTTCAATTGAAACAAATGTGTTTTCTATTTTTAATAAGACTTATGCGAGTGCTATTTTAGAGGGTGGCAATTTGACTATCGAATGGTTTTAAAAGGGGCACAAGCTTCAGAAATGATGATATGCACAGAATAGATATTTTTCTAAGCTTTCAATTACATCAAATGGTTTTCGGTATTGCATTCATTTATATGTTGCTGAATAAATGTTTTTGTTTACCACAAAGAATGCCACTTAAATACTTTCATAAACAAGCTTTCTTTCTTTACTTCTTTCTCTCTGCAAAAAATAGCAACCAAACTCAATCCTAAAAACAACAGAATCATGGAAATTTCAAGTGTTCTAATAAAGTTTCAAAAAGGGCTTGTGGAGGAGGCGAGGATACTAAAAAAAGAACTTGAAGCAACTGGTTAGAAAACACATTAATAGAATAAATCACATAGATGCATTTAGCTCTATGACAAAGGAATGTAGGACTTAACATTTGCTATAAAGCTTATCTAAAAATTGAGTGTGATTCTCTTCAATATTTAAGGTTTTCTGGAAAAAAATTGTTTTGTAGATATTTTATCCACTACAGTCATATTGTGACCTGAACTATTTGTGATAACCACATTCTAAAATTCTGAAATTGTTTAGCTTTTTTCATATCAAGTTAAAAATAGAGATGGAATGCTATACATATGAATCAAACTTTTCTGATAACCTCAAAAGCATAACTTTTATTTAAAAATTTATAAAAACTGGATCAAGAATAGCGCCTTCTCATTACAAATCTGATAACAGTTGTGTGACATTCCTTAAAACAATAATATTAAAAGATTTTAGTGAGTGTTATTCATCAGCACTGCCCCCAAAATAAAAACACTATAAAGAAAGTTGTTGTAAGGACATGATTAAAACTTACAGCCCACCTCACAGAGAGCCTTTTAAGAGAAAGAACTAAACGTTTTAGGTATTAGTTACAAGTAATTTTTTAAAACTTTTCCATAGTGCAAAATATTATCCTCATAAATGTGCTACTTAGGAAAAAAACAAAATAGTGATCTAGAATTTTTTACACAATCTATTTTTCATCTCTTGCACATTATTCCCCAAAACATGACTCGTGCCAAAATACCTCTACATTTGAATTTTGTTTCATTTTTATCACTAATACATAAACATTATTAAATCTAGTTTCAAAATAAACATCCTGTCATGTCAGTGCTATTGACTACAACCTCCCCCATTTGCTGTTCTCACGGTCTTACCCGCATCTCGGGTGTAGAGCATGGGGATGAGCACACAGTGGGCGCAGCCGGTTCCTCCATGGCGCCTCTGGCAATCACCAGTTTCACTCTGTTCCCACACTGCCGGAGGACTTGTGCCACCTGCTCACTGCTCATTCCTGCTAGGTCAGTGTCACCAATCTTTAGAATGTGGTCTCCACTGCATAATCGCCCATGCTGAATAAGAAGAGAGGGATTTATCAGGCTTTATTATTATTACCTTCATCGGAGAAATCCTAAGTGAGGGAAAGGGAATAATTTAAAAAAATGATGACATGAAATATCAATCATGGGACACTAAACATGTGGTTGTGGTTTCTACTGTTTTTAAGTAACTAAAATTTGCAAGTATTCCTTAAATTGATAGTCAATATGAGCTTTTCAATTTGATTTCTACCCACTAGATACAAGAAAACATTGTCTTTTTGTGAATTTTTTTGAAGTATAGAAGGAGAAAATGCCGTTAAACAAAGATGAAGTATAAGTAATTATACAAATACATATTGCTCAAAATACGGTACGTAACACAAGAAAGCACAGAATTAATACAATTTTCTGCCTTGCTATTTAACTTATAAATATTTCTAAAGATTTCATTTGCAGAAGAAATCATGGTGAGATAAACGCAGTCTTACAAGCCTCCATAAAAATGGTGGCCACTAGAAATTTGTGCAGTGACGAAAATGTTCTGCATTGTCCAATATGGCAGCTACAAGCAGCATGTCGCCAGTCCAACTCTAATTTTATTTAATTTTAATTCATTTAAATTTGAATTTAAAAGTGACATGTGGCAATTACCCTCAGTACTGAATTCTACAGCTACACACTGAAGGTAAAACTCATTTATCACAAGCCTGTTAACTAGGGGAATCTCACTGATGCCACTACAGACTGGCTAATATTAGAAGAAATAACGTTTATAAACTATTGTGTTACTGTCAATACCTCTATTGATAAGACTGAAAATATATCTGACTTTCATTTATGAATATGACAAATATTTGATAAATCTGACTCCTAAGATCAAATATACATGCAACAGCAAGTATCTTTGTAAACAAATTGTTATAATCAAGGCAAAAGACACATTAGCAATACTTGTCTAATTAAAATATAAATCATAATAAGTAACTACCAATTTCTTATATATATATTCCAACATGTCACAGCATAAATAGCAATTCTGTGATGAGCAACTCTAAGTGACAAAAGCAGACTGTGCTTCATATACAAAGATGACACCTGTGACCCACCACTAAAAAGGCAAGATGAACCTTATTTTTTTTCCTACTATAATAAAGTATTCTTTCTGTAACATGTAGGGACCATAAAACAGTTGACTGGGTTTTTAGATATGATTTGTGATCATAAAATAAAGGACTGCTACCTCCACAATGATCAAAAACCATAAGCTTTCATCTGGGTCTATTACTTTAAATTAGTAACATCCGCATTTGAAAGATATTTCTCCCCAGGTCTAAGAAAACATTTTCAGGACAGCCCAGCAAACAGAAGATTATAACTCAGCTTCTTTGGTATTATCTAAGGCCAAAGTTTCTCTTTCCTGACAGAGAACATAAAAGACGAAGCCATGCTATTTGACAGAAGACCCATTGGAAGTGGCTTACCTGATCAGCCACCCCTCCGGGCAGAATGGTCTTCACTATCACGCCAGTTGCTTTGCCTCCTACAATGCCAAACCCCAGGCCAGAACCATCATTCACCAATTCAATGGTTTCCACATGCTGCCAGTGAACCTGAAAACAAAGCTCCTATAAGCATCTGAAAAAACTTAAGGAAAACTGAAGTTTTCATTGTAGCTGATATTTTTGTGAATATTATTTTGTGAGTAATATTAAGGAACTGAGTTCAAACATAATGAGTCTTAATAAATGTACCTTTTGTTTAGTACATTTTCCTTTCAACAGACTGTTACTGCATAATCATTCTCAAATTATCGATACATCATTATAGTGATCACACTTAACCAGGTAAAGACGGTGATGATTTGTGAGATCCTTTGTAAAGTATTTTTTAAAAAGAAAAAGATTAAGGAAAACCTTTTACCTATTAAAAATATTTTCTGCATAATCCTGCCTTGCAGGATTCCAAATTAGATGACTTCTTAAAGTCACTGAGAGCCTACCTAACAATAATACATGATGGGGCACAATTAAGTTTATAGTTGTTCCTCTGGAAAATAACAGTCATTAATAATAATAACACAAGAATGAACTCTGTTTCATGCACTCACAACTGTAAACTACTTTTGCCCTACCCTGTACAAGCTACAATTTACAAAGCAAAATCAAGATGTTATCTGTCTACAGACAGTCAATTTGGTTAAAGGATTAAATTTTTTTCATTTGAGGCATGCTGTCAAATAAAAAATCAACTTCATAAAAGTAGTAAAAATTGTTTTAGAAGCTAGAAACTTAATCACAATTAAATAAAAAATATTCCAGGCTACAAAGGGATAAAAGAATAAAAATGCAAAACCTCAACACAGACAAAGAACCTAAGGAATTGGAAACCTGTGAAAAATCAAAAAGATCTGGAAAAATAGGTTCTGTTCTTTGTGAACACCTTACACACTCACCGGATTAGAGTGAGCTGAAATTGTGCTAGCTGCAGACGGGGACCGGGAGATGATGGGGCTGATGAGCTGAGGCAGTGAGCCTCTGGCAATAACCAGCTGGACATTTTCTTTGGCTTTCTGAAGGATGCTGATAGCCTGCTGATGTGTGATTGTCTGGTCAAGTGCCTGTCCATTGATAGCAAGGATTTGATCAGTTTCCTTCAGTCTTCCATCTCTATCAAGAATGAAAAGTGGAGTAAAAGATATCTGACAGCTCTCAAGACAATGACAGCTTTTCTGGCATATATTTTCAGGTTATTTTAATTCTATTTTCTAATGTGCACACATTTAAAGCTTTTTCTGGTACTTCTATATTTAAAAACCTGATTGCTTAATATCACTAATCATTAGAGAAATGAAAATAAAAACCACAATGAGATATCACCTCACACCTGTCAGAATGGCTATCATCAATAAACCAACAAACAGCAAGTGCTGGAAAGGGTGCGGGATCCTTTTGCACTGTTGGTGGGAATGCAGACTGGTGCATCCACTATGGAAGGCAGTATGTGGGTACCTCAAAAAATTAAAAATGGATCTGCATTTTGACCTAGTGATCCCACTTCTGGGAAGATATCTGAAGAAACCCAAAACACTAATTAGAAAGAACATAGGCACCACTATGTTCACTGCAGCATTATTTACAATCACCAACATATGGAGGCAACCCAAGTGTCCATCAATAGATGAATGGATAAAACAACTATGGGATATTTACACAATGGAATACTACTTGGCAATAAAAAAAGAAGAAAATTTTATCCTTTGTGACAGTATGAACAGACCTGGAGAATATTATACTAAGTGAAATAAGGTAGTCAGAGAAAGACAAACACCATATGATTTCACTCATATATGGAAGCTAATGAACAAACTGAACCAACAAGGAAAATAGAGACAGACTCATAGATGGAAAGCAGGATGACAAAGAGATGGAAAGCTATGGGAGGAAGTTAGAGGGTGGAGGGATCAGGCATAAGGGAAAAAGGACTCACCTACATGGACAAGAGTGTGGTGATTGCAGGGGGCGGTATAAGGGGACTGAATGGTAATAGAAAAAGTAAAATAAATACAATTTGACTTCAGTTGATCTACCCCAATCAATTCCTCCCATTTAAACATCCTCTTCTTTCAGATACCCACTCAACCTACATCTTGGATGTTTCTACCTTCCACAAATGAAAGCAAAGATGTATATATTTACTTGTTGTTTTGAGTATATTAATAAAATATAGTTCAAATTGTCATGGGATATATATATATTTTTCTAAATAGTCACTTTTAAATCTAATCAAAAGAGCCCATTTACTAACATTGAGAATACTACCCTAATCAAATTTCTCTTTCCTTACTAAAAAGGGATTAAGTTCATTTATATTTAAAAGCTACTCTCTTTTTAGCAGGACTTACTTTCCATCATAGCAATGTTAGTGATAATATATTTTTAAACTGGTAATATCACTACATTTGAATTTTTGTTTGTTTTTATTTATTTTTGCTTCTCTGAATTCTCCCAAGGTGATCAACACCTCCTGAATGTGGTATCAAACCAAGAGAAGTAGCCCACCAGTCTCACCTGTGAGCCACGCTGCCCTCTTGGATCTCCTGCACAAATATCCCCAGTTCCCCCCGGTTTTCACTCCTCAGTCCCACAACACTGAAGCCGAGGCCTCCGCAGGGAGGTTTGAGGAGCTCAAACACTTCTATGTGGCGACCCTGTCCAGGATACAAAGCAAGAAATAAAACCAAACGCCAATCGCTGTACTAACAGTCATCTTATGAGTGACACCATTTTATTAAAAAATAAATTTAAAACATCTTTTCTAAGATAACATTTATCCTTCATCACCTAGAATATGGGTGTCAAACTCATTTTCACCAGAGGCCATATCAGCCTCGTGGTTGCCTTCCAAGGGCCAAATGTAGTTTTAAGACTGTATAAACGTAACTACCCCTGAACAGTTAAGCAAGAGCTCGGTGTTGGCATTGGGTAGAAACAAGGTGCCAGCCGGATAAAACAAGGTGGAAGGCTGGATTCGGCCCATGGGCCTTGTGTTTGCCACCTGTGACCTAGAATGAGACATTCTATTTATCCTGAAGAATATTTCTGGAACATAAAATATAATATTCAGTTTAAATTTGTTAATTTAAAAAAATAGAAAAATTTCTGAACTACCCAAACTCACACAAAACCATTTTCATTCCAATTTGTTTCACATGTTATAAATGTCTTCATTAATAATATATTTAATATTACATCTAATAAAATATATATTTAATATATATTTAACATGTTACATAATATAAATTTATTAATATTCTTCAATTTATCCAGGACTCCATTACAGTCTTACGATACCGTACATTGTATAGTAACAGGAAAAAATGTCCGTACCTGGGCCATATTTTTAATCAGTTGATCAAATTCATCACAAGCATGTTTCCCATTGATGTGTGGAGTACCTGATGCTGTTGTAAGGGTTTCCAGATTGCCATTGTTTGGGGATGATAAAAACGATTCATGCTGCACAGCTGCAGCTGGGCTGAGATGCGGCATATGGGCACAATCTACATTTGAAATGGCCGACACTGCAATGTTTACCTAAGAGTAATACGGAAATTAACAATTTTGACATTCCACAAACTATTTCATAAAAACATCCCAACAGGAGTAATAATGAAGTATATGCCAAATTTCAAATTGTCCATACACTTTAATTCAGTAACTGTATTTCAAGAAATTTATTTTAAAGAGAAAAATAGAATAACACAGAAAGTCATATGTATGAGGATGTGTGATGCAGCACTATTTATTAGATAAAAAATATTTTAAACTAATTACTTCCAGTGTTCAACTCCAGGATACTCATTAAAACACAGCAAAAACATATTCATCGATACACACACTTTTAATTGAAAATGACTAGTTATAGAATATGTATAATATAATTCAATGTACTTTAAAATATGTTTATATTTTATATGTTTATATATGCATTAAACATCTGAAACAATATACACCAAGCAACCAATATAACACTAGTTGTTCCTGAGAAATTGGATTCTGGGGATTTCCATATTACTTGAATTTTTAAAATAGTATATACAGTAAAGAACTTGAGTTTCCCCAAAGAGAGGTCTGGCCTTTGTCCCACCCTCCTAGGAAGTAACTTTTAGATCCTTGAAATTTCCTAGGTGATAGGAGTAGCTTTGTTATTCTTGGGGGGCTCCAAGGTCACATGATATAAACTCAAATTCTGAGATCATGTTAAACTATGTGGGCAATCAATCCAACCCGGGAAATGATGTCCAAATAAAAACTCTGAACAGAGAGCTCAGGTGAGCTTGCTAGGTTGGCAATACTACATGTACATTGTCATGCATAGAACTGGGGGAAGAGGACACTTCCTAAGGAAAATAAAAACTTTGATTTGAAATCTTATCAGGCTCTACATTGTGTGTCTTTTCATTGGGCCAATTTTTGACCTGTATCCCTTCCATAAAATAGACCAAAACTATGAATTTAATAGCTTTCCCTAAGTTCTGTAGGTCCTTCTAGTGAACCTGAGGGTAGTTTTGGGAATCCCCTGCACTTTCAGTTTGTTCAGTCACTAGTCTGCTCTTGTGTATATTCTTCCCTCTGACTTTGTATTTGGAACTTAACTCCTTTGCTGTTGGTCTCAAAGGTCTTGTGCAGAGTTGCCAGTCTGGAGGACTGTGCCTCCAACCTCACAGTTTGGCAATTCCAGGTACAATGATAAAAATAAACAATGACAAAAAATAATTCCATTTGGGAAAAATATTCTATAATTACTTTTGTGTGCCTGTTATAAAGAGCTCAAGTTAAAGCAAAGCAATTCACAAAACAGTGCAAACAGTCAATCCTGACTTCACGTTTCTGTAGTGTCTGGAATTTAACTTTTTATCTATAACTACTTATTAGAAAGGTTACACCAATCCTGTTTTTGGATCACTCTCTGAACTCATCCTCTAGCACTCTGTCCTTCACCCACACGGCTCCAGTGATACTGACCACTTCATCTTTCCTCCAACTGCCAAGCTGCTCTCCTCTGCCAGTCAGGTACATCCTTCCCCCAAGTAGCTACACACTTACTTCTTTCACTCAAGTGTGCTCAATGTCACCGCAGAGAAGCACTCCCTGACAACCATATCTAAAGAGTCATTCCACCATTATACTTCATACGCTCACCCTGCCCTATTTTTCTTCATGGTGCTTATTACCACCTGGTATGCACCCAATTGTCATGGAGCTCTGACACCAATCTGCCAAGACAGACTATAATGGAGAATTTTTCCAGGGGAGGAATTTGACAATTTTATTCTCTATTACATACTCATTCTCTAGAAGAGTGCCTAGCTAGCACAGAGTTGGCATTTAACATGTATTTGCAGAATATGTGTTTATTCATTTTATTAAGATCTACTCTGATAAAATCTCCCCAACGACCTTCCAAATATCTTTATTTTCAGTTTACAGATGACAAAATTAACAAAGTGACACAGTGTAGAGCAGACACAGTATAAATGAGCTGTATTTTCATCATTGTGTTCTTATCATTGTTTTATACACAGTCATTTGAAATATCATTTCTGCAAATAAGATATTAGGTAAAGAGCTTCTAGCACAGAAATCATCAAAGTATTTCACAATACATCACCAATCTGGCCTAAGAGTATGTTACTTATCCTTAAAAATAAAACAGAAAAATAAGTAAGTTACCAAAGTTACCAATAATTCAACCACTATAATGGTTTCTACAACCACAGATGAAAAAGAGATCAATGTGCTTAAGAGAGGCTTTGGGGGATCTTTTCAGATCCTTATTTTTAAATCTACAGCAGGCATGATCAATTATTATTTTTTCTAAAGCAAGCTTCTTATGCCAAACCTGATTTTTTTTATCCTGAGCCATGGCAACTTCAATACAGTCTGCCAGCAGAAGCTGCAGTGCTCAGGTTGAAGCAGATGGCATAATGAAATTTGTCACAGGCTGAGGATCCCACACATGAAGACCTATGGTATATTTCATAGGAAAAAATGTTTGGACTTCTTCTATGGTAAGCCAGAATGAACAAATCACATTCTAAGAATTGAGAAATCTCTCCATATGAAGTTAACTGATGAAGTATAAGCTCTGATAATATGTAAAGCAAGGAGCTGAGGGCATTCCAAGAATAAAGTTATAGGACCAGAGCAAGTACAATATTATGATATGAGAATGTATAAAAGTGCTAATTATCCGCATTTTCTCCAAATTATGTTAAAGGTTTAACCCACGTCCATGACTATTCCTGGCTCCTCTGAGCCCTTGAGCTCCACATAAATGTAAAAGCAAGAATAAAGAGATCACACATTTAAAAATTACAGTTTAATTATATATTATTATACAAAAGGCTTATTTCAATAATTTCTAATTCATATACATAAAAAACCACAAACTCCCCTTTTGATTCTGCTATCATTTTATTGAAATGGTTTCTGAACTAATTTGCCTGAAAAATCAGAATGAATCTTATTTTTCCTTGATAGGCTTGTTCATAGCAGACACAGTATAAATGTTTAACGAAAAGAAGCTGACTCCCATCTTAGTTTATAGAATATTAAATAAACACAAGAAAACACAACTATCTGGTGAATTTTACATACAGATAAACAATCTGTATAATTTATGGAAGTTGCTAGCAAGAGTCACCAAATAATTATGTGTTCTCTATTTAACTTCTGGCTGAGTATTTCAGTCTAATGAGGGCTTTTTTGTTCTTAGTAAATAAACATATAACTTAACTAATAGGTTTTAATTCATTCTAATACCTAAAACATAAGTAAAGATTTTATAAAGTATTCTATTAAAAATCTGTCAAATGCTTTGTGAAAGGACAAAACAAAACACCATCTCAACATTTAGAAGTAGAGGTGAAGCCCTTACAAGATGCCATCAAAACCAGTAATTGGTTCATTATTCTAAAAGGTCAGATAAAGCAGAAATAATAGCAAAGGACAGATATATAACTTAAGAACATTATTTTAATTTAGAAAATATATATTCATTCACAAATATCTTAATTATGGAAGGACTCTACCTTCTCTCTTACATAAACCAAATTCATATAATATGACATTATTTTCAAATCCAGCTTCTGAACATGGAACAAGAATTTGGACATCTAAGCAACAATTTCACTTAAAAAACCTAGATTTTTATGTGATCTTTCTTCAATGTTTTACAGTTTGATAAAACATAACCAATACATCAAGAATAGTTTCATCAATTCACATATGTGGTCTTTCAAAATATTTTGAGTTTTCATAATTTTTGGCATAAATTTTATATAGTAAAGTCATGCAATTATAAAAATAATTATAACTGGAATTAATAGCTATAAAGTGACTTTTTGATAAATGTGTACTCACTTGGTAAGTGCTTCAGAAGCACAAACAAGGAAATATCTGAATAAACAAGTATTTAGTGCTCTGGGCGAAAGCCTACATGCAATGTAGAAGAAATGGACAGTCTCCTTTCACCTAGAAAGTTACTTATTTATAGGTATGCTGAGAGCATTCCTTCTTCCATAATAGCATCCCAACAAAATAAAATAATCTTTAGCTCTATATACAATTAAGCTCACCTTGTGGGAACAGCAGAATCAGAGAAATCCTTCCACTGTGATCAATTAAAACATTTGAATAAAGAACTATTTTTTAAAAATAAGCTAGAAATGTACCAACAAGAATATAACACTTTTGTCATATTCTATGTATTGGAAGCAGATCAATAAGCCTGGACAACACTCAGGGAGAGGAGATCATACAAAAGCATGAACACCAGGAGGTAGGGATTATTAGTGTCCACCTTAGAAGCTAACACAGTATACCATAGCAAAACAGCTGAAAACTAAGGCAAAGGAAAGATCTTCAGAGCTGCCAGAGGGGGAAAAAAAAACAACACTTGACCTTCTAAGAAAAATAAAGCTGACAGCTGATTTAAGTGAGTCAATGAAAAAAGACAACAGAATTTAAAAATTAAGAATAAGAACAAAAAAAAAATGGACAACCTAGCACTTTCAGAATACCTCCTCTCCTCCCCACACATACTCACACTCAAAATATTGTGTTGTCTCAGATTTGTACAAAAATTAGCAAAGTAGAATTTTAGGCAGAAAGAAAATGATCCGTGATGGAATATCCTTAATGCATAAAAGAGTGAAGAGCAGAAAAAAAATTTTAAATGTGAGTAAATAAATAGAAATTGCTTAAAACAAGGAATAACCTAAAAATTGTAGTTTTAAATATATGTAGACTTGATAATTATACAAAAGAAAGGAGTAAGGTAAATGGGGTTAAACTGCAATGAGTTCCTTGCATTTTTCCAGGAAGCAGTGAGAATACTAACTAAAGTAAAATTAAAAAAATTAAGGATACCTATATCTGACAAAGGACTCATAGCTGGCTTATATAAAGTCAAAACTTATTAGTTAAAAAATATATATCCAACTAGAAAATGAACAGAAACATTTCAGTGAAGAGGATATATGGATAGCAAATAAGAACATAAAAGATGTTCAGCATCATTACCCATTAGA